AATGTAAAAGGAGTAATATTGTAAAGGAAGCAAAACGAGAAATGTCCGATGTCAATATATCTCACATTCCAAATATACTTTTCACGTTTTTCAGCCAAAGCCGCGTGCCCTTTTCACGACACAATTTACGAGAACGGAATCGTAACCTTCAATGCAACAAGTCCCTAGCCAGCATATAATTACTAGAGAAAGCATGGTTTTTACGTATGTAAAAAATTGACGCTCAATATTGCAAAAACATATTGAAAGGAAAACCGAATAATAAATTATTATGGGAAAACTGAAAATGTTACCGATACATAGGTATTTTTGAAAATCATTGTCCGTTGCCTGACCGTTATTTTGAGCCCTGTTCTTCTTGTTTAATTAACTCAATTATTAACAAGGTATCGTTATCTTAATGCAGTTAAGAGTTAAGGTATGATTTTCACACATTTCGTATAAGTTTGCACTCAGGCGAATGAGATGTTACTCGTTGGAAAAAATGACTGCGGTCGAAGCGTGTAACTACGGTTTGGTAACAGAAGTTATTCCTCAAGCCGAGTTTGAAAAGAAATTAACAACATAATGAAATACATGGCTGCGTTGCCGCCGAAGGTAGCACAAATCTGGACTTTAGAGTTATTGCTTCGTTTCATTTAACCATACAATGCTTCTCTCCATTGCAGTCGCTCTCATTGTCCAAGAAATTATGTCGCTCAGCTGAACTGGAGAAACTTCATAATGAGAGTAATAATACAATGCGAACTGATTGCTCAAAGATGGGTCTGGGAGGAATGCGCGCAAGCAGTGATGACTTTTTTACAACGCAAATCAAAAATGTAGTTGAAACATTAAGTTGATTCTTGTTGATGAAATGTTCCATGCATTTTCTTTCTGTGTATGTTATTCAGTTTGATAAAAACCATTTTCACCAAAGTGTTAAGCGTACAAAAGCATCTGCGCAAACATCTACTTGATGTCACGTGACAACATGTTAATTAATGGCAATTATTTTTTAACAACTGCATCATTTTTCAACAAATGCGCACGAAAGAAGGTTGTTGCGACTAAGAAGTCTGTTACGCCAGCAGTAAACACTGTTTTTTTGCTGTGTTTTGGAACTTGATTCAAAACGCAATTTTTTCCTCAAAAGTAAAGATTTTAAAATCGTGGTTAAATGAACGAATATGTTTTGTTATTCAACTCAAGTTACGAATGATTTACACCAACAACGCTACAAATTCGGCGTAAAGGTTACAAACGGATCATTGGGGACACAATATCCTATTTGTACAATAAATATTTGCACGCGCCATAAGTCTGATCGTAAATATACCTTGATGGTAAATTATTCCGGTAAGCTCGTCCACCATCTTCTTACGATGCCATCCAAAATATCATCGTTGCTGATGTACTTTTGAAACAAATCGCATTCCTCGTGATTTTTATCCTCAAGTTCTTGTATATTACTGTTGACCATCAACGTCTGTTTCTCGAAGGCACTACAATATTAAATATGCTGCTTTACTATTTGCTGACATGGATTTTTTAAAAGTTCAAAACTGTAAATGTTTTCATCATCTGCGACGTGAACGTCCATGAATAACAATAGAAATTTATTGCATTTTCAAAGGTCCCGTGTCCCTCTCCTCTAGTTGCTAAGCTTCGCCCACCCTCCCTATCCTTCTGCTTTCTAATAGTGCTCAATCCCTCTCCCTCGTAAAAATAGACAGACAAACCTGTCTAGAAACTAGTAAAAATCTCGCCAAAAGTTAATTGAGTTCCTTCTCGAAATGTTTGAAAGATAAAAGTTCTGCAATAATTCCGCGTTTCCTTTGCCATGTCGCAGTCGAGTTTCGTGTTGCATAGAATAACAGACATTGCCCGATTTAAAGGAAATTCACCGTAAGACAAAATGAATTTTTTTTAAAGCATCTCGGTTCTTTTATATAAACAACAATTATGTTTCACGATACACTTTCTTTGAGGGGAGGTAGGGAGTAAAGCATTTTGTGGGAACTTAGATAAAGCTATTTATAGTTTTAATTACTTTTCAATCTCACAGTTAATTTTAACACATCAGAACATAACACATCCTCTCAGGTTAAAGAAAAGAAAACATTTTAATGTTTATATAAAGTGATCAATAGGCGTGGATACAACTCAAATACATAACATGGCAAAATATGACCTAGTGCCCAGGCCTCCGTTTAATATAAACAAGTCACGTGTACCTGTGAATGACCAAATAAATTAGGTACAGTTAGAGAGCAACATCCAACTGGAGGATGACCCAAATCCACAAACTTCGTTTGAAAAGTTGCCTCTAAAAAACACGACGAATATGTCAACTGAAATAAAAATTACGTAATGTTGTACTGAGGAGTCACTAGGAGTCACTAAGGAGTCACTAAGATCAGTTCTTACCAAACTGGAAACATTGGTCTATAAACAAGAAGAAGCGTTATGAATACTTTCCGCTTTCACGCATGTATATTTACTTTTCATAATTGGAAAGGTCGTCGTTTAATTAGATTCGTGCTCAGTTACAATTGGTTTTTTCTATGAAATTAGATTGTCCCCCCGCTATCTAATTTGATTTAGAATTTTAGCAAATTGTGAAGTTGTTTCAAAGTAGTTTGCCACCTACTTCGAACTGCTGAGCACAAAGTAATTTTGCTAACTCGCAATGACTGTTCATGCGTCTATTTCTATAATACTATAGTTCATGCGACTTAAACGATCTCATGACACCGTTGAAATAAATGAAATGGTAATCGAGTTCCATCGGTTCTAATCGCTAATAAAGTTCGCAAGAAAAATGTTTCGTTTGATCATAGTGTGTGTGTGTCATCGTGGGGTAACTTCATATGCTGAAAAGACAGTTAAATTTTCCATGCACCTAACTCCCAAAGACTATAGCTAATGTGTCTATTTCACAAAGACTTTAGTTCATGCACCTAAAGGCTATAAAATCTATATATATGTATATTGTTCGTGCATCTTAACAATATAGTTCATGTACCTAACTCCCAAAGACTATAGTTCACAAACTTAACTTTCAAAGAATATCTTTCACACACCCAACTTCAAAGACTAAACTCCCAAAATTCTTCTTCATGCACCTAAACTCGGAACGACTATAGTTCATACACCTAACTCCCAAAGACTATATTTCACGCACGTAACTCGCAAAGACTATAAGATCATGCGTCTATTTCCCAAAGAATTTAGTTCATGCAACTAACACCAAAGAAAATAGTTAATGTATCTAATTACCAAAGACTATAGTTCATGCACCTTACTCCGAAGGACTATAGTTCATAAAGAGCTCCCAAAGACTATAGTTCATGCACCTAACATCCAAAGACTATAGTTAAAGCACTTAAATTCCAAAACTTATATTTCACGCACCTAAATCTCAAAGATTGTTCATGCGTTTATTTCCCACTTATTGAACTCACTTGATTGGTGAATTGTATTTTCCCATGTTTTCAAAATTTCTTAAAGGTCGTACATTCCAATTCTTGTTCTTAATTCCAGGATCACATACTATGAACTATTCCAGACAAGCATGATATCTAAACAATGTGACATCATTCTTCACATCCATATATTAGACAAATACAAATAAAATCAACTACAAATAAAATCAATGATGAACCAACCTTGCCTTAAAGAATTCTTCTTTTAAGTAAAAGACAACTCATGCAAGGTAACTCAAATGTTCAACTTATGATGGTGAAAATATAAAAAACATGGAGATAAAATAAAGCATGACAATCAATAGATCTTCACTTAGGTAATAGCTGCAGATCCAAATTTATAAACAGTGTGTGAAGCACTGACTAAAACATTTGGCAATCAAATGCACTTGAAAGCCCTGCAGGTTAGCTAAAGTCCCTCGGTGCTACAAGTCTTGTGACTTTTACTACAAAATCTCCCTCGGCTTTCAAGTACATTTAATCACTAAGTTACCTCACTACCGTGCATCGTTTTACTTATAAAAATATTGCACACGCTAGCTAAAATGTAGATCCCATTAACTACATACATGTATGGTCTTATATGAGCCAGTTTTAAATACTCAAAGAATATTTAGGCAATCAGAGAGTAAAATATTTTACCTTACTCTGAACAAAACAGTTTTTCTTGTGAGTCTTTTATCGCAGGGATACGTCCGTATAAAATTCTTATCACCAAAATGTTTCAAATTCCAAATTGGTGAAGTGTTGACTGTGTAGTAAGCTGGTCGATACAACTCATACGCAACGCATCGATTTGCTGTTTAAAATCATGATATAACTCATGCAGATAGATTGGTTTCACATAGCCAGAATAACAACCAATAACTGTTAGCTTCCAGAGCAGTTCAGTGAATTCACGACAAATGTCAGTCTGCTACGTGAAGATAGTTCTCTTGCATATGCCTCAAGTCTTTGCTTCCGAATTGCATCCTTGAACGCCTTATTTTATACAGTTCAGCCAACATTTACCTATTCTTGCCATAAAATGATTAAGTGTGCTCCAAGTTGACTGAAAATAAAATTGTTCAGCATACGCCATTTTGAAAGCAGGTCTATAATTATCCACTATCATCCATTGTAACCACTATCAACATCCTAATGTCATTGGTCAAAAATAGTCACATTTTTATTTACTTTTGCCTTTCATTCATGTCATTTCTAGATATGAATTTTCTTATTCGTCCATAGTTCAATCAATAATAAAAAAATATTTATTGTAAATTTTATTATAGCAAATGAACGTGACGCCAAGAGTTTGTAAATTACATGCAATTTTCGTCGTGGTATAGTGAACTATCTATCTCGACCATATTTAAACCCAGTGAACTCTACAACAACTGGAAGGCTAACTTGGACGCCATCTTTGAAGCCTGCATGAGCGCCGCCATTGAAGGTAAGCTGGATTTCCACTTCCCGGTAAGGACGGAAAACGGTAAACGCCAAACGGTACAGGCATGCGCAGTAGAAAATGTAGCACCGCAAAACGGTATGCACACCGTACTGCTTTCCAATTTTAAAAGTTGAAGTCAAGTCAACTTTTTTCCGCGGAATTCATACCGTTTCACTTTTTAGCCAATTAAATTATACCACAAAAATTGACTCCTGGGTAGTAGCAAGATGGCGTATAATACTGAATTGATGCTCACAAAATTATTAAGTTTTCAGAGAAGCAATCCGCATGTCAATTATTATGGTAGCCAAATATTTACTGGATCTGAAGAATCCACGTATATATTGGATCAAGATATAATGCAGAAGACGACGGCGACTGAAGATGTTTCCAAGGAGCAGCAACTGCTTAGCCAAACCAGTGATAATACGATAGACAATTTTGGACATAACGAAGAGAGCGAGTACTCTTTACAAAGTCAGAATCACTTCAGTAGTAATTTGATTGATGAAGTGAGGAATTATCCTTGCCTATGGGATTTGAAGTCCAAAGGGTTCAAGAACAGTGTTATGAAGAAACAAGCATGGTTAAAAATTTCAGAGCAACTCCATGTGCAAGGTACAGTCTCTAAATATGCATCAATGACAAAGCATCCTTTGACAAATGACAAGCAGGAAGCTTATCATGTTTATTGTGGTAACCAGAAATGAAAAATCTCTCATGTTTTTACTTTGTTACATGCCATTTCATGTGTTTATACCTGTGTGTTTGCATACCTAGCATTACATCTAAAAAACCATATTGTTAGTTTTGTCCTAGTTATGTAAAGTCCATAGCAAAACTTCAGATGATATTGATATTTTGTTCATAAACTCATTTGCAGATGCTTTTATTTTTGCTATTAAACCAGATGTGTATAAAAATATTATAGTATTGCACACCACATGTTGTGTTGTGCTTTCTTTTAAATTTGTGACTTGGTATGCTTTTGACAACAATTAGTTATTTTACCCATATGTTTTCAGCAATTGAAGCAGAAAATGAGTTCAAAAGGTTAAGAGAAAATTTCGAAAGTGTCTGAAAAGAGAGAATTGGAATCACGATCTGGAGCAGAAGCAAAAAGTTACCCACATGTGCCTTCTTTGTTGAATTGAGTTTCCTTAGAGATAGTGTTTCTAATAGAAAATCAACAAGCAATGTGAATGTACCCAGACTATCAGATAGTCGATCATCGTCACCATTTGATTTAACTCAAGTATCCTCAGGCAGTTCCAATGAAATAGCAATTGCTGCACCTGGAATGAGAAATCCATCACCCAAGCCCAAACCATCCTCAGAAATCATAGCAGCCTCAGAAAACTTGAAAAGAAAAGAAGATGATGACCCTTTGAATGCAGCTCTTACTGCAGCAATAGTCAAAGACATTAATAAATCTGGTGAAGACACAAATGATTCTGATTTACTTTTGTAAAAAGTCTGGTGGCACCTTTAAAACAACTCTCATCTAAGAAGAACAAGAGAGCTAGAATCAAACTTTTAGAGGTATTAATGAGCTTTGACATTGATGATGAATGATTAACTGCATGCTATATAACTGCATTAACTGGAACTATAAATACCATTTTGATGTTTAAGTTCTTGTTTTATTTAATTCTAGTGTGTTTTGTTGAAGGTAAATTGGTTTTCAACTGATGCTTGTTGTTTTGTCATTTATAATTACAGTTGCTTTTTCTGAAGGCCTTATCACGATTAGAGCATTAAAATTCTGGTTATATGTGGGTATTTTTATACAAGTTTATTAGAAAACTAGCATACTTAAAACTTAAGAAATTACAAACTTTCTGCACATTATATATGTTCTACTTTACTCATATGTACATGTTTCATTAATGAATGCTCCAACAATTGTCAAACCCAGTTAAAGATAACTTGTATTATTCATGTGTTGCTGTGACATGCTTCAATTGCCATGGTACATGCCCTGCCTCAGACATGAAATAATCACAAAAATTTTCTCGTATTCTCTTGGCTATTTTACTGTAATTATTAGAACCAAGTTGTTGAATGTCAGCCAACCCAGCTGTGCTATGAAATGCTTCTACTTCGTTGCGCCAGGCTCCTTTTAAATCCATAGCTGTTTTCGGTAGGACAGTACCTACTTGCCTCAAAAGATTTGCCATGCATCAAGTAATTATGCAATGCCACAACTGCTTTTGTTGTACAAACGACCAAGTCAACTTTACCAATAATGGGGCGTCGCCAAATTGGAAACGTGCAGCAGCTATGCCAAATGAGTTTTCAATGACCCTCCTAGCTCTAGACAAACGATAGTTATAAATCCTCTCTTTCAAAGAGAGTACCTCGCGCGGTAGGGTTTCATCAGTTGCTCAGACAAACGGAATGCCTCGTCCCCAACAAAACATAAGGAAATTTGTTTTCTGATCCAGGTATCTTCTCATTTCTGGGTAGATGCAAAGATCATGTTCTATTGCATATCCTAGATTACTACTAGAAAAACGCCTCCATCACTATTTCTGCCCGAGTCTCCGATATCTACGAGGGTGAACCGGTATTGTGCATCGCACACTGCTAAAAGAACAATTGAGTGAGTTTTTTTATAATTAAAGAAACTCGACCCTGATCTTGCTGGAGCTTGCATGACTATATGCTTGCCATCAATTGCCCCCAAGCAATGTGGAAAATTCCATTTGCGATTAAAATCTTTCGCAATGTTCTTCCATTCGACTTCACTTTCGGGACACTTAACGTAAATGGTGAAAGAACATCCCAAATAGCTGCCGTGGTCTCTCTTATAACACGGCTGATAGTTGTAGGATGTATACGGAAATTGCTTGACAGCGAAGCGTGAGAGTTTCCAGTGACCAAGTATCTTAGAGTAACTGAGAGCCGCTCACTCGGAGATATTGGTTCTCTTTTTTCACTGCACTTGGCGATTTTAGGAGCAACAAGCTGCAAAAGTTCTTCGAACTGGGATACGGACAACCTGAAGTATTTGAAGTAGTATTCCCTATCAAAAAGTCTCACCTCTTCTACAAGAAGGTGAAACTCTCCTTTTGCTTTCTTTCCTGAAATATTCTTCGAACCGACGTTCTCTTTTGTATTTTTCGCAATTGCATTCTTTTCTATAGCAACAGCATCATTAATGTTTTGTTCTAAGTTTAGCCATGATGATGCGCATCTGTTTTAAAATGTCCGCCAAAACAAGAGGAAATTAATACACGGAAAATTTCCTTCATGTGTACCGTTTACCGTTTACCGTTACCGTCCTTACTGGGAAGTGGAAATCCAGCTGTACGGAGGAGAAATACATCACTTCGAAATTGCCGAATTTTTGCAAAAACAGTGGTCTTCAAGCCAGCTTAATGTCTAAAATCTTAAACAATGTTTGAGATTGTTTTTATACTTTATTGTACGAACATTTTTACTTGCTAAAACTTACATATTACTTGAAGTCGTTTGAGAAGTTCCTTTCTTTAAATTTATTCTTAAGTTTATCATACATTACATTACAGATGTAAATTTTTTGGGTCTAAGGACATGAGAGTAGAAAACATTGAGGTGTAAAATAATCTCTAAACATGAAAGAAGATGCCGCTACTATACTGGGGAAATGCCAGTAAATTTGATGATCAATTTTCACATGTTTTATACTTGTTGCGAGGTATGTCATTTTGTACGTTTTATGCAAATTTTCGTGAATTAGAAATACTGTGAAAAGTCCCAAATGGATTGCCAGCTGATGAAAAAATCATTTTACACCTTAATGATTTCTTCCTCTAAATTGTTTTCATCAGTTACCATGTTAGCAAAATTCCATACAGTGAAAAGAATTTCTGCTAATTTTATGCTTTGCTGAGCTTCGACACTCATGTACTCTCCCAACATGGCTTATATGACGTCAAACGAAAACACACTATAGCTACGGTTGAATGAAAACAGCCCCAAACATCATTAAATATTTGTTAAAATTGCGTATATATTATTACGAAACAGCGATTTTGTGCACGTTATGATGACGAATTTCCATATTGCATTGAAAAGCGTATTTCGAAAAACATTTATCAAACGCTGACACTTGCTGGCATGGTGACCATGTTTAATTTAAATACATATGCATATTTTAAGCTGACAGTCGTTTCAAAACTACCGATGGATGTTATTTATTCATCACGGCATAAATGCTTTTCAAACAACATTATTATTCTAAAATCATTACTTAATAGAAATTTGTACAACATTATTCCAAAATAGGTGGCAGGAGCCTACTTTGAAATACTTTACCACAAAATTGTTTTCTAAGTCAGAGAGCGAGGGAACTCTCTGACTTAGTAAGAATACGCCGAATTCAACAGAGTATATATGCTCTCTCAAAATCCAAGATTTCTTAAAATCTAAAAGATAGCCAAAGAACAAATTAGCGACACACTAAAACAAACACATAAACCTGAAAAGACTGAAGTCACTAAGCTACAAGTCAGTGAAACAAATAAAAAATTTTTATACCTCATCTTGTTTTTCATCTTGTTCTCCATCAGCATGCTTCCTGTCTCTCCGTCAGCATCCTCTTCGTCTCTCCGTCAGCATCCTCTTCGTTGCTCCATCAGCATCCTCTTCGTTGCTTCATCAGCATCCACCTCGTAACGCCATCAGCATCCTCCTCGTAGCACCATCAGCATCCTCCTCGTAGTACCATCAGCATCCTCCTCGTAGCACCATCAGCATCCTCCTCGTAGCGCCATCAGCATCCTCCTCGTAGCGCCATCAGCATCCTCTTCGTAGGACCATCAGCATCCTCCTCGCAGGACCATCAGCATCCTCCTCGCAGGACCATCAGCATCCTCCTCGCAGGACCATCAGCATCCTCTTCGTAGCACCATCAGCATCCTCCTCGTAGCTCCGTCAGCATCTTTCTCGTCTCTCCGTCAGCATCCTCTTCTTTTCATCAGCCTCCTCCTCATCTAAACGAAAAATCTAAAAACAAGTTAAGATTAGGACAGGAAAAAATAATAACGTACTCCTCTATCTTCTTCTTGATCTTCATCTCTTGTACCTAAAAAAAGACTGAAGAAGAAGTTATTTGTTTGATGGAAACAAACAATTGTAAGCACCCACCACTGCCAGGGTTCGCGTTCTTTCACTGTCCGTACGCTCGACATGTCTATAAAAATGCAACAACAATATCATGGCAAGTGATTATGGAGATCGTGCTTTGCATTGTAATAGTTTTATCATGCTAAAACATTGATATCCATGACTGTACATGATTGAACATGTATGTTAAGTGAACAACTCTTTGAAGATTATAAGACTCGGGAAAGCTTATCGTTTGAACCGTGCATTGTGTTATAACACCCTCAATGTTATAACACATGCAGTGTTCTGTAACATTGTCAAACGATTTATTACATGCGATATAATTCAAAAATACCTAGATAAAACAAGATAATTAACGAATGTCTCATGCAATATATTCTCTGCTCAACTCTTTTCGATTTCATCCAAAAGGTTGTTTAATTATTTCGGTAAGGCACTAAGGTTTATAAAGATTTTGCAACACTCTGCCCGCATGTTGCAATATCAAATGACTTAATTACTCACTTATATATTACAGAATATACAATTCTGTAATATATAATTGAGGTAATTGATTCCCTCGTCTCTTCATGTGCATCCTTCTCGTTTCTTTATGTGCATCCTTCTCGTCTCTTCATGTGCATCCTTCTCGTCTTTCCATCTGCATCTTCCTTGTCTTTCTATCTGTATCCTCCTCGTCTTTCCATCTGCATTCTCCTCTTCTTTCCATCTGCATCCTCCTCTTCTTTCCATCTGCATCCTTTCTCGCTTTCCATCTGAATCCTTCTCGTCTCTTCATGTGCATCCTTCTCGTCTCTGATTGATCTTCCTTGTCTTTCCATCTGATCCTTCTCGCTTTCCATCATCCTTCTTTCTTTCCATCTGATCGCTCGTCTTTCCATCTGATCCTTCTCGTCTTTCCATCTGCATCCTTCTCGTCTTTCCATCTGATCCTTCTCTTCTTTCGATTGCATCCGCTCCTTTCGATCTGCATCCTCCGATTTCCATCTGATCCCGCGTTTTCCATCGCATCCTTCTCTTCTTTCCATCTGCATCCTTCTCGCTGATCTGCATTTCCGATTTGATGATCGCGCTTCTTTGATCTCGATTTTCGACGCGCGATCTGCCCTCGCTTCTTTCGATTCGCTCGCTTTCCATCTGAATTCGCGCTGACGCTCTCGATTCGCGATTGATCTTGACGATTCGCCCTGATCCTTCTCGTGATCTGCATTTCGCGCTGATCGATCCTTCTCGTGATCTGCATCCGCTCGCTGATTGATTCGCTTCTTTCGCTGACGCTCGACTTTCCATCGATCCTTCTTTTTTCGATTTCTTTCGCCATTGATTTGACGCGCGATCTGATTTCTTCTTCCATCTGCACGCGCGCTTTCCCTGCATGCTCGCTTTCGATCGCGCCTCGGATGCTTCTCATCTTTCCACGCGATCGCGACGCTGATCTCATTGATCGATTCTTCCATTTATCGACGCGCGTGATGATCGACGCTGACTGATTCGCTGACGCTCGCTTTCGCTGATTTGATTTCCATCGATTTTCGATCGACGCCGATTTGACGACGACGCCATTTGATCGATCGCGCGCGATGATCTTTCGATCGATTCTCTTGTTTGATCTGATCTTCTTTTCGACTGAACTCGACTTTCGATCGACGATTTTCGACGGATTCGCGTCTTTGACGATCTTCGTCGCGATCTGATCTTCGCCGACGATCCTTCGATCGATCCTTCTTCGACGATCCGATCCTTCCTTCATGACGATCCTTCATCGATCTGATCCTCTTCATCTACATCCTCTCCATCTTTCCCTCTGATCTCATCTCCATCCCCTCGATCTTCATCTTTCCTTCATCCTCCATCCTTCTTCTATCCTTCTTCTTCCATACCCAACATATTTTCATCTACATTTTCCTTCGATCCTCCTTTGTCATTCATCCTCCTGTCCATTCCTCCTTCATCTGATCCTCCTTTTCTCATTATGCATCCTCGTCTCTTCATCTGCATCCTCCTTTTCTCTTCATCTGCATCCTCGTCTCTTCATCTGCATCCTTCTTGTCTCTCCATCAGCATCCTCCTCTACTTTTCATCAGCCTCCTCCTCATCTAAACGAAAATCTAGAAACAAGTTAAGATAAGGACAGGAAAATTATAACGTACTCCTCTATCTTCTTCCTGATCTTCATCTCTAGTACCTAAAAAGACTGAAGAAGGAGTTATTTGTTTAATGGAAACAAACAATTGTTTAGCACATACCACTGCCAGAGTTCGCGTTCTTTCACTGTCCGTACGCTCGACACTGTACATGACTGAACATGTATGTTAAGAGAACAACTCTTTGAAGATTATAAGACTCGCGGAAAGCTTATCGTTTGAACCGTGCATTGTGCTGTAACACCCCTCAATGTTATAACACATGCAGTGTTCTGTAACATTGTCAAACGATTTATTACATGCGATATAATTCAAAAATACCTGGATAAAACAAGATAATTAACGAATGTCTCATGCAATATATTCTCTGCTCGATTTCATTGAAAAGGTTGTTTAATTATTACGGTAAGGTACGAAGGTTTATAAAACATCATCGCATTTGAAGATTCAGCAACATTTTGCCCCATGTTGCAATATCTTGTATACTCTATAATATATATTTGAGGTAATTCATTTGAACGTTTCTCAAGTGAATTACCCACTTTTATCTTACCTACTATAACATCACTTGATGCTACAGTAGTTCCTCTCAGGAGCAGGGACGGATTAACCAAAGGAAGCTGTCTAGAAGCCTCCACAAACAAGGGCCTTCACATTATTCAAAGGAAATAAACATAGTTGCTTTAAAGACGAAGGAAAAGCATTTAGTTTATTTGTTGGATCAATTTCAACTGATGAAGAACAGACACGTATGACAACGAATCACAGTAAACTCAGCCATTTTGCTCTGATGAGCATTGAGGACAATATTCTAACAGAAATAAACTTGGAAGAGCTTATCAAAGACTGCCAGAATAAAATCGCAATAACTACTTTATCTCAAGTAGCAGCATTCACTCGTCGTATGCAACCGCTTTACACGCTATATTCGAAGTTTATACTTTTATCAAATGCTTTACGAAATTTGAAAGTAAATTTTACTGTTGAAAATGAGCAGCACATTGCGTTTAGAGTAAGGGAAAGGGATCTTTACTACGTATTTTGCTGCTCAGAGCCTCCACACATCTTAATCCGGCCCTGCTCGGGAGACATAATATTATATCCTTTTGTCACAAAAGGATTGAACTTGCTATTTCTAACAATGGCCAGTTGTTAGAAATAGGCAAAATGCAAAATCATCACACTTATGTGAATGATAACGATGAATGCAAAAATGAAAATATTTTCTGGACATGTATTGAAGAGGTCCAATAATTGATGTCAAGAATAGTGGGAAACTTTGGCAGTTTCGTTCGTGTTCTCACTTCAATATGTAACTGAAACTTGACGGCATTTTGTGCTCCAAGATCGAAACATAGAAATACTAAGAAACCAAAGAAATCGATCATTCCTTCGAACAAATAGGACTCATAACGATGCTTTGAATATGCTGTAACGAGAATTCACATCACAATTGGGTTATACATTTTAATTCATCGATCTCAAACTTACATCTTTATGTCATCGACGATTTTTCTGTATTTAACCTGCCGCTTTCAAACATGGCTAAAATATCTCAACCGTGTCATGTCTTCAGTTGCTCGTCCTTTCCAACAAGTAGTCGCATTTCTTGAAGGCTGTCTTCGACTTTCAACAGACTTTCACCTTTCCCAGACGAACAGCTCGGTCAAATAGGGTTATCGAAGTGAAAGACCCTACTTTTTCTTCTGATAACTTTCATATATCACATGAATTAATTATTAATTCATTCGTCAATTTTGTTCAAACCCTGATAAAAAGGGATTAAATTCATTGATTGCATGAAAATATATGCAGGGCAAAGACAAAAGGAATTAAGCCTGGTTATAAGTTAACTAACGACATTGGTTAGTAAAAGAAAGCAAAGCCTTTTCCCCAGAGGTTGGGAGAAAACAAAAGAATATTTCTTTTGTTTCCTCAATGAAGAGTTTGCGAAATCAATGATTGTAAGGTTATGACGGCAGACAGAGCATGTCGTGTTGTGGTAAATTTTATCTAGTATGAACAAAAATTATCTCACCCAAAACCGCAATTCAATGCACCATAGCTAGGAGAGTTATCATTTTTCTCCCACCTGACCACCTTTATTCAACTTGTTACGTCAACAAATAAATTAGAAGGCATATCAAAAGCTTGTAATTTATTCACGTGGAATCACCCACATGCTATAGAAAAGCTTTGTCGTGCTCAATACTTATTATGAACATTGGAGCCCTGCTTATTGCAATAATATGACTTGCCATTGTAAAATGTAATGTAATAATTTAACGAGAGAATTTTATTGACAGAACTAAATGGTAGCAAGTGATTCATTTTAGCAATCCTAATAGGATGGGACAAAGGGAAAGAATGAGAGGTAAGTTCGTTTTCAAATAATTAATGAAAATAGGTTTTACGTTAATTGGTTTATGTTTGGCGTAAGGTGAAGCCGGTGATCCAACAATTAACACGTGATTACCCTTTAACCATAATCTCCACATGCTTTTATGAAATCCTCGAGCATCTAAGTCCCAGATTCGTAAACATCTCGCTATATTATTCCATGTTGTCCAGTCGTTAGCATGTTTCATTTCAATATAAAATATATATGTTTTATCAGATGTTTCTGGAACAAAGTCTTTCTCGTTCTTGCAAGGATTTTTACTGTGATCCAACGGCTCTGCCAACCTGTAAAAAACAGTAGATAGACATCTCTAACAATCAAATGACATAAATATACGCACTATGATGATAATTAGATCACTGAATCACTAAGTAGAAATCTCCTTCCTGTGAAAAGAAAAATATTGTTGTCAATATTTTATAAAATCCTGCAAGACATACCCTACAAGCCGTTCAATCTCCTTCTCATAATTTTCTTTTTCAACAATCCAACATTGAACTTAACGTTAGGTTCAGTATTCAACGTATGTTTTTTGAAATAGGATTCTTGAAAAAATACATTCATATTCAGGCCTTTGGCGCCAAAATGGTAGGTTCTTGAGATATCCGGAATGATACATTCACGTCCCTTTTTGTTGCTGTCCATCCTCATCCACATATCCCAATCCCAAAAGAGATCAGGGGTTGGCCATTTTGGCTCAAGTTCTTCTTTATAAAGTCGTCGTTTGAGCAACCTGTTAATGCAAAGAGAAATAATAGATAGAATGAAGTTTATACTATCTATACATTTATAGTGCTGCGTGATGTCATTGTGGCGTGATGTCATTGCAGCGTGAGGTCATTGTAGCGTGATGTCATTGCAGCGTGATGTGCTTGTAGTGTGATGTCATTGTAGCATGACGTCACTGTTGCGTGATGTCATAGCGTAAACAAAATCATTTGTAGTAATAAAATTCTCACCAGCCTAAACCAGGCATTGTTTCTACACGATATAACATTGCAGGATCATTACACGTGTGATCATAACCCTAAAATAGAAATACTTGTTTTGCAATTAAATCATTAATCACATAAATTAGTTTTCAATGGATGTACCATTTCTAAGGTAAATTTCCTAAATTTCACTTTGTGATGTGCAAGGAAGGAAGCTCGATAGAGACAAACATAATGTAACCAATGAAAACTACAATAAGATAACAGATTCTTGTACGGAGATTTCCATTTTCCATTATAATGTGAAAAATTTTTGAGATTTATTTAATTTACATTCTGCACTCTCGTCAGAGATAAACTGGACTCGACAAAAAAAGCAAAAAGAATCAGAGACGTTCAAAACCACGTTAATAAAGTTGAAAACGAATTATATGGCAGCAAAATCCTACATTCCTGCAAATATATTTCAATGGACAAAAAATCTGTAGCCATAAGGCGCCATACTATTATTTACTTTATCATAAGCAAATATTGGGGCTTTTCAGTTTATGATCATTGATCATTCAATCATTGGACAGTTATACTACATATTGTTTAAGATTTGAGAAAACTAACATTGATTGCATGAGAAGCTGTCTACTATAACCTGTGATTTTGAGTCTTCTGATCCATGAAGCTTTTTATTTTGACAATTTGACTGGAATGGTATTAAACCTGAGTATTTCACATACATGAAATGTTGTCCCATGTCACATATTGTCCCCTTTCAAACTGAACACCTCATGTAGAGATGTAAAGGTGTGTTAATCTATGGCTCATACCATAAAATCCAAAGTTTGCCATAAAATCCAAAGGGCTATTGATGTATGAAAAGCATTTTTTATAGAGTAAAAATGTCTTCCTATGTATGCAGATAAACCTTGAAATTTGGCAAAACAAAAGTATTTTCATGATCACTATGTAATTTTTCTGATGATCATTATAATTTCTAAACTAAATTATTTCAGATCAAACGAGCTTTGATCATATCAAAAGATATTTATCATAACCAGTAAGCATGACACATGAACCAAATATAACATTCATGTAATTATATAATTAAAGACATGTTGGTTACATTCTGTTTGTATTTGCAAATACAATGCTACTAGTGATTGCTATATAGCACACTTGCATATACTTACAGAAGATAATAGTCTAGTGAAATGCCTAATAAACATTTATGACATTAAGCTGTCCTTAACTGCAAATTTTTACTCTGATAATTTTTGCTTAATCTTTGGCAGAAAAATTTTGAGTTTTTCTCAAAAGTGAATTTGCTGACAATGATATGGAGATGGGTAAAGGGTTGCAATAAACTTGCATGGTTTGAAGTCTGAGCTTTTCTATATCTATGAACTGTCACTTGTAGTACCAAATTTCTAACTGAACTCGTTACATAGAGGTTTGAATGGGGGTCTCTAGGGGGGTCTATGCCTGACAACTTGGTAGAAATTTTTAAAGACTGTATCTGTTTTTGAATAGCATTATTGTAAAATAAATTTTACGTTCCTAGACATGCTAATGAGCCATATATTTGGCATGATAATGAGCCTAAATAATTGGCAAAACATTCAAGTATTGTTCACTTCATTTTTTTTTGAAAAAAACGTAAGCAAAATGTGTTGTATTTACGCAAAACCGATGCCCACAAAATACATTTTGTATTGCTCTAAAACACTGAAAATGGCATTTTCAAGGTTCTGAAATTCAAAATTTCTCAGGGGAGAATGCCTCAGACCACCCCAGGTGCGGATCGCCCCCGACGTTTTATGACTGATGTTTGAAAAATCCTAGATCCGCCACTGTCCAAACGCAGTTTAAAAGAGATTTGACTGGTCTCCAATCCATGTGGGCTTGGTAGCTCAACAGGTAGAGCGGCAGACTAGTATCCTGAAGGTGCGAGTTCAAATCTCGTCCAAGTCACATGTTTTTCATGTGCATATTAAAACTGTGTTAGGATTAATATATTATATGTATTCTCTGATGATGGCTTTGGAATAAAGGCGAAACACGGTGCCATCCAGTAAACTACTATAGTGGCGAGAATCTCTCGTCCATACGCAGTTTTAAGAGATTTGACTCGTCTCCAATCCCTGTGTATGGAAAGCCATAGCTGTCTTAGGTCGTGCAAATTTATTTCAATGGTGCTTTGACCATTATACGCGGTGCTTTAAGCATTATACGCGGTGCTTTGACCATTATACGCGGTGCTTTGACCATTATATTCGGTGAGCCGCTATTGCTGGTCAGCGCTGACGCATCAGTTTATAAATCCTTCATTTTATTTTTTTCATAATTTCAAAATGGAGTCCAAAATGTCATTTATTTTGCAAAAGTTGCGACTGGATCACTTTGAGGAGCAATTTACTTCAGAGAAAATAACGCCGGACTTAGTTTGTAAGCTTTCTCTCAATGATTTCAAAGAGTTAGGGATCCAAAACCATTCCGACATTATGTCAATACGAGTATAGTGTGTGAAATGTGGATTGAGCGAACCACCAACTAGCCAGACTGGAAAGTATGCAAACTGCGCAAGCTAGATCAATTTTTTTTAGAAATTTTGCGCGGCGGATTTTCAATTTTGCGCGGCGGATTTTCGACTTTGCGCTGCGAAGCCATAAAATATTCGCGAGATGCCAGTTTATTTTTTCCGTATCACACTCCATTTTTGATAGTTTGCAATTGCAAATAATTATGAAACATAACATAAAAGATGATACATGTGTATAGCTGTAGCTTACCTTAAGTTGGAGCTTGCAACTCTCCTTTACAACGTGAGGATGTGTCATGTGTAATCAAAAAATGCCACTTTACCTTAGGTATTATGTAACGAGTCGAACGACCAACGTACCACGTATGTTTATCATTCATCTGTTTCATCGTTTCATCACAGCGTATGATACGATAAAGGTAGGCATCAAATAAATTTGATTTACTGACGTCGTCAAATACGTCGTCAAAAACAAATCAATCAGGAACCATCTTTTGTATAATCAGCAGCCAGATTGTGGAGTAGAAGGTTTTTCAGTTAATAATTGTTTATAATCAGCAGGCAGATGGTGGACAAAAAAGGTTTTCAGTTAATAATTGTTTATAATCAGCAGGCAGATGGTGGACAAAAAAGGTTTTCAGTTAATAATTGTTTATAATCAGCAGCCAGATTGTCGAGTAGAAGGTTTTCAGTTAATAATTGTTTATTATCAGCAGGCAGATGGTGGACAAAAAGGTTTTCAGTTAATAATTGTTTATAATCAGCAGCCAGATTGTGGAGTAGAAGGTTTTTCAGCTAATAACTGTTTATAATCAGCAGGCAGATGGTGGAAAAAAAAGGTTTTCAGTTAAAAATTGTTTATAATCAGCAGCCAGATTGTGGAGTAGAAGGTTTTTCAGTTACTAATTGTTTATAATCAGCAGGCAGATGGTAAGCAGGGGAGGTTTTCAGTTGATAAATATTTATAATCTGCAGCCAGATGGTGGACAAAAAGTTTTTCAGTTATTAATTGTTTATAATCAGCAGGTAGATGGTAAGCAAGGGAGGTTTTCAGTTGATAAATATTTATAATCTGCAGCCAGATGGTGGACAAAAAAGGTTTTTCAGTTAATTATTGTTTATAATCAGTAGCCAGGTGGTGGACAAAAAAGGTTTTTCAGTTAATCTTTGTTCATAATCTGTAGCCAGGTGGTGGACAAAAAAGGTTTTTCAGTTACTAATTGCTTATAATCAGCAGCCAGATGGTAGAGTAGATGGTTTTTCAGTTAATCTTTGTTTATAATCAGCAGGCAGATGGTGGACAAAAAAGGTTTTCAGTTAAAAATTGTTTATAATCAGCAGCCAGATTGTGGAGTAGAAGGTTTTTCAGTTACAAATTGTTTATAATCAGCAGGCAGATGGTAAGCAGGGGAGATTTTCAGTTGATAAATATTTATAATCTGCAGCCAGATGGTGGACAAAAAAGGTTTTTCAGTTAATAATTGTTTATAATCAGCAGGTAGATGGTAAGCAAGGGAGGTTTTCATTTGATAAATATTTATAATCTGCAGCCAGATGGTGGACAAAAAAGGTTTTTCAGTTAATAATTGTTTATCATCAGCAGCCAGGTGTTAGACGAAAAAGGTTTTTCAGTTAATTATTGTTTATAATCAGTAGCCAGGTGGTGGACAAAAAGGTTTTCAGTTAATCTTTGTTCATAATCTGTAGCCAGGTGGTGGACAAAAAGGTTTTCAGTTAATCTTTGTTTATAATCAGCAGCCAGGTGGTGGACAAAAAAGATTTTTCAGTTAATCTTTGTTTATAATCAGCAGCCAGATTGTGGACAGAAAAGGTTTTCAGTTAATAATTGTTTATAATCAGCAGGCAGATGGTAAGCAAGGGAGCTTTTTCAATTGATAAACAATTACGATCTGCTGCCAGATTTGGATTGAAAACTTTTTGATTATAACTGCACGGCATCTATAATCATAAGGCATCTGACATATGTAAACCAGATGCCAAAGATCCGTCTGCTTTGCCAGTAGGTCGATTAAAAGATGACGAAAAGGAAACACGGGAAGAGTTTAAAAATTCGACACACGTTCGACGCTGCAGCACCCAGCAGTTCTCTTCTTTTAGTATTTCAAAATCGTCCACTTCATCCACAAGCTCAATCAAATTGGAAGATCGAAGTGCGGTACTCGATGTGGGATTGTATGTAGTTGTTGAACTTGTTGATTGGGCTGATTTAGGGTTACCACTCAACTTTTGTGCCACCTTAGTAGCAATTTTTTCCGCAAGTTCGTCCACATCAAATGGCAGGTCGCCTTGCTCACTTGATAAAATTGAAGGAAGAAAACTTCCAAGCGAGCTTTGATAGCCAAGACGGCTGGTGTTTGAAATAGAGGCAGCCTTACTCGTCTTACTTACTGCATTAACTCTCACAATCTCTTCGCTGTAACAATGAAAGTGTTAAAAAGCCAACATTAAAATTTTTTTGCAAACTGTGTGAAAAGTATATGTACTAAGAAATTCAACAGAAGACGTTGAAATACTTAATGATTTCATCGTTAATATTAAACGACTTAAGAAATTTGTAATGTAGAAATTACTTATCCGAACAAGTGAATTATTGGAAGCCTTGAACTAAAAGTCAACACTTTCAACCACTATGGCATAAATTTCACAAAATATCGTGACAAAATGTCGTAAAATCTGATACTATAATGCAAGAAAAATGCCGTATTTCACTAACAAACCTCTCATCTTTTCATCGGTTTCCTCCCAACTTTCAGATTCACTGACACCAGAAACGATTTTGCACGAAAGTTCGTCAGTTGCATGTCCAGCCGTATCCTTACCAAGCTCTCTGAAACAATTTAATATTCATAATTTTAAAAAGCTATCACTGTATATGTAAAAGAAATGTATTATATAACATGTATGCAGTTTGTGATATTCGGTTATTTTATGGTTCACGCAGGGAATGAGCAATTTAGCTACCTTTCATCGACTTCCATAATTTCTATCCGTTCTCCCATTCCGTCGCCACCACACTTTTGTTGCACTTGGCTTGTACTGAAAATACAATTAACATAGAAAACATACACAATGTAAGTGCAGTTCTCAATTTGGGAATTGGGAACTTGATTTTCATTTACCTAGCCGATTTAAGCATTTTGTACGCCTGTAGCGCAGATTTAGCAAGAGGGAATCTTCTCTAATAGCGTCATTTGCTAAGGTCTTTTCGCCCTTGTCGCTGTGAGTTTTAAATGGTTTGCTAGAGAGGACTTGTTCCCTCTAGCAAGCCAAAATTACGTTTGCCTTGCCTAAAACAAAGTAAGCAAAAGCCCATTGGGGTTTTCTCGTGTCCACTCTTTGCTCGCTTTGCTTCTGGTCCTGTTTTCTGCTGCTTGCTATGTCTTTTAAACATGTTGGCAAACTGAAACTCTATAATTTACTATTGTTTTTATAAAACCCACTGACAATGTCATGCCACTTTTCTTTGTGACGCAAACACGATCACTCTTACACACGACTAACATTCTAACACTAGATAATTGTTCTGTTACCTTCCTTAGACAGTGTTTGCTGCTTATTTTTAGCCACTGCTGCTGTCTCAGTTTTTGCACAGCCACTACACAAGACCTGGGCACCAAAACCTTCATCATCACCTGCTGATGTTGAGCAAGGCGGAATTGCGTGGCACGTTTTTTTGCAAACTTTGCAAATATGGCTTCCACATTCCTTCTGGCATGAAACGCAAACTAGTAATTAGGCAAAAACAATGAAAACATAAGTTAAGATAATGTAGTGAACGTTTTTTTGGTATCAAAGGCAAGCAGCCCTAGTTTTTACCAACACACAAATGTTGGTTTGGTACTCTTAGTGAGAAGTGAATATTGTCGAGGAATCACCGAATCAGCTCCTGCAATCAACCAATGGCTGATATATATTGTGTATATTGTTGTTAGGAAAATTTTCGGCTATTGTAACGCGTGAATTTACCTGATTTAACTGCTTGAATCTCAGCCATCTAGTAAAAATAAATAAACAATTAGATAAAAAGTTTGTCAAAAAATCTCGCTTTATCACCAAACAATAGCGAGCTAAGCCCTGTTAGTTCGTTAGCAAACCGGTTTTAATTATAAATTGCTTCATTTATCAATATGTTTTATGTAAGGATTGTGAATTTTATTTGCCTTAAATGTATTAAAACATGCTTTGTAGTTTGTAATACAAGAAATCCTTTCGTACCACTACTTTTAGGTTACACAAAAAACATAACTGTTAAATAATAACTTGTTTCCCCGGGCGTTTAGTGTTAGAAGCGTTAATGCTTTCAGAATTTTTATCATTTGTAATTTTGTATCAGTACTTTTGACTTTACTAAACCATTACGTATACTCACCTTACAAATTTGAACACCCCAAGTTGGTTTAATTAAATATCACGTATCACCGTAGAATACACCGAAGAATCGATATGGTTTGCCTTGAAGTCACTAAAAAGAGAAAGCTCGAAAAACGAAAGCAAAGAATGTGTAGTTAATCTGCTCAGATATCATATTTCTAGTCATCAAACGCTTATTGGCTTACCAACCAATTAACGGAACTTGCCTGTCAAAACAGCTTGTAAGATTGACATTCAACAGGCAACAATTTTTTTCAACGGAAGCAACAGCGCTGCAGCGCACATGTGCTGATATTGCGCAATAATTTCTCGCGCTGCACGGCAAATTTCACAAATGCGAGGCGAACACGAAATTTTTTAAAATCTGCGCGTCAGGACGCGCATTTCTCCCGAAATTGCGCAAGCTAGATCTAGGTTGCGCAAGACATACTTTCCAGTCTGGCCAACTAGAACACGGAATGAATACGGAGCACTACAGTTTAATATACCTGTGCTTCTCCTTGAAGGCTATTTGGAACAAGATTTCACGATAGCAGAAATTGCAAAACTACTTTCAGTTTCTGAGAGCACATTATACCGGCGAATGAGAAAATTTGGCCTCTGTAAGAATGAATTCTCTGTTATTACGGACGGGGATTTGGATGAACAAATTGCTAAGATCGGCCAAGAGTTTCCCCACTGCGGCGAGAGCATGGTAAAGCAGATCCTTATTGGAAAGGGTATTAAAGTGCAGCGGTGGCGTTTACGTGATAGCATACATAGGATTGACGAGGAGGGCGTTGCTCACAGAAAAAGGGGAACGCTGCAAAGAAGGGTTTATCACGTCCAAGGGCCAAACCACCTATGGCACATAGACTCAAACCACAAACTTATTCGTTGGAATATGATAATTATTGGAGGGATTGATGGTTTTAGTCGCTTACCTGTCATGCTGAAATGTTCAGACAACAATAAAGCAAATACTGTCTTAACCTGCTTTTGTCATGCTGTACAGGAATATGGCTTGCCTAGTAGAATTAGGATGGACAAGGCTCTTGAAAATGCTGGGATTGCACAATACATGATTGAGAAGAGAGGGACTGGTCGGGCAAGTGTTATTGCCGGGAAGAGCACACACAACCAGCGAATTGAAAGATTATGGAGGGATGTCTATGATGGTGTGCTCAGTTATTTCTATCAACTTTTTTATTTCTTGGAAGAAGAAGGTGTGCTTGATCCATTAATTGAATCACATTTGGTAGCTTTGCATTATGTTTATTTGCCTTTTGTGAATGTAAAGCTAGACACTTGGAGAATGGCTTGGGCTCATCATCGCATGCGAACAACTAGAGCAACCCCTGCACAAATGTGGCTTGCAGGTCAATTTCAAAATCCATTTGGCTCAAGCAATTACCTAGACAGAATGGGAAGTAATGGTGATCTTGAAGATGAAGACGAGGAGAAAATACAAGGAGAACAACCAATTGTTTTGCCTTTGCTATCTTCATTGCCTGCAGCTTGTCTACAGGAACTGAACAGGACTTCTTCAAACTGGACTTTGTTAAACCATGGCATTCAAGATTATCTGGCAGCATTAGATATCATCAAAAGGCATGTTTGAAATTTCATTATATGTGTTACAAATGGAATTTTAAAGAAACTGAAAGTAGTTTTGCAATTTCTGCTATCGTGAAATCTTGTTCCAAATAGCCTTCAAGGAGAAGCTTAGGTATATTAAACTGTCGTGCTCCGTATTCAATCCGTGTTCTAGTTGGTGGTTCGCTCAATCCACATTTCACACACTCTACTCGTATTGACATAATGTCGGAATGGTTTTGGATCCCTAACTCTTTGAAATCATTGAGAGAAAGCTTACAAACTAAGTCCGGCGTTATTTTCTCTGAAGTAAATCGCTCCTCAAAGTGATCCAGTCGCAACTTTTGCAAAATAAATGACATTTTGGACTCCATTTTGAAATTATGAAAAAAAATAAAATGAAGGATTTATAAACTGATGCGTCGGATTTATTTACTTTATCATAAGCAAATGTTTGGGGCTTTTCAGTTTATGATCATTGATCATTCAATCATTGGACAGTTATACTACATATTGTTTAAGATTTGAGAAAACTAACATTGATTACATGAGAAGCTGTTTACTATAACCTGTGATTTTGAGTCTTCTGATCCATGAAGCTTTTTATTTTGACAATTTGACTGGAATGGTATTAAACCTGAGTATTTCACATACATGAAATGTTGTCCCATGTCACATATTGTCCCCTTTTCAAACTGAACACCTCATGTAGAGATGTAAAGGTGTGTTAATCTATGGCTCATACCATAAAATCCAAAGTTTGCCATAAAATCCAAAGGGCTATTGATGTATGAAAAGCATTTTTATAGAGTAAAATGTCTTCCTATGTATGCAGATAAACCTTGAAATTTGGCAAAACAGCAAAGTATTTTCATGATCACTATGTAATTTTTCTGATGATCATTATAATTTCTAAACTAAATTATTTCAGATCAAACGAGCTTTGATCATATCAAAAGATATTTATCATAACCAGTAAGCATGACACATGAACCAAATATAACATTCATGTAATTATATAATCAAAGACATGTTGGTTACATTCTGTTTGTATTTGCAAATACAATGCTACTAGTGATTGCTATATAGCACACTTGCATATACTTACAGAAGATAATAGTCTAGTGAAATGCCTAATAAACATTTATGACATTAAGCTGTCCTTAACTGCAAATTTTTACTCTGATAATTTTTGCTTAATCTTTGGCAGAAAAATTTTGAGTTTTTTCTCAAAAAGTGAATTTGCTGACAATGATATGGAGATGGGTAAAGGGTTACAATAAACTTGCATGGTTTGAAGTCTGAGCTTTTCTATATCTATGAACTGTCACTTGTAGTACCAAATTTCTAACTGAACTCGTTACATAGAGGTTTGAATGGGGTCTCTAGGGGGTCTATGCCTGACAACTTGGTAGAAATTTTTAAAGACTGTATCTGTTTTTGAATAGCATTATTGTAAAATAAATTTTACGTTCCTAGACATGCTAATGAGCCATATATTTGGCATGATAATGAGCCTAAATAATTGGCAAAACATTCAAGTATTGTTCACTTCATTTTTTTTTTGAAAAAAACGTAAGCAAAATGTGTTGTATTTACGCAAAACCAATGCCCACAAAATACATTTTGTATTGCTCTAAAACACTGAAAATAGCATTTTCAAGGTTCTGAAATTCAAAATTTCTCAGGGGAGAATGCCTCAGACCACCTCAGGTGCGGATCGCCCCCGACGTTTTATGACTGATGTTTGAAAAATCCTAGATCCGCCACTGTCAAACGCAGTTTAAAAGAGATTTGACTGGTCTCCAATCCATGTGGGCTTGGTAGCTCAACAGGTAGAGCGGCAGACTAGTATCCTGAAGGTGCGAGTTCAAATCTCGTCCAAGTCACATGTTTTTCATGTGCATATTAAAACCGTGTTAGGATTAATATATTATATGTATTCTCTGATTAAAATAATTCTCTCATTATACGCGGTGCTTTGACCATTATACGCGGTGCTTTGACCTTTATACGCGGTGCTTTGACCATTATACGCGGTGCTTTGACCATTATACGCGGTGCTTTGACTATTATACGCGGTGCTTTAAGCATTATACGCGGTGCTTTGACCATTATACGCCGTGCTTTGACTATTATATGCGGTGCTTTGACCATTATACGCGGTGCTTTGACCATTATACGCGGTGCTTTGACCATTATACGCGGTGCTTTGGCCATTATACGCGGTGCTTTGACCATTATACGCGGTGCTTCGACCATTATATTCGGTGAGCCGCTATTGCTGGTCAGCGCTGACGCATCAGTTTATAAATCCTTCATTTTATTTTTTTTCATAATTTCAAAATGGAGTCCAAAATGTCATTTATTTTGCAAAAGTTGCGACTGGATCACTTTGAGGAGCGATTTACTTCAGAGAAAATAACGCCGGACTTAGTTTGTAAGCTTTCTCTCAATGATTTCAAAGAGTTAGGGATCCAAAACCATTCCGACATTATGTCAATACGAGTAGAATGTGTGAAATGTGGATTGAGCGAACCACCAACTAGAACACGGATTGAATACGGAGCACTACAGTTTAATATACCTAAGCTTCTCCTTGAAGGCTATTTGGAACAAGATTTCACGATAACAGAAATTGCAAAACTACTTTCAGTTTCTTTAAAATTCCATTTGTAACACATATAATGAAATTTCAAACATGCCTTTTGATGATATCTAATGCTGCCAGATAATCTTGAATGCCATGGTTTAACAAAGTCCAGTTTGAAGAAGTCCTGTTCAGTTCCTGTAGACAAGCTGCAGGCAATGAAGATAGCAAAGGCAAAACAATTGGTTGTTCTCCTTGTATTTTCTCCTCGTCTTCATCTTCAAGATCACCATTACTTCCCATTCTGTCTAGGTAATTTCTTGAGCCAACTGGATTTTGAAATTGACCTGCAAGCCACATTTGTGCAGGGGTTGCTCTAGTTGTTCGCATGCGATGATGAGCCCAAGCCATTCTCCAAGTGTCTAGCTTTACATTCACAAAAGGCAAATAAACATAATGCAAAGCTACCAAATGTGATTCAATTAATGGATCAAGCACACCTTCTTCTTCCAAGAAATAAAAAAGTTGATAGAAATAACTGAGCACACCATCATAGACATCCCTCCATAATCTTTCAATTCGCTGGTTGTGTGTGCTCTTCCCGGCAATAACACTTGCCCGACCAGTCCCTCTCTTCTCAATCATGTATTGTGCAATCCCAGCATTTTCAAGAGCCTTGTCTATCCTAATTCTGCTAGGCAAGCCATATTCCTGTACAGCATGACAAAAGCAGGTTAAGACAGTATTTGCTTTATTGTTGTCTGAACATTTCAGCATGACAGGTAAGCGACTAAAACCATCAATCCCTCCAATAATTATCATATTCCAACGAATAAGTTTGTGGTTTGAGTCTATGTGCCATAGGTGGTTTGGCCCTTGGACGTGATAAACCCTTCTTTGCAGCGTTCCCTTTTCTGTGAGCAACGCCCTCCTCGTCAATCCTATGTATGCTATCACGTAAACGCCACCGCTGCACTTTAATACCCTTTCCAATAAGGATCTGCTTTACCATGCTCTCGCCGCAGTGGGGAAACTCTTGGCCGATCTTAGCAATTTGTTCATCCAAATCCCGTCCGTAATAACAGAGAATTCATTCTTACAGAGGCCAAATTTTCTCATTCGCCGGTATAATGTGCTCTCAGAAACTGAAAGTAGTTTTGCAATTTCTGCTATCGTGAAATCTTGTTCCAAATAGCCTTCAAGGAGAAGCATAGGTATATTAAACTGTAGTGCTCCGTATTCATTCCGTGTTCTAGTTGGTGGTTCACTCAATCCACATTTCACACACTATACTCGTATTGACATAATGTCGGAATGGTTTTGGATTCCTAACTCTTTGAAATCATTGAGAGAAAGCTTACAAACTAAGTCCGGCGTTATTTTCTCTGAAGTAAATTGCTCCTCAAAGTGATCCAGTCGCAACTTTTGCAAAATAAATGACATTTTGGACTCCATTTTAAAATTATGAAAAAAATAAAATGAAGGATTTATAAACTGATGCGTCAGCGCTGACCAGCAATAGCGGCTCACCGAATATAATGGTCAAAGCACCGCGTATAATGGTCAAAGCACCGCGTATAATGGCCAAAGCACCGCGTATAATGGTCAAAGCACCGCGTATAATGGTCAAAGCACCGCGTATAATGGTCAAAGCACCGCATATAATGGTCAAAGCACCGCGTATAATGGTCAAAGCACCGCGTATAATGGCCAAAGCACCGCGTATAATGGTCAAAGCACCGCGTATAATGGTCAAAGCACCGCGTATAATGGTCAAAGCACCGCATAAAATAGTCAAAGCACGGCGTATAATGGTCAAAGCACCGCGTATAATGGTCAAAGCACCGCGTATAATAGTCAAAGCACCGCGTATAATGGTCAAAGCACCGCGTATAATGGTCAAAGCACCGCGTATAAAGGTCAAAGCACCGCGTATAATGGTCAAAGCACCGCGTATAATGAGAGAATTATTTTAATCAGAGAATACATATAATATATTAATCCTAACACAGTTTTAATATGCACATGAAAAACATGTGACTTGGACGAGATTTGAACTCGCACCTTCAGGATACTAGTCTGCCGCTCTACCTGTTGAGCTACCAAGCCCACATGGATTGGAGACCAGTCAAATCTCTTTTAAACTGCGTTTGGACAGTGGCGGATCTAGGATTTTTCAAACATCAGTCATAAAACGTCGGGGCGATCCGCACCTGGGGTGGTCTGAGGCATTCTCCCTGAGAAATTTTGAATTTCAGAACCTTGAAAATGCCATTTTCAGTGTTTTAGAGCAATACAAAATGTATTTTGTGGGCATCGGTTTTGCGTAAATACAACACATTTTGCTTACGTTTTTTCAAAAAATGAAGTGAACAATACTTGAATGTTTTGCCAATTATTTAGGCTCATTATCATGCCAAATATATGGCTCATTAGCATGTCTAGGAACGTAAAATTTATTTTACAATAATGCTATTCAAAAACAGATACAGTCTTTAAAAATTTCTACCAAGTTGTCAGGCATAGACCCCCCTAGAGACCCCCATTCAAACCTCTATGTAACGAGTTCAGTTAGAAATTTGGTACTACAAGTGACAGTTCATAGATATAGAAAAGCTCAGACTTCAAACCATGCAAGTTTATTGCAACCCTTTACCCATCTCCATATCATTGTCAGCAAATTCACTTTTTGAGAAAAAACTCAAAATTTTTCTGCCAAAGATTAAGCAAAAATTATCAGAGTAAAAATTTGCAGTTAAGGACAGCTTAATGTCATAAATGTTTATTAGGCATTTCACTAGACTATTATCTTCTGTAAGTATATGCAAGTGTGCTATATAGCAATCACTAGTAGCATTGTATTTGCAAATACAAACAGAATGTAACCAACATGTCTTTAATTATATAATTACATGAATGTTATATTTGGTTCATGTGTCATGCTTACTGGTTATGATAAATATCTTTTGATATGATCAAAGCTCGTTTGATCTGAAATAATTTAGTTTAGAAATTATAATGATCATCAGAAAAATTACATAGTGATCATGAAAATACTTTGCTGTTTTGCCAAATTTCAAGGTTTATCTGCATACATAGGAAGACATTTTACTCTATAAAAATGCTTTTCATACATCAATAGCCCTTTGGATTTTATGGCAAACTTTGGATTTTATGGTATGAGCCATAGATTAACACACCTTTACATCTCTACATGAGGTGTTCAGTTTGAAAGGGGACAATATGTGACATGGGACAACATTTCATGTATGTGAAATACTCAGGTTTAATACCATTCCAGTCAAATTGTCAAAATAAAAAGCTTCATGGATCAGAAGACTCAAAATCACAGGTTATAGTAGACAGCTTCTCATGCAATCAATGTTAGTTTTCTCAAATCTTAAACAATATGTAGTATAACTGTCCAATGATTGAATGATCAATGATCATAAACTGAAAAGCCCCAATATTTGCTTATGATAAAGTAAATAATAGTATGGCGCCTTATGGCTACAGATTTTTTGTCCATTGAAATATATTTGCAGGAATGTAGGATTTTGCTGCCATATAATTCGTTTTCAACTTTATTAACGTGGTTTTGAACGTCTCTGATTCTTTTTGCTTTTTTTGTCGAGTCCAGTTTATCTCTGACGAGAGTGCAGAATGTAAATTAAATAAATCTCAAAAATTTTTCACATTATAATGGAAAATGGAAATCTCCGTACAAGAATCTGTTATCTTATTGTAGTTTTCATTGGTTACATTATGTTTGTCTCTATCGAGCTTCCTTCCTTGCACATCACAAAGTGAAATTTAGGAAATTTACCTTAGAAATGGTACATCCATTGAAAACTAATTTATGTGATTAATGATTTAATTGCAAAACAAGTATTTCTATTTTAGGGTTATGATCACACGTGTAATGATCCTGCAATGTTATATCGTGTAGAAACAATGCCTGGTTTAGGCTGGTGAGAATTTTATTACTACAAATGATTTTGTTTACGCTATGACATCACGCAACAGTGACGTCATGCTACAATGACATCACACTACAAGCACATCACGCTGCAATGACATCACGCTACAATGACCTCACGCTGCAATGACATCACGCCACAATGACATCACGCAGCACTATAAATGTATAGATAGTATAAACTTCATTCTATCTATTATTTCTCTTTGCATTAACAGGTTGCTCAAACGACGACTTTATAAAGAAGAACTTGAGCCAAAATGGCCAACCCCTGATCTCTTTTGGGATTGGGATATGTGGATGAGGATGGACAGCAACAAAAAGGGACGTGAATGTATCATTCCGGATATCTCAAGAACCTACCATTTTGGCGCCAAAGGCCTGAATATGAATGTATTTTTTCAAGAATCCTATTTCAAAAAACATACGTTGAATACTGAACCTAACGTTAAGTTCAATGTTGGATTGTTGAAAAAAGAAAATTATGAGAAGGAGATTGAACGGCTTGTAGGGTATGTCTTGCAGGATTTTATAAAATATTGACAACAATATTTTTCTTTTCACAGGACAATGAAGGAGATTTCTACTTAGTGATTCAGTGATCTAATTATCATCATAGTGCGTATATTTATGTCATTTGATTGTTAGAGATGTCTATCTACTGTTTTTTACAGGTTGGCAGAGCCGTTGGATCACAGTAAAAATCCTTGCAAGAACGAGAAAGACTTTGTTCCAGAAACATCTGATAAAACATATATATTTTATATTGAAATGAAACATGCTAACGACTGGACAACATGGAATAATATAGCGAGATGTTTACGAATCTGGGACTTAGATGCTCGAGGATTTCATAAAAGCATGTGGAGATTATGGTTAAAGGGTAATCACGTGTTAATTGTTGGATCACCGGCTTCACCTTACGCCAAACATAAACCAATTAACGTAAAACCTATTTTCATTAATTATTTGAAAACGAACTTACCTCTCATTCTTTCCCTTTGTCCCATCCTATTAGGATTGCTAAAATGAATCACTTGCTACCATTTAGTTCTGTCAATAAAATTCTCTCGTTAAATTATTACATTACATTTTACAATGGCAAGTCATATTATTGCAATAAGCAGGGCTCCAATGTTCATAATAAGTATTGAGCACGACAAAAGCTTTTCTATAGCATGTGGGTGATTCCACGTGAATAAATTACAAGCTTTTGATATGCCTTCTAATTTATTTGTTGACGTAACAAGTTGAATAAAGGTGGTCAGGTGGGAGAAAATGATAACTCTCCTAGCTATGGTGCATTGAATTGCGGTTTTGGGTGAGATAATTTTTGTTCATACTAGATAAAATTTACCACAACACGACATGCTCTGTCTGCCGTCATAACCTTACAATCATTGATTTCGCAAACTCTTCATTGAGGAAACAAAAGAAATATTCTTTGTTTTCTCCCAACCTCTGGGGAAAAGGCTTTGCTTTCTTTTACTAACCAATGTCGTTAGTTAACTTATAACCAGGCTTAATTCCTTTTGTCTTTGCCCTGCATATATTTTCATGCAATCAATGAATTTAATCCCTTTTTATCAGGGTTTGAACAAAATTGACGAATGAATTAATAATTAATTCATGTGATATATGAAAGTTATCAGAAGAAAAAGTAGGGTCTTTCACTTCGATAACCCTATTTGACCGAGCTGTTCGTCTGGGAAAGGTGAAAGTCTGTTGAAAGTCGAAGACAGCCTTCAAGAAATGCGACTACTTGTTGGAAAGGACGAGCAACTGAAGACATGACACGGTTGAGATATTTTAGCCATGTTTGAAAGCGGCAGGTTAAATACAGAAAAATCGTCGATGACATAAAGATGTAAGTTTGAGATCGATGAATTAAAATGTATAACCCAATTGTGATGTGAATTCTCGTTACAGCATATTCAAAGCATCGTTATGAGTCCTATTTGTTCGAAGGAATGATCGATTTCTTTGGTTTCTTAGTATTTCTATGTTTCGATCTTGGAGCACAAAAATGCCGTCAAGTTTCAGTTACATATTGAAGTGAGAACACGAACGAAACTGCCAAAAGTTTCCCACTATTCTTGACATCAATTATTGGACCTCTTCAATACATGTCCAGAAAATATTTTCATTTTTGCATTCATCGTTATCATTCACATAAGTGTGATGATTTTGATTTTGCCTATTTCTAACAACTGGCCATTGTTAGAAATAGTAAGTTCAATCCTTTTGTGACAAAAGGATATAATATTTTATGTCTCCCGAGCAGGGCCGGATTAAGATGTGTGGAGGCTCTGAGCAGCAAAATACGTCCCCTTTCCTTACTCTAAACGCAATGTGCTGCTCATTTTTCAACAGTAAAATTTACTTTCAAATTTCGTAAAGCATTTGATAAAAGTATAAACTTCGAATATAGCGTGTAAAGCGGTTGCATACGACGAGTGAATGCTGCTACTTGAGATAAAGTAGTTATTGCGATTTTATTCTGGCAGTCTTTGATAAGCTCTTCCAAGTTTATTTCTGTTAGAATATTGTCCTCAATGCTCATCAGAGCAAAATGGCTGAGTTTACTGTGATTCGTTGTCATACGTGTCTGTTCTTCATCAGTTGAAATTGATCCAACAAATAAACTAAATGCTTTTCCTTCGTCTTTAAAGCAACTATGTTTATTATTCCTTTGAATAATGTGAAGGCCCTTGTTTGTGGAGGCTTCTAGACAGCTTCCTTTGGTTAATCCGTCCCTGCTCCTGAGAGGAACTACTGTAGCATCAAGTGATGTTATAGTAGGTAAGATAAAAGTGGGTAATTCACTTGAGAAACGTTCAAATGAATTACCTCAAATATATATTATAGAGTATACAAGATATTGCAACATGGGGGCAAAATGTTGCTGAATCTTCAAATGCGATGATGTTTTATAAACCTTCGTACCTTACCGTAATAATTAAACAACCTTTTCAATGAAATCGAGCAGAGAATATATTGCATGAGACATTCGTTAATTATCTTGTTTTTATCCAGGTATTTTTGAATTATATCGCATGTAATAAATCGTTTGACAATGTTACAGAACACTGCATGTGTTATAACATTGAGGGGTGTTACAGCACAATGCACGGTTCAAACGATAAGCTTTCCGCGAGTCTTATAATCTTCAAAGAGTTGTTCTCTTAACATACATGTTCAGTCATGTACAGTGTCGAGCGTACGGACAGTGAAAGAACGCGAACTCTGGCAGTGGTATGTGCTAAACAATTGTTTGTTTCCATTAAACAAATAACTCCTTCTTCAGTCTTTTTTTAGGTACTAGAGATGAAGATCAGGAAGAAGATAGAGGAGTACGTTATAATTTTTCCTGTCCTTATCTTAACTTGTTTCTAGATTTTTCGTTTAGATGAGGAGGAGGCTGATGAAAAGTAGAGGAGGATGCTGATGGAGAGACAAGAAGGATGCAGATGAAGAGACGAGGATGCAGATGAAGAGAAAAGGAGGATGCAGATGAAGAGACGAGGATGCAGATAATGAGAAAAGGAGGATGCAGATGAAGGGACGAGGAGGATGAAAATGAATGGACAAAGGAGGATCAAGAAGGATATAGAGAAGTATGTTACTTTTTTCCTGTCATAATCGTAACTTGATTTTTAGGTACTTCGTTTAGATGAGGAGGATGCTAATGCAGAAACGAGGAGGATGCAGATGAAGAGACGAAGATGCCAATGAGGAGAAGGATGCAGAGAAGGATAAATGAAGAGAGGATGCAGATGGAGGATGCAGATGAAGAGACGAAGGATGCAGATGGAGAGGATGCAGATGGAGAGAGAGGAGAGGAGAAGATGGAGAGAGAGATGAAGAGAGAAGATGAAGAGATTGAAAGATGAAGATGCGATGGAGAGGAGATGGATGAAGATGGTGGAAAGATGGAGAAGGATGGATGAAGAGACAAGAAGGATGCAGATGAAGAGACGAGGAAAGATGAAGGATGATGGATGGAAAGACGAGAAAGATGGAAAGAGAGAATGATGGATGGAAAGATGAAATGGAAAGGAGAATGGAAAGATGAAGAGGATGGATGGAAAGATGAGGTGGATGGAGGAGATGCAATGGGAAGGAGTGGATGGAGAAGGAAAGATGGAAAGACGAGAATGGAAAGGAGGTGGATGGAATGGAAGATGGATGGAAAGATGGATGGAGAAAGATGGAAGGAAGGATGGGATGGAATGGAGATGGAGGATGGATGGAAAGAAGAGAATGCAAATGGAGAGGAGATGGATGGAGAGAAGAGGGATGGAAGAAGAGAAAGATGAGAAGGATGGATGGAAAGAAGAGAAGGATGCAGATGGAAAACGAGAAGGATGCAGATGGGAAGAGAAGGATGGATGGAGACGAGAGGATGCAGATGGAAAGACGATGGAGGGAATGGACGATGAGAAGGAAATGGAGAGAGGATGGAGATGTGGAGAGATGCAGATGGAAAGACGAAAGAAGGAGATGAAGACGAGAAGGATGAGAGAGACAAATGGGAAGCGATGGATGGAAAGACGGATGAGATGAAGCGATGGAGAAGATGGAGAGAGGATGAGGATGAGGAGGAAAGAATGCAGATGGAAAGGAGAAGATCAATGGAAGAGAAAGGATGGATGGAGAATGGATGGAAGAGAAGGATGATGGAAGAGAAAGATGGATGGAAGGATGGAAAGGAAAGACGAGAATGGATGGAAAGACGAGAAGATGGAAAGACGAGAAGGATGGAAAGAAGAGAAGAGAGATGGAGATGGATGGATGGATGGAGACGAGAAGGATGCAGATGGAAGAGAAGGATGGGAGAGAAAGATGGCGAAGATGCAGATGGAAGAAGATGCAGATGGAGAATGCAGATGGAAAGACGAGGAGGATGCAGATAGAAAGACAAGGAAGATGCAGATGGAAAGACGAGAAGGATGCACATGAAGAGACGAGAAGGATGCACATAAAGAAACGAGAAGGATGCACATGAAGAGACGAGGAATTTAATCATTACTCAATTATATATTACAGAATTGTATATTCTGTAATATATAATTGAGGTAATTAAGTTAATTCATTTGATATTGCAACATGCGGGCAGAGTGTTGCAAAATCTTTTATAAACCTTAGTGCCTTACCGAAATAATTAAACAACCTTTTGGATGAAATCGAAAAGAGTTGAGCAGAGAATATATTGCATGAGACATTCGTTAATTATCTTGTTTTTATCTAGGTATTTTTGAATTATATCGCATGTAATAAATCGTTTGACAATGTTACAGAACACTGCATGTGTTATAACATTGAGGGGTGTTATAACACAATGCACGGTTCAAACGATAAGCTTTCCGCGAGTCTTATAATCTTCAAAGAGTTGTTCACTTAACATACATGTTCAATCATGTACAGTCATGGATATCAATGTTTTAGCATGATAAAACTATTACAATGCAAAAGCACGATCTCCATAATCACTTGCCATGATATTGTTGTTGCATTTTTATAGACATGTCGAGCGTACGGACAGTGAAAGAACGCGAACCCTGGCAGTGGTGGGTGCTTACAATTGTTTGTTTCCATCAAACAAATAACTTCTTCTTCAGTCTTTCTTTAGGTACAAGAGATGAAGATCAAGAAGAAGATAGAGGAGTACGTTATTATTTTTTCCTGTCCTAATCTTAACTTGTTTTTAGATTTTTCGTTTAGATGAGGAGGAGGCTGATGAAAAGAAGAGGATGCTGACGGAGAGACGAGAAAGATGCTGACGGAGCTACGAGGAGGATGCTGATGGTGCTACGAAGAGGATGCTGATGGTCCTGCGAGGAGGATGCTGATGGTCCTGCGAGGAGGATGCTGATGGTCCTGCGAGGAGGATGCTGATGGTCCTACGAAGAGGATGCTGATGGCGCTACGAGGAGGATGCTGATGGAGCTACGAGGAGGATGCTGATGGTGCTACGAGGAGGATGCTGATGGTACTACGAGGAGGATGCTGATGGTGCTACGAGGAGGATGCTGATGGCGTTACGAGGTGGATGCTGATGAAGCAACGAAGAGGATGCTGATGGAGCAACGAAGAGGATGCTGACGGAGAGACGAAGAGGATGCTGACGGAGAGACGGGAAGCATGCTGATGGAGAACAAGATGAAAAACAAGATGAGGTATAAAAATTTTTTTATTTGTTTCACTGACTTGTAGCTTAGTGACTTCAGTCTTTTTTCAGGTTTATGTGTTTGTTTTTAGTGTGTCGCTAATTTGTTCTTTGGCTATCTTTTAGATTTTTAAGAAATCTTGGATTTTGAGAGAGCATATATACTCTGTTGAATTCGGCGTATTCTTACTAAGTCAGAGAGTTCCCTCGCTCTCTGACTTAGAAAACGAATTTTGTGGTAAAGTATTTCAAAGTAGGCTCCTGCCACCTATTTTGGAATAATGTTGTACAAATTTCTATTAAGTAATGATTTTAGAATAATAATGTTGTTTGAAAAGCATTTATGCCGTGATGAATAAATAACATCCATCGGTAGTTTTGAAACGACTGTCAGCTTAAAATATGCATATGTATTTAAATTAAACATGGTCACCATGCCAGCAAGTGTCAGCGTTTGATAAATGTTTTTCGAAATACGCTTTTCAATGCAATATGGAAATTCGTCATCATAACGTGCACAAAATCGCTGTTTCGTAATAATATATACGCAATTTTAACAAATATTTAATGATGTTTGGGGCTGTTTTCATTCAACCGTAGCTATAGTGTGTTTTCGTTTGACGTCATATAAGCCATGTTGGGAGAGTACATGAGTGTCGAAGCTCAGCAAAGCATAAAATTAGCAGAAATTCTTTTCACTGTATGGAATTTTGCCCCAACATGGTAACTGATGAAAACAATTTAGAGGAAGAAATCATTAAGGTGTAAAATGATTTTTTCATCAGCTGGCAATCCATTTGGGACTTTTCACAGTATTTCTAATTCACGAAAATTTGCATAAAACGTACAAAATGACATACCTCGCAACAAGTATAAAACATGTGAAAATTGATCATCAAATTTACTGGCATTTCCCCAGTATAGTAGCGGCATCTTCTTTCATGTTTAGAGATTATTTTACACCTCAATGTTTTCTACTCTCATGTCCTTAGACCCAAAAAAAATTTACATCTGTAATGTAATGTATGATAAACTTAAGAATAAATTTAAGAGAAAGGAACTTCTCAAACGACTTCAAGTAATATGTAAGTTTTAGCAAGTAAAAATGTTCGTACAATAAAGTATAAAAAACAATCTCCAAACATTGTTTAAGATTTTTAGACATTAAGCTGGCTTGAAGACCACTGTTTTTTGCAAAAAATTCGGCAATTTCGAAGTGATGTATTTCTCCTCCGTACAGCTGGATTTCCACTTCCCGGTAAGGACGGTAACGGTAAACGGTAAACGGTACACATGAAGGAAATTTTCCGTGTATTAATTTCCTCTTGTTTTGGCGGACATTTTAAAACAGATGCGCATCATCATGGCTAAACTTAGAACAAAAACATTAATGATGCTGTTGCTATAGAAAAGAATGCAATTGCGAAAAAAATACAAAAAGAGAACGTCGGTTCGAAGAATATTTCAGGAAAGAAAGCAAAAAGGAGAGTTTCACCTTCTTGTAGAAGAGGTGAGACTTTTTGATAGGGAATACTACTTCAAATACTTCAGGTTGTCCGTATCCCAGTTCGAAGAACTTTTGCAGCTTGTTGCTCCTAAAATCGCCAAGTGCAGTGAAAAAAGAGAACCAATATCTCCGAGTGAGCGGCTCTCAGTTACTCTAAGATACTTGGTCACTGGAAACTCTCACGCTTCGCTGTCAAGCAATTTCCGTATACATCCTACAACTATCAGCCGTGTTATAAGAGAGACCACGGCAGCTATTTGGGATGTTCTTTCACCCATTTACGTTAAGTGTCCCGAAAGTGAAGTCGAATGGAAGAACATTGCGAAAGATTTTAATCGCAAATGGAATTTTCCACATTGCTTGGGGGCAATTGATGGCAAGCATATAGTCATGCAAGCTCCAGCAAGATCAGGGTCGAGTTTCTTTAATTATAAAAAAACTCACTCAATTGTTCTTTTAGCAGTGTGCGATGCACAATACCGGTTCACCCTCGTAGATATCGGAGACTCGGGCAGAAATAGTGATGGAGGCGTTTTTCTAGTAGTAATCTAGGATATGCAATAGAACATGATCTTTGCATCTACCCAGAAATGAGAAGATACCTGGATCAGAAAACAAATTTCCTTATGTTTTGTTGGGGACGAGGCATTCCGTTTGTCTGAGCAACTGATGAAACCCTACCCGCGCGAGGTACTCTCTTTGAAAGAGAGGATTTATAACTATCGTTTGTCTAGAGCTAGGAGGGTCATTGAAAACTCATTTGGCATAGCTGCTGCACGTTTCCGAATTTGGCGACGCCCCATTATTGGTAAAGTTGACTTGGTCGTTTGTACAACAAAAGCAGTTGTGGCATTGCATAATTACTTGATGCATGGCAAATCTTTTGAGGCAAGTAGGTACTGTCCTACCGAAAACAGCTATGGATTTAAAAAAGGAGCCTGGCGCAACGAAGTAGAAGCATTTCATAGCACGGCTGGGTTGGCTGACATTCAACAACTTGGTTCTAATAATTACAGTAAAATAGCCAAGAGAATACGAGAAAATTTTTGTGATTATTTCATGTCTGAGGCAGGGCATGTACCATGGCAATTGAAGCATGTCACAGCAACACATGAATAATACAAGTTATCTTTAACTGGGTTTGACAATTGTTGGAGCATTCATTAATGAAACATGTACATATGAGTAAAGTAGAACATATATAATGTGCAGAAAGTTTGTAATTTCTTAAGTTTTAAGTATGCTAGTTTTCTAATAAACTTGTATAAAAATACCCACATATAACCAGAATTTTAATGCTCTAATCGTGATAAGGCCTTCAGAAAAAGCAACTGTAATTATAAATGACAAAACAACAAGCATCAGTTGAAAACCAATTTACCTTCAACAAAACACACTAGAATTAAATAAAACAAGAACTTAAACATCAAAATGGTATTTATAGTTCCAGTTAATGCAGTTATATAGCATGCAGTTAATCATTCATCACCAATGTCAAAGCTCATTAATACCTCTAAAAGTTTGATTCTAGCTCTCTTGTTCTTCTTAGATGAGAGTTGTTTTAAAGGTGCCACCAGACTTTTACACAAAAGTAAATCAGAATCATTTGTGTCTTCACCAGATTTATTAATGTCTTTGACTATTGCTGCAGTAAGAGCTGCATTCAAAGGGTCATCATCTTCTTTTCTTTTCAACTTTTCGCTGAGGCTGCTATGATTTCTGAGGATGGTTTGGGCTTGGGTGATGGATTTCTCATTCCACGTGCAGCAATTGCTATTTCATTGGAACTGCCTGAGGATACTTGAGTTAAATCAAATGGTGACGATGATCGACTATCTGATAGTCTGGGTACATTCACATTGCTTGTTGATTTTCTATTAGAAACACTATCTCTAAGGAAACTCAATTCAACAAAGAAGGCACATGTGGGTAACTTTTTTGCTTCTGCTCCAGATCGTGATTCCAATTCTCTCTTTTCAGACACTTTCGAAATTTTCTCTTAACCTTTTGAACTCATTTTCTGCTTCAATTGCTGAAAACATATGGGTAAAATAACTAATTGTTGTCAAAAGCATACCAAGTCACAAATTTAAAAGAAAGCACAACACAACATGTGGTGTGCAATACTCGCAATATTTTTATACACATCTGGTTTAATAGCAAAAATAAAAGCATCTGCAAATGAGTTTATGAACAAAATATCAATATCATCTGAAGTTTTGCTATGGACTTTACATAACTAGGACAAAACTAACAATATGGTTTTTTAGATGTAATGCTAGGTATGCAAACACACAGGTATAAACACATGAAATGGCATGTAACAAAGTAAAACATGAGAGATTTTTCATTTCTGGTTACCACAATAAACATGATAAGCTTCCTGCTTGTCATTTGTCAAAGGATGCTTTGTCATTGATGCATATTTAGAGACTGTACCTTGCACATGGAGTTGCTCTGAAATTTTTAACCATGCTTGTTTCTTCATAACACTGTTCTTGAACCCTTTGGACTTCAAATCCCATAGGCAAGGATAATTCCTCACTTCATCAATCAAATTACTACTGAAGTGATTCTGACTTTGTAAAGAGTACTCGCTCTCTTCGTTATGTCCAAAATTGTCTATCGTATTATCACTGGTTTGGCTAAGCAGTTGCTGCTCCTTGGAAACATCTTCAGTCGCCGTCGTCTTCTGCATTATATCTTGATCCAATATATACGTGGATTCTTCAGATCCAGTAAATATTTGGCTACCATAATAATTGACATGCGGATTGCTTCTCTGAAAACTTAATAATTTTGTGAGCATCAATTCAGTATTATACGCCATCTTGCTACTACCCAGGAGTCAATTTTTGTGGTATAATTTAATTGGCTAAAAGTGAAACGGTATGAATTCCGCGGAAAAAAGTTGACTTGACTTCAACTTTTAAAATTGGAAAGCAGTACGGTGTGCATACCGTTTTGCGGTGCTACATTTTCTACTGCGCATGCCTGTACCGTTTGGCGTTTACCGTTTTCCGTCCTTACCGGGAAGTGGAAATCCAGCTTACCTTCAATGGCGGCGCTCATGCAGGCTTCAAAGATGGCGTCCAAGTTAGCCTTCCAGTTGTTGTAGAGTTCACTGGGTTTAAATATGGTCGAGATAGATAGTTCACTATACCACGACGAAAAATTGCATGTAATTTACAAACTCTTGGCGTCACGTTCATTTGCTATAATAAAATTTACAATAAATATTTTTTTATTATTGATTGAACTATGGACGAATAAGAAAATTCATATCTAGAAATGACATGAATGAAAGGCAAAAGTAAATAAAAAATGTGACTATTTTTGACCAATGACATTAGGATGTTGATAGTGGTTACAATGGATGATAGTGGATAATTATAGACCTGCTTTCAAAATGGCGTATGCTGAACAATTTTATTTTCAGTCAACTTGGAGCACACTTAATCATTTTATGGCAAGAATAGGTAAATGTTGGCTGAACTGTATAAAATAAGGCGTTCAAGGATGCAATTCGGAAGCGTAAAAAAAGACTTGAGGCATATGCAAGAGAACTATCTTCACGTAGCAGACTGACATTTGTCGTGAATTCACTGAACTGCTCTGGAAGCTAACAGTTATTGGTTGTTATTCTGGCTATGTGAAACCAATCTATCTGCATGAGTTATATCATGATTTTAAACAGCAAATCGATGCGTTGCGTATGAGTTGTATCGACCAGCTTACTACACAGTCAACACTTCACCAATTTGGAATTTGAAACATTTTGGTGATAAGAATTTTATACGGACGTATCCCTGCGATAAAAAGACTCACAAGAAAAACTGTTTTGTTCAGAGTAAGGTAAAAATATTTTACTCTCTGATTGCCTAAATATTCTTTGAGTATTTAAAACTGGCTCATATAAGACCATACATGTATGTAGTTAATGGGATCTACATTTTAGCTAGCGTGTGCAATATTTTTATAAGTAAAACGATGCACGGTAGTGAGGTAACTTAGTGATTAAATGTACTTGAAAGCCGAGGGAGATTTTGTAGTAAAAGTCACAAGACTTGTAGCACCGAGGGACTTTAGCTAACCTGCCAGGGCTTTCAAGTGCATTTGATTGCCAAAATGTTTTAGTCAGTGCTTCACACACTGTTTATAAATTTGGATCTGCAGCTATTATTACCTAAGTGAAGACCTATTGATTGTCATGCTTTATTTTATCTCCATGTTTTTTTTATATTTTCACCATCATAAGTTGAACATTTGAGTTACCTTGCATGAGTCGTTTTTACTTAAAATATGTTCTTTAACAATTTTGGTTCATCATTGTTTTTGTTTTCTTGTAATTGATTTTATTTAGTATTTGTTAATATTGCAACTAAAATATTAACTCGTTTCAGTCTCCGCTTGCTGAAATCAAGATGGCTTCTAACCTTAAACATTTCAAACATTACAACTCAATGGTTGAAACCAATGAACTATTTAATCAAGTTACATTTGTTTCATCGTGTGCATTTCCTCTTTATGGATATCAAAGATATAGACAGTTATTCAAGAATGAAATAAAATATAGAATGTTTTCATTTGTTGATTTGACATACAGATTGGTTTGTTTACCTCCCAAAATAGGGAGGAAATTTGTTCACAGCGAACATAAATGCAGTCTTTACAATGTTTTTTAGCTGTCTTGTCATAAATATCGAAAATGTTTAATGATTGATAAGATTTTTAATTGTTTAACTAAATGAGTTTGTTTTATGCTTCATTAGAAACTGATGGAAGCTTTGAATAATTTTGGTCAAAACGGCAGATAAATCCTGGGGATGGGGATGAAGCTTTCTATGTTTACAGATGTATACCATTGTGAATTTATAATTTCATTGCTACCACAATTTATAGATTAATATAAAATTTTTGATGCTATGAGATGGTCTCATCAATGTGCAACAATTGAACTGGATTTCCAACTTCCTGAGAGATTCAACCTCACGCTAGGTAAGTTTTGCCAGTAAGCTTTTCGTTGAATAACCTCACCTCTTGATACTTAATTTATTTAACCAACAGTGACATGATTATTTGTTTCTATAGAAACCTATTGTTATATATTTATATGCTTATATATACTATATACTTATATGCAGCCTGCTACATTGCTGAACACTGAAAGTCCCACCTGCATTCAAACTCAAAACAAACCCACCCATATAGGTATATAGTTACATTTAATATTGCAATGTTAACAAATAATTGCAATATAATAGTTAATAGTCCATGCATGTATCCCTGTGCATCCATCCCCCCCATGTAAATATCATTGATAATGGATCACAAACTTATGTAAGCCTGTGTATTATAGTCAGAGGATTACAGCACAGTTTAAGTTTCCATGAAATTGTAGATCTTTACAAATTGTAACAATTTAGTAATTTATCAATATTCTATTACTCTATTGACAGTGGTGAAGGAGATATAAAATTACATCCTGTTATTATTCATCGAGCTATTGTAGGTTCAGTTGAAATAATGATTGCTATTCTTGTTGAAAGCTTTGGTGGAAAATGGTGAGTGTTTTCTTGGCTCATGCCAGAGCTTAAAGCAAATGAAATGTCCTTAAAATGTTAAATTAAAATGATACAAAGTTTCTTAATTGTTTGGAAATTTTTATCATTTTACTCTACTTTACTTTATTTCAAAATTTTGACGCACTGCATTTTCTGTTATTTTCTAGGATTTTATGGCTTTCTCCCCATCAAGTTGTAGTAATTCCTGTCAGTAGTAAATATGATGATTATGCCGAACCGGTAAATTTAATTTGGTAAGCCTTAGATCGAACTTGCACAGGCTAATGCAAACTCAGCTATGGACAAATTGTTGCTATTTTATGAATTGGATTTTTTTTGTCCTTTTTTTTTTTATTGACATTTTGGTCATGTTTAGATTCAAAAGAAGCTCCATGCAGCTGGTTATCGTGTTGATACAGACTTGGATCACGGATCGACACTAAATAAGAAAGTTCGCAATGCACAACTTTCACAGTACAACTTCATTCTTGGTATGAATAAGTCTTTTTAAATTATTTTTTATTTACTGTACAAATAAATAGAAATTAAAATGGTTTGGAACCACTGTTGGTGTTCAGAGTTTACTGACGTTTCCACAACATTAGTCAGGTTCGCCGTATTTGTTCTCTAGACGTCATGACAGAGAGGAAAATATGTGGATGTTTTAGTTTGTGTGGTATACTTATTAATTGTTCGCTTGTAAGCCGTTTATAAGGTGCTGATATTTGTATTCTGTTCAATGATTTTGTTTTGAGTTTGTTAACCTACTTTCTAACGTAAGTCGTTGTCTATAGTCAGTGCTGTTTGTAATGTTGTGCATTGTGATGCTCACTTGTCAGTACTCGTTGTTCTTGGTAGTCAGTTGATGTGCGAGTTGTAAAATGTAAGGTATTATCGTTTGCTGTTGTTGGATTGTTTGTTGTTTGTGTTTTTGTTTGTTTGTTTTGTGTTCATTGTCTTTTTAAGTGTTGTCTATTTTAAAAAGCAAAATAGATGTTCATTTTATTACTAAATGCGATTGGTTAAATGGTTTTATGTTGTTTTTTAAACAGTTGTTGGTGAAAAGAGACGGTCTCAGACACGGTCAACGTCAGAACACGTGACAACAAAGTACTCGGTGAAAAATCGGTCATGGCCGTGATCGAACGCTTGCGAGATTTAGTCAGCTCACGAAGTCTGACAAGCGAAGATTTTTGAAGTAAAACAACATTTTTATGGTAAAGATAAAATGAATTTACTCACAAAAATAAATTTGAATGTAAATCCCATGATGCGTCGCAATTATAGAAAAATAGGTACGCGTACATGCCACTGGTCACTGGCAAACTGGCGGCATTGGTCACTAATACTTTATCAGTGGTGGTAATATTGATTTTATCGTGGTGGTAAATTCTTCCATTGGTAATTTATGGCGATAACCATCAGCAACTTTTCAACTTTTACCATCAAGTTTTCACTCAAACGAGATCGCTTCTCTTTCATATTTTGGCTTGTTTCTTGAGCTAGTAGGAGGCTGTGTGCGTTGATACAAGAAAAACTTTGTTGTGCAGAGGAAGGTAAAGATATTTTACTCGCAGAATTACTATATATTTATCAACAAAGTAGTTCATACTACAGCGATGAAAAATATAAAGCGTCGTATTTAACGCAAACCTTGGTTAAACCAGGGTTAGTTGACACATGTGCACTTGTATAATATGTCCAAATGGACATGTTTTGTGGAATTCCCTTCATTTGGTAAAATATTATCGCAGTGGGCCAAGATCGTCCCTCGTTTTGACAGTCATTTGCTATTCGTACTGGAGCTCTAGAATTTTACTGTTTTAGTGGTAAATGTGACCAATTCCTCATTCGTTTTCTTGTTATTGTGTGATGCTTAACATAGCAAAACAAAGAGTAGCTATATAAATGTAATTTTCCTGCCACACTTACAAACATTTCATATGTCAGCTGCAAGACCCGTAACAGACTGTGACAAATTTTTTGTTTGGTGAAAAAAAATTAGCAATTAGCATATCTTGTGGAGTCTCCATTTTTGAATATCCATTTGAGAAATGCTTGCAAGAATATGGGCTACAACATTACAAGAATAGAATGCAGATTTGAAACGAAAGATTAGAATGCACATTGAACTCCAAAAACAATAGGAAGTAGGCTTTATAATGTGACTACAATTGACTACAGTTCATACATTGGTTCAATGGTTAGGGTATGGATTAGGGTCAGGGTTAGATTATGGTTAGTGTAAGTGTTAAGGTTAGGGTTAGAATTGTTTAAAAGTTTCTTATAAACGTAGAATTAGTCAAACTCATCAACACTTTGTTATGCCCCTCGTAATATCCGTGACAATGTTAAAGATGTTTTTATTTCTCTTCATAACTTTGTGTCTGCATATTTTCTACATAAACAAACTGCTTTAATATTTATGACAGATATTATAATTCGTAGATCGAGGTAGAAAAACTGCTTGAAAATGAAACTTCCAACATTGAAACAAAATCAAGCATGGCAGAAGAGAAACAACGACGCCAGGTTGAAGATAGCTTGATGAAATTGAACGTAGTTGAAGCACCTAGCATACGCTCGAGAGTTTTGGATGAGGACTCGTCAACCACTGAAAACATGAATGAGTCCAAGCATGTTTACGACGATAAAGGCTCTTGCGAGGTAGGCTGTTGCGACATATCGAATTATCGATAAATATCGGGGTTTTAAATATCGGTTTATCGATATTGGTTTTTCGGTATATCGATATATCGATGTACCGAAAATATCGAAAAATATAAAAATATTCGTTGTTACGATATATATAGTTATTATACATAGTTTTAATTGTGTGTTTTTTGGTTTTAAGCGGTTTTAAATGGTTCTGTATACAATGTATTAGACAGACAATTCGTGCTAAGGTTCAATTTGATCTATTTATGAATCATTGCAAAACTTATATTCAGGATCGGGGGTTGACTTAATTTTTTGTAAAAGTTCTTTTTGAGTGGAAAATAAGTAGAAATGCATTAATTATAGTTTTATAGTGAAAATATGAAAATATTATAAAACTTATATTCAGGAGGGGGGTGGACTTAATTTTTTGTAAAACTTCTTTTGGATGTGGAAAATAAGTTCAAATAGATGAATTATACCTTTTTGATGAAAGTATGGAAATATTATAAAAGTCAGTTTCAGGACACGATTTTTTTGTCAAAGTTATTCTTGATGCAAAAATGTTGTTCAAATGTATGATTTATGGTCTTTTTTAGAAATAATGGAAATATGATAAAATTCATTTTTAGAATGGTTGGAATCCCTGTTCTTGTAAAAGTTGTTTTTTAAATGGAAAATGTGTTGAAACGCATTAATTATAGTTTTATAGTGAAAATATGAAAATATTATAAAATTAAATTTCAGGTGGGAGTTGACTCGATTTTTTGTAAAACTTCTTTTGGATGTAAAAGTTCTTTTTGATGTGGAAAATGTGTTCAAATGCATGAATTATGATCTTTTGATGAAATAATGGAAATAAGATTAAATTCATTTTCAAAGCGGTGGAATCCTTACTTTCGTAAAAGTTGCTTTAAAGTGGAAAATGTGTTCAAATGCTTGAATTATAATATTTTCATGATGGCAATAATGAAAATAATGGAAATATGATAAAATTAATTTTCAGGATGAGGTGGAATCCCTACTTTCGTAAAAGTTGTTTAAAGTGGAAAATGTGTTCAAAAGCAAGAATTATAATTTTGGTGAAATAATGGATATGATAAAATTTATTTTCAGGGGGGGTGGAGTGAATTTTTTGTAAGAAGTTCTTTTTGATGTGGAAAATGTGTTCAAATGCTTTCGTTCAAGACGAAACGTCAATTTCATTTTGGCTTGATCAAAGTCAGTTTTTTATTGTCACATTAATATACACAATTTTTGTCGATAATATGAAAAAAACATTTTTAACTAAGCGCTTCTAAACATCACTACGCACGGTCTCATTATAATATGAAATCCTCAGTAAGAAAATCTGACCACGACACACTTTACGAGAACGGAATCGTAACCTTCAATGCAACAAGCCCCTAGCCAGCATATAATTACTACAGAAAGCATGGTTTTTACGTATGTAAAAAATTGACGCTCAATATTGCAAAAACATATTGAAAGGAAAGCCAAATAATAATTTATTATCTGAAAACTGAAAATAATACCGATACATAGGTATTTTTGAAAATCATTGTCCGTTGCCTGACCGTTATTTTGAGCCCTGTTCTTCTTGTTTAATTAACTCAATTATTAACAAGGTATCGTTATCTTAATGCAATTTAGAGTTAAGGTATGATTTTCACACATTTCGTATAAGTTTGCACTCAGGCGAATGAGATGTTACTCGTTGGAAAAAAAAATGACTGCGGTCGAAGCGTGTAACTACGGTTTGGTAACAGAAGTTATTCCTCAAGCCGAAATTGAAAAAGAAATTAACAACAGAATGAAATACATGGCTGCGTTGCCGCCGAAGGTAGCACAAATCTGGACTTTAAAGTTATTGCTTCGTTTCATTTAACCATACATAGCTTCTTTCCATTGCAGTCGCTCTCAATGTCGAAGAAATTATGTCGCTCAGCTGAGCTGGAGAAACTTCACGATGAGAGTAATATAGAATGCGAACTGATTGCTCAAAGATGGGTCTGGAGGAATGCGCGCAAGCAGTGATGACTTTTTTACAACGAAAATCGAAAATGTAGTTGAAACATTAAGTTGATTTTTGTTGATGAAATGTTCCATGCATTTTCTTTCTGTGTATGTTATTCAGTTTGATAAAAACCATTTCCACCAAAGTGTTAAGCGTACAAAAGCATCTGCGCAAACATCTACTTGATGTCACGTGACAACATATTAATTAATGGCAATTATTTTTTAACAACTGCATCATTTTTCAACAAATGCGCACGAAAGAAGGTTGTTGCGACTAAGAAGTCCGTTACGCCAGCAGTAAACACTGAAGTCTCAATGACTTGAACGATACAGAACGAGTGTTCGAAATTTTCCAGCAAAAGTTTTTTTGCTATGTTTTGGAACTTGATTCAAAACGCAATTTTTTTCCTCCAAAGTAAAGATTTTAAAACTCGTGGTTAAATGAACGAATATGTTTTGTTATTCAACTCAAGTTACGAATGATTTACACCAACAACGCTACAAATTCCACTGCGTAAAGGTTAAAAACGGATCATTGGGGACACAATATCCTATTTGTACAATAAATATTTGCACGCGCCATAAGTTTCATCGTAAATATACCTTGATGGTCAATAATTCCTGTAAGCTCGTCCACTATCTTCTTACGATGCCATCCAAAATATCATCGTTACTGATGTACTTTTGAAACAAATCGCATTCCTCGTGATTTTTATCCTCAAGTTCTTGTATATTACTGTTGACCATCAACGTCTGTTTCTCGAAGGCACTACAATATTAAATATGCTGCTTTACTATTTGCTGACATGGATTTTTTAAAAGTTCAAAACTGTAAATGTTTTCATCATCTTCGACGTGAACGTCCATGAATAACAATAGAAATTTATTGCATTTTCAAAGGTCCCGTGTCCCCTCTCCCTCTAGTTGCTAAGCTTCGCCCACCCCCTCCCTCTCCTTTTGCTTTCTATTAGTCCTCAATCCCTCTCCCTGAAAATTTCGCTAAAAGTTAATTGAGTTCCTTCTCGAAATGTTTGAAAGATAAAAGTTCTGCAATAATTCCGCGTTTCCTTTGCCATGTCGCATTCGAGTTTCGTGTTGCATAGAATAACAGACATTACTCGATTTAAAGGAAATTCACCGTAAGACAAAATGAATTTTTTAAAGCATCTCTTTTATAAAACAACAATTATGTTTCACGATACACTTTCTTTGAGGCGGGGGGGATAGGGAGTAAAGCATTTTGTGGGAACTTAGATAAAGCTATTCATAGTTTTAATAACTTTTTAATCTCACAGTTAATTTTTAATACGTTAGAACATAACACATCCTCTCAGGTTCAAGAAAAGAAAACGTTTAAATCTTTATATAAAGTGATCAATAGGCGTGGATACAACTCAATTACCTAACGAATCAAAATATTACCCTGTGCCCAGGCCTCTGTTTAATATAAACAAGTCACATGTGACTGTGAATGATTAAATAAATGAGGTAAAATAGAGAGCAACATCCAACTGGAGGATGACCCCACTCCACAAACTTCGTTTGAGAAGTTGCCTTTAAAAACACGACGAATATGTAAACTGAAATAAAAATTACGTAATGTTGTACTGAGGAGTCACTGGGGGTGAACAAAGTACTCAGTTATATTTTGGGGTGTGGGTAAAGAGGGAAGTATGGGGGTAAAGGTAACTGAACCGTCGAGGTTTAATATCGCCCCGTTACCAAATAAACTTTCTCACTTTGGGGATTTTCGTCTGAATGTATTATTGACGTGTTTATTGCATTCATTGGCGAAGTAAATTGACCAATGAAAAACGACTCAATAAATGTTTGACATATGATATTAAAGAAAGTTTGGCTGTTTTCAAAATTATATCAATTCCTTTCTTTTTTCCACAAAACTCTCAAAAATGACTTAAATGTTAGTGACGTGATGGTATGCGCAAAAAACTCTTTTGAGACAATCACTATTTTCCATATTAAATATAACTCTGAAATTAAACACTTGAAAACACAGATGAAGTCAGACCAGCTAGGATGAATAATTTTACTAACTCAATACATTACCTTTTCTGAAGCAAAGACTATATCAGACAGTGCGATAAGGAAAAGACCAAATCCAGCTGTTGGACCGTTTACCGCAGCGATCAAAGGTTTAGGACACGTGAGAAGAAGTCGTAGGTCGTATTTACTGCAAGTCTACACCACAATTTGAACAATCTGTACCTCTATGCAATTAACAGCATAAATGTGCCATTCAATAAACAAACCAAAAATCAGTACCATCAATAAAAACCATTGAGATTTTCACAAGAACAATAGAGATAAATCAAGAGGCATATAATCATTTATCACAAAACCTTTTCTATTGTGATGTTGGCTATAACCAAACTTTTTCCATCTTCTTTGTAGCTACTTCCTTTCTTATATACGCAACTTTGAGCAAAGCAAAGGGACCACTTCAATACCCCAGTTCTATCATCACATAAAGAATGTTTAGTGCAGAGTTGATCTTCTGCGAGTATCAGTTGACCACCTTCAGGTGGGCTCATATAATAATGGGGCCCGTCATCATTATACGAACAAACAACTGACATCCACAAAGAATCCAAACTACAAAAAAACATTCTTGGCCATGAATCACCATGACACATGAACAATGAAAAACTAGTAAGAGTAATTGAAGTGAATGACAGAGGTGGTAAAGGGACTTTCACAACTCTATCCATGTGGGATCTACAATATGAGAAAATATGAAATAATGATATGCAAAGTAACAATGCATCAGCAAAATTAATTTATCATGAAATCTCATGCATTTCTTTCATATTATATTACATTGACTCCCAAAGACTTAGTTCCTGCACTTAACACCAGGGTGCGAATTAACGGTGTGCAATGTGCAATTTGCACATCGTTTTGGCTAAAATGAAAATAATTGCACATCACTTTTTCAAACGATGTGCAAAAAAAGTTTTTCATTAATTACTATAACATATATTGAAAAAAAAAGTTTTTAAAATCTTAGGCCATGTAATTGGCCATGTTGACACAATGTCATCAAATTGAAAAACGTCGTCACTTTGAGATTGGAAAGTCTGTCAACAGTCCACATACTGGTTGACATACATGGTTCTTCTGACCATATACGGATGTAATTCATTTATAAATATTAATTTTTGCATTGCGCTGATTTGTAGTTTGTGCATCATTACTTTTTTTGGCATCATAGCTATTTTGAGTGTTTTCGATAAAATCAGGAGACATTTTCCTTCTGATTCCAAAAAAAACCTTTAAAATTTTCAAATTTGAAAAATAAGCCAAAAGATTTTGGGAGCGAAACCAAACTGGCAACCTTGATTAACCGTATTTTTTGCTTTTACGCATAGTTTGTAATATGACAAAAATATTTTTTGTTATAAGTAAGCATCAATAAAACATATTAGATAATCAGAAGACAAAAGTAGCTATATGCGGTGCATGTTTCTCTTGTCGCTTTTGTTTTTCTTGCCATGATGGCTTCTTCGTCGAAAGGTTGTACTAGCAAAATTAACACAGTAGAAAAATGGATAGAAACATTAAATGCCGACTGGCTTGAATACGAGAATGATGGCCAAGTGGTGAATTCACTGCGCTGTAAAGTTTGTGGAAACAAAGAGGACAGAATAACAAGCGCAAAAAATTTCTCTCGCACATTCATAACAGGATCAGCTGTTGTAAAGAAAAACGCAGTGGTGAATCATATGAATTCTGAGTTGCCTTTCAAAAAGTATATCCCCATTTGCAAGGTCCTGGAGAAGGGAGGCGTTGATCTAGGTTAATCGTATCGAACAGACCGATCAGCCGCTGAGTTGTCAGATCACATTTCTGGGGTCATAAAAGGAAATCTTGATGAAGATTTAAAGGTATTTAAAGATATTTTTCAGTTTTGTGCGATGGCAGCGCCGATACCAGTGTAAAATCACAATAATTATTTTACGTGTTATATGTGAATAAGAACGGTCATAGTACTTGCTAATTGATGTCGGTTGAAACAGTTGAAAACGAAGATGCTTCAGGGCTGAAGGAAGCTATGAACGAAGCTTTTGCCCGTTTTGGCATTACAAACTTTGAATCGAAACTAGCTGCAACTGGTCTAGATGGGGCAAGTTTTAATATGGGGAGAAATACTGGTTTAGAAGCTCGTCTAAAAGAAGTCGCTCCTTGGCTCACTGTCGTCCACTGCTTCAATCACCGTCTAGAATTTGCTGCTGCCGACGCATTCAATGCTACGTTTTTTGCACAAGTAGATGAAATAATGCGTCAACTGTTTTCTCTGTACCAGAAGTCACCGAAGAAACTGAGAGAGCTGAAAAAACTAGCTGAAGTGTATGGAGAAACTGTCTATAAGCCCATCAAAGCAAGTGGGACAAGGTGGATAGATCACAAAGTGCGCGCCACGAAGGTTTTCCTGGAGAACTACGGCATGTATATGCAGCATCTTGAACAGGTAAAAATGGCTAATTTTCCAACTTTTGCTGTTTTCCATCAAATTTGCATCGCCTCCTTAAATTTTCTAGAATAAAGTTTGCCTGTAATAACAGTAATAAGCATTTTATTAAATTATTTAATGTCATGTAATATGTTACTTTTGTTTCTTATGTAGGCCGCAACTACTTCACCTGATGCCCAAAAGCAGAAGATAAATGGATTCCTAGCTAAATGGAAAGACGCTCGTTTCCCAATGTATGCTTCTATCTTTGTGGACATTATTGGTCCTTTGCGTGTTTTGTCTCTTGGACTACAAAACTGACGACAATGATCCAGTTAAAGCTTTAAGGAGAATCAAGGAATTTGACTGGACTATGGTCAAGCTTCAAGGTAGTACATTTGGCAAAGCTACTTTCGATAAATTTAGGAAGGATTGCAAACCTACTGGTGACGACAAGAACCAGATTTCGTATCAAGGTGTTGTGCTCACAAATTATCCCCGTGCACTAAATGGAGCTGCGGGACAACGACAAGAGTGGATAGATGCGATTATCCTCTGTTTGGGCAATCGCTTTAGTGATCTTCAAGAGACACCAGTTTACAAACACCTTTGTCCAATTATAGACACCCAGTCTTGGCCAGGTGAGGAAGTTAATTTGGTGAGCTATGGAGACGAATCGGTTACGCTACTTGTCGACCACTTCATTCAGCTTTTGAAGCATAACGTATGGGATGTGTCGAACGATACGATGCTGACAGAAGAATGGAGTGGGCTTAAGTTGTTGATTTCAGAGACGTATGGCAGAGCTATACCATACTTAGATGTTTGGGCTGCCATTCTCTCTTCACCAGTTAGTAAAGAAAAGTTTTAAACGTTCTTAACATTGTGGAACTGTTATTAATTACGCCCATCTCTAATGCTGTGGTTGAGCGAATGTTCTCAACAATGGCCAAAATAAAGCCACACCTACGTAACAGAATGTCAAGAGGAAGATTGGACAGTCAGCGAATTAGTGAGGAGGGTCCATCAGTGGTCCGCTCCCGCAATAGAGCGGTGGTATGAACAAAAGAAACGAAGGATTGGATATGGAGGCCATGCTTACCCAGAGAAGCGAAAGAAGAAAGTCGATACGTTAGAGGCATCAAGCTGCAGCAAACATGCTTATTTTTCGGACCAAGACTCGTCAGAAAGTAACTAGTCGTGTACTATAACATGATAACTTGTAAAATGTATACGTTGATAAAATGTTAAAAAATATTACGTTCTAAAATGTTAATTTAGTAAATAGTGCAGTATAATAATTAATGTAATATCATTTGATTATGCCTCTGGAGAAAAATTTTTGTCGAAAAAATTTGCACATCGTTTTTTCTCAACTAATTCGCACCCTGCTTAACACCATAAGACTAGAGTTCATGAACATAACTCCTGACTGTTATGGTCTATGCCCCTAAATCACAAATATTATAATGAATCCACCTAACTCACTAACACTATACTTCCTGCACCTAACTCATAAACACTATAATTCACACAATTAGCTTGCAAACACTATATTTCATGCACCTCACACTCAAAAACTAGAGTTTATGCACTAACTCCAAAGATTACATTTCACACACCTAAGTACCAATAATTAAATACAATAGATTTTTATGAGATGACTTTCATCACAATACCTTTTTTAAACGTATTCCTGACGCTAGCAAACGTGAAAATCAAGTTGTTGGTGAATATATCTGCTAAATATGATTGAAGAAAAACATCGAGCCAAGAATCATCTAAAGATATAGAAACATAACATAAACTTACCACATCGCTTTCATTAAAATGGCTTCTTCACCAAACTTCAAGAAACGAATTGTGACCTTGCCGAAATATAAATAGCGTTATGTTGCAAAGGAAGCAAAACGAGAAATGTCCGACGTCAATATATCTCACATTCCAAATTTACTTTACACGTTTTTCTGCCAAACTGCGAGTCGCTCTTTGTTGTCTTCACCTCATCAAGCAAACATTAATTATAATTTTGAAAACAGCAATTCTTGGTTTTCATGTGTGTCTCAAGGGAATAACAAACAAAGAAAGGGCATCCACCATGTCGCCTAAGAGCAAAGGGAATCCAATGATATTATTTTGTAAAGTCCATCAGCATGACGCATATGAAAACCACCAATACTTTCCATAAACTAACAAATTCACAGTTTGAAAACGGATCGCTTTCTTCTATGCCAATTGCATGTTAAAAGTTCATTGCCAATGGCTGCTTCATCAAACTAAATATAAAAAGTGTTATGTTCAAAGGAAGCAAAATGAGACATGTTGGAAGTCATTATCTCACAGTCCAAATTTACTTTAATTTACATAGATATGATGCGAACTGTAGAGACGACGACACTTTTCACTTTATTATAAAACACATGTAATATAGACAAAAGAAACAGCCACCATGGGGTTGCTGCAAAACTGCAACGTCAATTTAAATATATTGCAAAACCAATCAAATTCATTCATATTCATTACACTAGTTTGAATTCATAAAAAAAATTTAAATTTTCGATCCGTGCCACGCCTTAACAGCTTTCTCTAATCTTCCAAGTTGACTTTTTATTAAGCATCGATATGTGGTTAATCTCTTTTACCGCGAATTTTGTTGTGGATGGACAACTTTTCGCATTAGACAGAATATTTCACAATAAAAAAACCGTCTGTGAAAAACTATACTTTTAAAATTGTAGTTGTTCATTCCCTTTTATGAAGAGAAACCGCAAGTTATTAGTAGCCTTACAGATCTTCTTTCTCAATCAGTAAACCATAAATTTTCTTTTACTGCTCAAGAATCTTTTAAAAAGGTGTGCGAACAGCAAGCAGTTTTAGATTATGTTTTAATTAAGCCATGAAAACCGCATGAAATCTTTGTGACGATCTATAAACATCTTCACACGTTTCTCAAGATCACATTCAGTTTCAGTTCAAAAATTTATATTTTTCTCGTTATTATAAAGCATCTTGTAAGTTGCGCTATTCACAACAGATTAGCTTTCCGCTAATAAATAAGTAATAATGAGCAAAGTACATACAACATGTGGCTTTCAGCTTCGTAAATATTATTCTTCGTTTGTGGCGTTGACAAAACTACAACGAGAATTTCTTGTTTTAAAGTAATATTATTACTCTATAAATCTATTTATTGAGGCTTAAATAATCGCAATGATTGTACTACCTTGAAGCAATTGAATGAAAATTGATGAGAGACTTGCGGCTTCTTGCGAGATGCGTCCCCTTGCTGCAGAGTATTTGTCCTTTGTTGCATATTTCTGAACTGAACCAGCAGCCGGTGGAAATGTCGAAGAAAATCTTCCACCAATAATTAAATACAATAGATTCTTATGAGATGACTTTTATCACAATATCTTTTTAGACGTATTCCTGACGCTAGCAAACGTGAAAATCAAGTTGTTGGTGATTATATCTGCTAAATATGATTGAAGAAAAACATCGAGCCAAGAATCATCTAAAGATATAGAAACATAACATAAACTTACCACATCGCTTTCAATTTCATTGATAATGGCTTCTTCACCAAAATTCAACGAACGAATTTTGACCTTGCCTAAATGTAAAAGGAGTAATGTTAGAAAGGAAGCAAAACGAGAAATGTCCGACGTCAATATAACTCACATTCCAAATACACTTTCCACGTTTTTCAGCGAAAGCCGCGTGTCGCTCTTTCTTGTCTTCATCTTATCAGGCGAACATTAATAATAGTTTTGAAAACAGCAATTCTTGGTTTTCATGTGTGTCTTAAGGGAATAACAAACAAAGAAAGGGCATCCACCAATAATTAAATACAATAGATTTTTATGCTTTGCGTAACGAGGATTTCAATATTATAGTGAGACCATGCGTAGTGATGTCAGAAGCGCTTAGTTAAAATGTTTTTCACATTATTGACGAAAATTATGTATATTAATGTGACGATACAAAAACTGACTTTGACCAAGCCAAAATGAAATTGACCTTTCGTCTTGAACGAAAACATTTCGGCCGTTATTTTGAGAACCAAAGAATGGGTCGAGGACGTTTGTTATATGAATTTTAAATTGACGGCATTCATGCTGTGATGATGAAAAGAGTTTTGAATTTAAACGAGGATGTTAAAGGAGGAGGTTAATGGTGTTAGGAGGATGTTAAACAAGAAACCAACTTTCGTCCAGCATCAATATGACAGGGTTAATTGAAAGTGGACTGGGACAGATAGTAGATGTGACGTCCTTTGCATAACCCATGATCTTTGGAAAGAGGTACGAACATTGAGCTCTATAATAACTGGAGGAAACGTCAACCAAATTACTATAAATTATTAGCGCGCCGCGTGGTCAAAAACATGGCGGATTTTGGTTGTCAAAGTCAGCGGAAAGACGCGGGCTCATAAAATGAAATTTTTCGCCCACCCGGATTTGACAACCACAATTGCGATTATATAAAATTTCAATGCGAAGCACAAAAACTTTTAGAAATTTTATTTTTAAAACATGCTGCAAACTTGTTTGGTGTACGGATGCTGAAGTAATGCCAGAAAAGAAAACATTTCATGACACCGGTGAGCAACGTAAGATTGTTTACCATTTAAAGTGTTCAGTGTTTTGTTTTAAGTCAATACTTGAAGTGTGATGGTATATATTTTGTGAATGTTTTTACTTCTAAGTTATAATTTAAGTTATGTATATCCAGTCTTATTTGTTCTTTACTTAATCGCTTGCTAGACGAGGCAAAGCAACCAATTCTTATCGAGATACGCATGTCTTAAAACTCCTTGTTTCAACTGACTTTACCTCCAAGAAATAGAGGATTTTTTCATGATATTTTTGTGAAAACATGAAGCAAATATTAAGAACAGAGCTGTATTGAAATCAAATGCAGTGCAGGATTAATTAATGAACTTTTTGGTGCATGTCGTACAATAAAAAATACCTGTATTAAACAGCTAGCCTGGACAATTTGACAGATTATGAACAATCATGATGATGGTGTTTAAGGGTTTGCTTTATGCTAAAAGTTTTATAAATGCCATCGGGTGTTTCTGTAAGTGAATTGTTTGTTATAGTAAACAGGTTAGTACATCAAAATCAAGATAAAACTACTTTGTTCAATAATATGCCAAATTATGCTCCTACCTTGAAATATTTGCTCAAGAAAAGCTAATGATGACATGCATGAAACATTAAATATAGTACTGCATCATCTGTCAAAATCCATACGTTTTTCAATTTCAGGTGATTAAAATTCACATAAGATGCATTGGTTGCAATGAAGTTGAATGTGTAAAGCAAAATTGATGGCATAGAACTTTTTATGTCTTTTGAAGAATTACGATATCATTTAAACGATATCATTTAGTAGCAATGTAGTAAAAGAAGTGATATCTGTCTTCAACATGAGACTTTTCTAATTATGTATAGTTTCTTTGTACAAAATACTATTTTAGAAAACTTGATTTTTAAGTCATTCACTGATATTTTTTACCAAAAGACAAAAAGAAAAATTCAAAGGCATAATGTAAAATTCAAAAGTTTGTCAAGTTGTTTGAACCTAGAAAAAATTAGTATAGGTACTAGTAATTTGTAAGGACACAAGAGAAAATAGTGCAAGAAGGTTAGCATTTTTGAGAATTAATATGTTCTTCTTGACATACATTACACAAGGCCATAATATTATAAATAATGACTGTACAATAACAATTATACAACATGCTAAAAATCTTCACCTACATTATAATTATTTAAACAGGTTTGTCTTCATGCAGCAATAAGAAAAGTGTTATGTCAGAGAAACCAATGCACTTTAATTTAAGAAATCATATTTTCAATGGGAAATTAATGTAGTTCTGTTCAGTAGTAGATCCATGGTTGTCAATGACAATCCAGTTTCTAATATCTTGGCTCAAAACAGAACCAGCAACATGATTATAGAATTTCTGAATTTCGTTCTTTTGCTCTCCTAGTTCAAGATATTTTCTTCATAAGTTCTCAGTAGATTTATCAAAACATCATAATACCTTATAAGACACCCAGAATCAATCCTACCAAAAAACTAAAAAAATTTCATACCTACTTATAATATATTTCCAGTCGACTTAAGTCGTAGGGTAAGCTAACTTTTCTAACTCCTTTTGGACGTTTTAACTAAGATTTACCCATCTATTCAGGAAAGACAGTTGCACCAAGCTGTTATCAAACAGTCAAAACACAAGTATTTTGCATGGGATTATGCATTAAAGCTTAACAACACATTGAAAGTGTAAAGAATGCCGTTTGATATTTATTTCTAACATAGCTAAAGCATTACTTGAAAAATATACGTTATTTTACAGTAGATTTACCTCATTTAAATGTGTGTGTCTATTTCACAAAAACCTGTAGCATTATTTTCAATATTTTATGCTTACGGTATCGTGGTTGTTTTCGCTGGTTGTCATTGATATAAGCAGTAATAGAGATCCGGATTCGGGAGGGAGCGAATGTTAAAAATTTTCTCAAAGTGGAAGTTTTGACAACCAAAATCTGCCATTACCGCCATGTTTTTGACCACGGGGTCCAGGCCCCTCCAGTTATTATAGAACTCAATGGGTACGAAGAGCAAGCTTCAGGACTTTGCCCTAACGTCATCACTGATCTGATAATAGACTGGATATAGCTTCTATAAGCAAAAGTAATTATATATTAGGCGTGGTGATCAAATTATCTCTGTAAAATAAAACGGAAATGAAAATAAGAATAAAGTGAGGAAGAAAGCTTAGTAAATTTGTCTTGTTCTAAAACAACAGTACCCTGCTAATGAAGTCACGGCAAAAGTAACATACAACGTCTAGATAATAAAAATGATAAAAGAAAGGTACAAAACGAATTTTTAAGCATCGAAACTCATTCTAGATCATAACTGCCTCTGAACTTGGAAAATGAGCTGTGAATTATCTTGCCTTCGCAACGATGGGGCAAATTCGATTCTTGCACGCGCAATTTTCAATTGAACACGAACGCCGATATTTTGTTTTATCCATGACAGATGTTTGAGATAAGTAAAAGGTCACGAAATGCCTTAAATATTCGAAAATCTATGTATATAAAAGTTATCCGCCATACATTTCTATAGAAATTTGTATCTCTTGTGGTACCCGGAAGTGCATTTTGCATATATAATTAGGCTTCACTTTTGCTACCTATAGAAGCTATATCAAGTCTATTATCAGATCAGTGAACGTCATAAAGGGTGTGTGAAATGTCGCAACATCAGAAGCATATACGATATCAATTAGACCAAGTATTGTCACAGATATTCCAACTGCTGGTCCATTGACTGCAGCCACGATGGGTTTTGGGAAGTCGATAAAAGTTGCAACAAATTCTCTAAAATTATGAAGGGAGACATGTTGATGAACTTTCATGTGAAACAGGTTAATCTTTGTTGCTTTTCACCTCAATATTTCTTTACTATCAGCAGCAAGTTTTTCTGGACCTTCAGGAGGAATGTTCATAAAGTTAGTGAGATCATTGCCACTACAGAAATATTTTCCAGCTCCTGTTATTAATGTCACAACCGAATTATCATCTCTTGCTTGCTTTAGTGCGACAATCAACTCATTGTACATCTGTCAATATATAAATTGAATTAGAATGACTGGCAATGGTTAAAATAATTGACTAGTTATACAGTGGTGGCCTATTGAATGGGTATGACTGGTAATGGTTAGAGATAAACCTTTGAATAAATGGCTGGTCATGGTTAGAAGAGGTGCTCTATTGAATGGTATGACTGGTAATGGTTAGAGACAAACCACTGAATAAATGGCTGGTTATGGTTAGAAAAGGTAGTCTATTGAATGGGTATGACTGGTAGTCTATTGAATGGGTATGAAAGGTAGTCTATTGAATGGGTATGACTGCACTCAGGCGAATGAGATGTTACTCGTTGGAAAAGAAACTGACTGCGGTCGAAGCTTGTAACTACGGTTTGGTAACAGAAGTTATTCCTCAAGCCGAAATTGAAAAAGAAATTAACAACAGAATGAAATACATGGCTGCGTTGCCGCCGAAGGTAGCACAAATCTGGACTTTACCGTTATTGCTTCGTTTCATTTAACCATACAATGCTTCTCTCCATTGCAGTCGCTCTCATTGTCCAAGAAATTATGTTGCTCAGTTGAGCTGGAGAAACTTCACGATGTGAATAATAAAGAATGCGAAGTGCTTGCTCAAAATGGCTCTCGGAGGAATGCGCGCAAGCAGTGATGACTTTTTTACAACGCAAATCAAAAATGTAGTTGAAACATTAAGTTGATTCTTGTTTATGAAATGTTCGATGCATTTTCTTTCTGTGTATGTTATTCAGTTTGATAAAAACCATTTCCACCAAAGTGTTAAGCGTACAAAAGCATCTGCGCAAACATCTACTTGATGTCACGTGACAACATGTTAATTAATGACACTTATTTTTAAACAACTGCATCAATTTTCAACAAATGCGCAAGAAAATAAGGTTATCGCGACTAAGAAGTCCGTTACGCCAGCAGTAAACACTGAAGTCTCAATGACTTGAACGATACAGAACGAGTGTTCGAAATTTTCCAGCAAAGTTTTTGCTATGTTTTGGAACTTGATTCAAAACGCAATTTTTCCTCCAAAGTAAAGATTTTAAAATCGTGGTTAAATGAACGAATATGTTTTGTTATTCAACTCAAGTTACGAATGATTTACACCAACAACGCTACAAATTCCGCTGCGTAAAGGTTACAAACGGATCATTGGGGACAAATATCCTATATGTACAACAAATATTTGCACGCGCTATAAGTCCGATCGCAAGTATACCTGGATGGTAAGCCATTCCTGTAAGCTCGTCCACCATCTTCTTACGATGCCATGTTGCTGATGTACTTTTGAAACAAATCGCGTTCCTCGTGATTTTTATCCTCAAGTTCTTGTATATTACCGTTGACCATCAACGTCTGTTTCTCGAAGGCACTACAATATTAAATATGCTGCTTTACTATTTGCTGACATGGGATTTTTTCAAAGTTCGAAACTGTAAATGTTTTCATCATCTTCGACGTGAACGTCCATGAATAACAATAGAAATCTATTGCATTTTCAAAGGTCCCGTGTCCTCTCTCTAGTTGCTAAGCTCCGCCCACCCCCTTCCTCTCCTTTCCAATAGTGCCCAATCTCTCTCCCTCGTAAAAATAGACACACAAACCTGTCTAGAAACTAGTGAAGATCTCGCCAAAAGTGAATTGAGCTCCTCCTCGAAATGTTTGAAAGATAAAATTTCTGCGACAATTCCGCGTTCCTTTGCCATGTCGCAGTCGAGTTTCGTGTTGCATAGAATAACAGACATTGCCTGATTTAAAGGAAATTCACCGTAAGACAAAATGAATTTTTTTTAAAGCATCTCGGTTCTTTTATAAAATCAACAATTATGTTTCACGATACACTTTTTTTAAGGCGGGGGGGTAGGGATAGGGAGTAAAGCATTTTGGGGAACTTAGATAAAGCTATTCGTAGTTTTAATTACTTTTCAATCTCACAGTTAATTTTTAACACCTCAGAACATAACACATCCTCTCAGGTTCAAGAAAAGAAAACATTTTAATGTTTATATAAAGTGATCAATAGGCGTGGATACAACTCAAATACATAACATGGCAAAATATGACCTAGTGCCCAGGCCTCCGTTTAATATAAACAAGTCACGTGTACCTGTGAATGACCAAATAAATTAGGTATAGTTAGAGAGCAACATCCAACTGGAGGATGACCCAAATCCACAAACTTCGTTTGAAAAGTTGCCTTTAAAAAACACGACGAATATGTCAACTGAAATAAAAATTACGTAATGTTGTACTGAGGAGTCACTAGGAGTCACTAACGAGTCACTAAGATCAGTTCTTACCAAACTGGAAACATTGGTCTATAAACAAGAAGAAGCGTTATGAATACGTTCCGCTTTCGCGCATGTATATTTACTTTTCATAATTGGAAAGGTCGTCGTTTAATTACATTCGTGCTCAGTTACAATTGGTTTTTTCTATGAAATTAGATTGTCCCCCCGCTATATAATTTGAATTAGAATTTTAGCAAATTGTGAAGTTGTTTCAAAGTAGTTTGCCACCTACTTCGAACTGCTGAGCACAAAGTAATTTTGCTAACTCGCAATGACTGTTCATGCGTCTATTTCTATAATACTATAGTTCATGCGACTTAAACGATCTCATGACACCGTTGAAATAAATGAAATGGTAATCGAGTTCCATCGGTTCTAATCGCTAATAAAGCGCTCGCAAGAAAAATGTTTCGTTTGATCATAGTGTGTGTGTGTCATCGTGGGGGTAACTTCATATGCTGAAAAGACAGTTAAATTTTCCATGCACCTAACTCCCAAAGACTATAGCTAATGTGTCTATTTCACAAAGACTTTAGTTCATGCACCTAAAGGCTATAAAATCTATATATATGTATATTGTTCGTGCATCTTAACAATATAGTTCATGTACCTAACTCCCAAAGACTAGAGTTCACAAACTTAACTTTCAAAGAATATCTTTCACACACCCAACTTCAAAGACTAAACTCCCAAAAATTCTTCTTCATGCACCTAAACTCGGAACGACTATAGTTCATACACCTAACTCCCAAAGACTATATTTCACGCACGTAACTCGCAAAGACTATAAGATCATGCGTCTATTTCCCAAAGAGTTTAGTTCATGCAACTAACACCAAAGAAAATAGTTAATGTATCTAATTACCAAAGACTATAGTTCATGCACCTTACTCCGAAGGACTATAGTTCATGAAAGAGCTCCCAAAGACTATAGTTCATGCACCTAACATCCAAAGACTATAGTTAAAGCACTTAAATTCCAAAACTTATATTTCACGCACCTAAATCTCAAAGATTGTTCATGCGTTTATTTCCCACTTATTGAACTCACTTGATTGGTGAATTGTATTTTCCCATGTTTTCAAAAACTTTCTTAAAGGTCGTACATTCCAATTCTTGTTCTTAATTCCAGGATCACATACATATGAACTATTGACCAGACAAAATCATGATATCTAATTACAATGTGACATCACTCTTCACATCCATACCATTAGACATAGCCAAACAACACAACTAGACAAATAAAATCCTAGACTTACTCAACCTTTGCCTCTCCACTGAATTCTTCTTCTAAAACTCATACTATAGACAACTTTCAGCGAATCAATGGGGTCACCACTATACACCTTCCTCGCAAAAGCTGTCGTGCAAAACCTCGAAACACAATCAGTCACCAACAGCACAGATGAAACAGGCAGACTATGGAATAGATATAAAGACGATATCTTTGCCATAGTCAAGAAAGCCAAAACTGGACAAATGCTACACACCATAAAAATACTACAAAGAAGATAACCTTCACTAAAGACAAAAAAAACACAACAAGACTAAACAAACAAGTATACGGCATAAATACCCTTACAGACCAAATACTTGATTTCAACCGTAATCATTCCACACAACACAAAATAAGCAACATTCGAACACTTTTTAATAGAATTAACATTCACTGCAGCACAGAAGAAGCCAAAAAACAGAACGCAACTACTTGTTCTCATTTATAAAAACTAGTTACCCTATAGAAACTTTATAGACGAAACTATAAGCAAAATCAGTCAGAACTTTACTACTAACGGACACCTCCCGAAAGCAGACACTGCTATTAGGTCCCTGCCAATACTCTTACTATTAACTTATTTACAACCTCTCATAAGCAGACACCAAAACAATCTTCAAACAATTCTGTAGTGTTTATGGTGTTTCGAAAGTTCACTTTTAGGGTGGTCATGGGAGAAAAATTTACATGAGTTTAATATTTACTGAGGAAATTACCATACACCAGCTATGGTCAAATGGCAATTTGCACAAATTAACAAATATTCGTGGCAGAGATTGAATTTTTATATTTTCGTTGTTTCAAGAAATTTACATTGTTTTTGCTGGCATACGATAGAACATATTTCGCATACCTTCCTCCTAAACCCACTTTCCGTCATATTTTGCCGTTTAGTGTGCATTTCATAGCCGAATCTTATAACTTAGATATTTCATACAGGGACAATCCTTCACCATTGATAAGTGTCGTCGCTTTTGTGCTCGATAAATCCCGCTTCGAAAAAATATAGATATGACGATATATTTTCGGATATTTTTGGGGTTTTTTTGTAGTGTTGTTCGCAATGATTCATAAATAGATCAAATTGAACCTTAGCCGACAATTACCCCGCACGTGTGATTGGGTCAAGATTGTCTGTCAATACATTGTATACAGAACCATTTAAAAACCGCTATAAAGCTATTAAAACCAACAAAACACAATTAAAAACTATGTATAATAACTATATATATCGTAACAACGAATATATAATAACTATATATATCGTAACAACGGATAAAGGCAACGGAGTTGTTATTCTGAATAAAAACGACTACCACAAAAAGATGATGGAAATTCTAACGGACACATCGAAATTCGAACTTCTAAATGATGATGCCATCAAAATTACACTGAAACGCGAGAATCAAGTAAAGACGTTGCTGAGAAAACTAAAGGCAGAAAAATGCATAAATGAAAAAACATACAACGAACTTTATCCCACAGGTACACGTATCGGCATACTTTATGGACTCCCTAAAATTCATAAATCCTCCATACCTCTAAGACCAATCTTATCTAGTATTGACCACTACTCCTACAAGCTAGCGAAATTCTTTATTCCTCTCATTACACCAATCTCCGCCAACTCCCATGTTATCAAGGACTCTTTCTCTTTTGTCCAAGATCTTTACAAAGTGACATTAACGCCAATAACGTTGTGATGGCGAGCTTTGATGTTAAATCATTGTTCACCAACATCCCAGTGGATGAAACAATCGCCATAACTAATCACATCTTCTCCAATAACACGTCCTTTCAAGGCCTTGACCGTTCACAATTCACTCAACTTCTCTCCCTCTCCGTCAAAAACTGTCATTTCTTCTTTAACGGCCAAGTTTATCAACAGATTGATGGTGTGGCTATGGGCAGCCCCCTAGGCCCACTATTTGCGAACATATTTATGGCCTTCAATGAAAATTCATGGCTTCACAACTGTCCCTCCACCTTCAAACCCCTTCTTTACCAACGTTACGTTGATGATTGCTTTCTACTCTTCCGATCATTGGATCACATACCTCTTTTCCTCACCTATCTCAACCACCAACATCCTAACATCTCCTTTACATCTGAACTGGAAAAGACAACACGCTCCCTTTCTTGACGTAAAATAACTCGCTCAAACGGCAAGTTTTCCACCTCCGTGTATCGTAAACCCACTTTCACTGGTCTCTTCACCAATTTCCATAGTTTCATTCCCATTCAATACAAACGCTCCTTGATCTCCTCTTTACTTCACAGAATTTTCAACCTCTGCTCCAGCTATGAGCACTTTCATACCGAACTAGAAGTCGTTAGAAAATTGTTCACCTTAAACAACTTCCCTTCATACATATTTGACAATCATGTTCACCGCTTCCTCAACAATACATTTGAACCCAAAGATCTTATTCACACTGCTCCTAAGAAAATCATGTACTTCTGTCTCCCTTTTACTGGTCTACACTGTCTTCAGATTCGCACTCAAATCACTCGACTCTGCAATGCTGCCTTTCCTCATATCAACGTTCGCTTTGTTTTTCGTTCTTCCAGGCGTCTCTCCTCTTTCTTTCCTTTTAAGGATAGGGTCTGCATCGTATGTGGGTCAAACCACGCATCATTTACACACCAGAATATCAGAACACTTGGGAATCTCTCCCTTAACAGGGAAGCCTTCCTTATGTCCACCACCATCTGCAGTTCTTTCTCATATAAGAAATACATCTCACCTTGCCGATTTTAATGATTTCTCAATTCTCTCTTCCTCCTCCGACAATTATGACCTTATGATTCATGAAAGCCTTCTTATATCCAAACTTAAACCCTCTCTTAACACCCAAGGCAACTCAATCCCCCTTCACCTTCTTTAATATACCGCCATCCTCACTTATTCCATCATCTAAACTTCCTACTCCTCTCACATGTAATTTAACACCCCATACTATATGCTTGTATTTAAAACCTCGTGTATATATATTAATTCAATTAATCTGAAGATGTCTTAAGTTAAAGACGAAACGTAATTAATAAATCCTTCTCTATTTGATTATTGTGATGGCTTTCTTAAAAGTATGTTGGGCTATTATGTTCATATTGAAAATTCGCTTTCCGCCTGGCAAATCTCTGGCCACGATTTTAATTAGTAAGTAATTTAATAGTATTCTGCCAGCACGTCACGGTAGATGGAAGAGGCATCGCTACGTCACAGTAGATTTGCGATGCATCGGTCGATGCATCGGTCCCGAGTCCTTTTCCGCGTGAAATCTACTGTGACATCAGCAAAACCATTGTTTTAGGGCCCACGTCACGGTAGATTTTGCCGCTGAGCGATGCATTTTCCATAATTTTGTGATTGTGGGCACATGGCACCGATGCATTCAACTTTGAACTTCAAAGTTGAATGCATTGTTATTTGATCACTTGATATAACTCGCAATCATCGATCGAAGTCATGGCTGTCGAGAATATCAAACACGATCTGTGTACTCTGCTTCGAGAAGAGAAGTCATTTGATATTAATGGAGTGCGCCGAACCTATGAAACGAGAGCTGCTACTTTTATTTCAAAATCCTCTCCTTGGAATCCCTTTTCAAAGGGTAAAAATGGGAGAGATATGTCAAGTGAAATGTTAATACCTAAGCACTTGACAGTTCATTGGCAAAGTGGAGAACTAAGAGCTTTAAAGTAAGTAAATTTACCTTTATGCTTGCATGTTTTAAATGTAAATAGTGTACTCATTTCAGACTCAGAGTGTAGTCGTGTAGATAACGACGAACAATCATCATAAAATATACACGATGTCATATTACTTATGCAGCACTTATACTTGTATTCATATGAAATATAATACAAACTGTAATATGCAGGGTAGGTGCGATTTTAGTTGCATTTTAGTTTATGTATTGTATGGATTACATTAAAATGTAATGACTGTATTCCTTCTTCCAATATACTTATGACTTCAGTAGAAGCTAACATTTTCTTTTCAAATAACCCTGTCAGACATTTAAGTTTTGAATTCTTCTGATTTCTAATTTTTAGCCACACAATGAGAATTTTCTTAACTCTGCTATATTTAGAACTAGAGGTGATGGTAATTGTCTGTACAGAGCCTGCTCAAAATTACTTTGTGGCAAGGAAGACCTATGTCATTTGCTGAGAGACTTGACAAGCATTGAGCTATTCAATCACCAGGAGTATTATGCTAACCACCCTTACTTAAAAGATAAGTTGCATTTTTTTAAGTCAGAAAATACTGCTTTTCTGCATCAGTATCAGATGTGGCTTTAGGCAATGGCTATGATAGGAAAAATCCAAGCACAAAGGTAATAGTAGTTAAAGAGGAAGCTCTAAATAATGCATGCAATGGTACTTATTCTTCACTTATGTGTATATTTGGTTTGTCTTCTGTCACTGGAATGACTATAATTTCAGTTTATCCCGAAAAGTTGGACCAGGAGACCAAATATTCACAATTTCTAAATGGTAAAATTCTTCCACGGCAAGCACACCAACATATTTCAAGTCAACTTGTTCAGCCTGCTAAGTTAATTTTAATGTGGACAACTACTGGTGCTTATTCTCTTCCAGAATTAGATATAGAATTTCAACCCAATCATTTTGTACCACTAATTGAATTTAATCAAACTAATAACTCAAGAGTTAATAATAAAAAAAAAATTACTGACCACTTTAAAGTTGATGTCTTACAGAAAAATAAAAGTGGACTTGAGCAACAAATAGACACAACTTTGGTAGCACCTGCAAAATCCTCACCAAGGGAAGACTTAGATGGCAGCAGCTATGATTGCTTGAAGACTTCCTTAAAACGTGGGTTAAATTAGTGATTGTTCATGTGCAAATATATTTTAATTATAGGTAAGCATGCTTTTCTAAGAACATAAGTAAAGCATACCATGCAATATAAAGTATTCGTTGTGGGATGGAGGATATTTTTGTACATGTGAATAAATCCTTCCTTCTAAACATGAGATCGTCAAATTGGCAACAAGCTTTCACTCAAATGCACCAAAACAATGACCTATGATATATGACCTTGCATGTTAACGCATTCAGGCTTTATTATTTTGAATGTAGTCGTATACCTACATCTTAGTAATGTTTTATTTAGGACCTCTTTCATGCCACTTTAAAGATGGAAAAGTATCAAATGCTTCTTGTCCCTTGTCAAAATCTGTAAAAACTGATATGACAGATGTTGATCCCTTGGATATTGGACATTTTGTATCTGTGGCGGCCCTAGATGACGACACAAAGCTAAGACTTATAACAAATCACTGGAAGCCTCCCCTTCTTTCAATTTTCCTTTTTGAGAATGGTAAATCTTCAAGAAAATTTTGTGCTGGCTGGCTAGATCGTTGGTCCTGGTTGTGCTACTCTAAATTATTTGATGGAGCCTTTTGTTATTATTGCGTTTTGTTCGGTCATCAAACAGGACATAATGGTTCAAAGCTTAGTAAATTATTTAAGGAACCCTTAAGAAACTGGCAAAGTGCGGCAACAAAATTTTACCAGCATGACAAATATTCCCTAATTCACCGTGACTCCAAGTTACGTTTGTCGCAGTTCCAACGTGTGATGAAAGGTAAAACTATTGGCATCGACGAACAAGCCGATCATCTTAGAAGTGCCCGCATTCAATACAATCGTGACGTTTTAGGCTCTATTATTAAAACTATTATACTGGCAGGCAGACAGAATCTTCCCTTACGAGGCCATCGTGACGACTCAAAGTATTTTCTATCTTCTAATCCTGGGAACTTTCAAGCCTTTTTGAATTTTAGAGTAGACGCGGGTGACGCGAAACTAGAAAAACATTTTGAAAATGCAAGTAAGAATGCAACTTATCGTTCGAAGACAATTCAAAACAAGCTGATAAAGATCTGCGGGGAACAAATCAAAGAAAAGATTGTTTCTGACATCAATTCTAGTGAATGCCCAATTTACTCAGTCCTTGGTGATGAGGCAACAGACTGCAGCAGTATCGAGCAGATGCCAATTGTTGTAAGGTATGTTGACTCAAAGCAAGAAATTAATGAACGATTTATTAAATTTGTTGAGTGTGAAGGAATGACTGGCGAAGCGCTAGCGAAGAATATCGAAGATACTTTAAACGAAGTTGGGCTACTACTTTCCAACTGTCGTGGTCAGTGCTATGATGGTGCCAGTGCAATGTCAAGCAAATCAAAGGGAGTTGCTGGTCGTATTTTAAAGAAAAATCCAAAAGCTTTGTATATCCATTGCGCTAGTCATCGATTGAACCTTGTTGTTGCTAAAGCATGTGGTGAGCAAACTGTCAAAAACATGTTGGGGCATGCTCAAAAGATCTTCAGTTTCTTCAGCCCATCCCCCCTACGAATGCAGTGCTTGAGGCAGAATATGGAAAAGTCTGGGTTACGTCGTAAAAAACTAGGAGCTCCATCCACAACGCGTTGGGTTGAACGGATACGTACACTTGATGGATTTGTGGAAGCATTTGTACCTGTTTGTCAAAGTTTAGAGTACATGAAGCTCAATATGAATAAAGATTTTGATAATTCAAGTAGGGACGCAGAGGGATATCTTCGTTCCATAAAATCTTTCGAATTTATTGTTAATCTTGTGATTACATCAAATGTTCTGCATCACACAATGTCGTTGACTGTCCAACTGCAGCAAAGGATGATCGATATCGCTGAATCAATTAAACATATAAATCTTTTGAAGTCACAATTAAAAATTTTACGCAGCTCGGCTGATACAATTCATGACCAATACTACGAAGAAGCAGTGGATTTAGCAAACAGAGTAAACGTTGATGAAAAAATTCCTCGACTTTGCAATGTTCAGACAACTCGTGAAAACTATCCTGCACATACAGCACGTGAATACTACCGCATGAAACTAACCATCCCTCTTCTTGATCACTTGATTGAACAGATGGAATTTCGGTTTTCTTCAGAGGTGTGCGATATTTATCGTGGATTCTATATTATACCTAGTATTTTTCTCAATTGCAAGGACTTTAATTGGAAGGAAGAGTTTATGAAGTTTGCTGTTGCATATAAAGAGGATATGCCACACTTTCGGAAAATACATGCTGAATTAGGATTGTGGGAAACAAATTGGAAAGGGGGCTTTGAGAAAGTTAAGTACGATTCAATTGCCGACACGCTTCGAACTTGTAACAAACTTGCGTTTCCAAATATATTTACAGCGCTTAAGATACTCGCTGTTGTGCCAGTCACTACATGTGAGTGTGAAAGATCCGTTTCTGCCCTTCGTCGAATGAAAACTTGGTTACGTAGCACAATGATCAACGAAAGGTTAAATGGATTAGCCCAAATGCATATTAATGATGATATTAAGTGTGATGTCGAAGAAGTGATTAATACCTTTGCTAGACAAAACCCAACGAGGATGCAATTTCTTGATATCCTGGAGGATAAAGAAACAGATGCTTGACGATGAGCTCCATGAGAAATTCTTAATGCTGATAAACAACCTACATTTTCTTTGAGAGTTATCTTGTTTTCAGCCGTTATTGAGAGGACGAAGACCACGTTTAAACATTGATTTTCTTAAACATTTCATCTTTGCTGTGGTTGGAAGAAGACGATCTTTCAACATTGCTTTTATAATTGTTGTCATCTTTGCTGCCGTTAGAAGAAGACCATCTTTGAACATTGCTTTTATAATTGTTGTCATCTTTGCTGCCGTTAGAAGAAGACCATCTTTGAACATTGCTTTTATAATTGTTGTCATCTTTGCTGCCGTTAGAAGACCATCTTTGAACATTGCTTTTATAATTGTTGTCATCTTTGCTGCCGTTAGAAGAAGACCATCTTTGAACATTGCTTTTATAATTGTTGTCATCTTTGCTGCCGTTAGAAGAAGACCATCTTTGAACATTGCTTTTATAATTGTTGTCATCTTTGCTGCCGTTAGAAGAAGACCATCTTTGAACATTGCTTTTATAATTGTTGTCATCTTTGCTGCCGTTAGAAGAAGACCATCTTTGAACATTGCTTTTATAATTGTTGTCATCTTTGCTGCCGTTAGAAGAAGACCATCTTTGAACATTGCTTTTATAATTGTTGTCATCTTTGCTGCCGTTAGAAGAAGACCATCTTTGAACATTGCTTTTATAATTGTTGTCATCTTTGCTGCCGTTAGAAGAAGACCATCTTTGAACATTGCTTTTATAATTGTTGTCATCTTTGCTGCCGTTAGAAGAAGACCATCTTTGAACATTGCTTTTATAATTGTTGTCATCTTTGCTGCCGTTAGAAGAAGACCATCTTTGAACATTGCTTTTATAATTGTTGTCATCTTTGCTGCCGTTAGAAAAGACCATCTTTGAACATTGCTTTTATAATTGTTGTCATCTTTGCTGCCGTTAGAAGAAGACCATCTTTGAACATTGCTTTTATAATTGTTGTCATCTTTGCTGCCGTTAGAAGAAGACCATCTTTGAACATTGCTTTTATAATTGTTGTCATCTTTGCTGCCGTTAGAAAAAGACCATCTTTGAACATTGCTTTTATAATTGTTGTCATCTTTGCTGCCGTTAGAAGAAGACCATCTTTGAACATTGCTTTTATAATTGTTGTCATCTTTGCTGCCGTTAGAAGAAGACCATCTTTGAACATTGCTTTTATAATTGTTGTCATCTTTGCTGCCGTTAGAAGAAGACCATCTTTGAACATTGCTTTTATAATTGTTGTCATCTTTGCTGCCGTTAGAAGAAGACCATCTTTGAACATTGCTTTTATAATTGTTGTCATCTTTGCTGCCGTTAGAAGAAGACCATCTTTGAACATTCTTTTATAATTGTTGTCATCTTTGCTGCCGTTAGAAGACCATCTTTGAACATTGCTTTGATAATTGTTGTCATCTTTGCTGCCGTTAGAAGAAGACCATCTTTGAACATTGCTTTTATAATTGTTGTCATCTTTGCTGCCGTTAGAAGAAGACCATCTTTGAACATTGCTTTTATAATTGTTGTCATCTTTGCTGCCGTTAGAAGAAGACCATCTTTGAGCATTGCTTTTATTAAACTTTTCATCTTTTTTACCGTTAGAAGAAGACCATCTTTGAACATTGCTTTTATTAAACTTTTCATCTTTTTTACCGTTGGAAGAAGACCACCTTTGAACATTGCTTTTATCAATGCTGTTATCTTACAAAAGACGGCTCATGTTATTTTTTCGATAAAATTTACGCTTAAGATTTTTCTGTCACCTTTCCCAAATCGCTGGAAAATGCTTCTCGGATAGTGAAAATTCAAAAATTTTCTGGGGGAGCATGCCCCCAGACCCCCCTAGCGGTGGCTCGCGACTTCGGCGCTCGCAACGCATCGGTCAGCTAAGGAGCTGGATCCGCGCCTGAATTTGTCCATAGCTGAGTTTGCATTAGCCTGTGCAAGTTCAATCTAAGGCTTACCAAATTAAATTTACCGGTTCGGCATAATCATCATATTTACTACTGACAGGAATTACTAGAACTTGATGGGGAGAAAGCCATAAAATCCTAGAAAATAACAGAAAATGCAGTGCGTCAAAATTTTGAAATAAAGTAAAGTAGAGTAAAAATGATAAAAAATTTCCAAACAACTAAGAAACTTTGTATCATTTTAATTTAACATTTTAAGGGCATTTCATTTGCTTTAAGCTCTGGCATGAGCCAAGAAAACACTCACCATTTTCCACCAAAGCTTTCAGAAGGAATAGCAATCATTTTTTCAACTGAACCTACAATAGCTCGATGAATAATAACAGGATGTAATTTTATATCTCCTTCACCACTGTCAATAGAGTAATAGAATATTGATAAATTACTAAATTGTTACAATTTGTAAAGATCTACAATTTCATGGAAACTTAAACTGTGCGTAATCCTCTGACTATAATACACAGGCTTACATATGTTTGTGAGCCATTATCAATGATATTTACATGGGGGGGATGGATGCACAGGGATACATGCATGGACTATTAACTATTATATTGCAATTATCTGATTGCAATATTAAATGTAACTATATACTTATATGGGTGGGTTTGTTTTGGAGTTTGAATGCAGGTGGGACTTTCAGTGTTCAGCAATGTAGCAGGCTGCATATAAGTATATAGTATATATAAGCATATAAATATATAACAATAGGTTTCTATAGAAACAAATAATCATGTCACTGTTGGTTAAATAAATTAAGTATCAAGACCGTAGTGAGGTTATTCAACGAAAAGCTTACTGGCAAAACTTACCTAGCGTGAGGTTGAATCTCTCAGGAAGTTGGAAATCCAGTTCAATTGTTGCACATTGATGAGACCATCTCATAGCATCAAAAATTTTTATATTAATCTATAAATTGTGGTAGCAATGAAATTATAAATTCACAATGGTATACATCTGTAAACATAGAAAGCTTCATCCTCCATCCCCAGGATTTATCTGCCGTTTTTGACCAAAATTATTCAAAGCTTCCATCAGTTTCTAATGAAGCATAAAACAAACTCATTTAGTTAAACAATTAAAAATATTATCAATCATTAAACATTTTCGATATTTATGACAAGACAGCTAAAAAACATTGTAAAGACTGCATTTATGTTCGCTGTGAACAAATTTCCTCCCTTTTTTTGGGAGGTAAACAAACCAATCTGTATGTCAAATCAACAAATGAAAACATTCTATATTTTATTTCATTCTTGAATAACTGTCTATATCTTTGATATCCATAAAGAGGAATTGCACACGATGAAACAAATGTAACTTGATTAAATAGTTCAATGGTTTCAACCATTGAGTTGTAATGTTTGAAATGTTCAAGGTTAGAAGCCATCTTGATTTCAGCAAGCGGAGACTGAAACGAGTTAATATTTTAGTTGCAATATTTACAAATACTAAATAAAATCAATTACAAGAAAACAAAAACAATGATGAACCAAAATTGTTAAAGAACATATTTTAAGTAAAAACGACTCATGCAAGGTAACTCAAATGTTCAACTTATGATGGTGAAAATATAAAAAAAACATGGAGATAAAATAAAGCATGACAATCAATAGATCTTCACTTAGGTAATAATAGCTGCAGATCCAAAATTATAAACAGTGTGTGAAGCACTGACTAAAACATTTTGGCAATCAAATGCACTTGAAAGCCCTGGCAGGTTAGCTAAAGTCCCTTGGTGCTACAAGTCTTGTGACTTTTACTACAAAATCTCCCTCGGCTTTCAAGTACATTTAATCACTAAGTTACCTCACTACCGTGCATCGTTTTACTTATAAAAATATTGCACACGCTAGCTAAAATGTAGATCCCATTAACTACATACATGTATGGTCTTATATGAGCCAGTTTTAAATACTCAAAGAATATTTAGGCAATCAGAGAGTAAAATATTTTTACCTTACTCTGAACAAAACAGTTTTTCTTGTGAGTCTTTTATCGCAGGGATACGTCGGTATAAAATTCTTATCACCAAAATGTTTCAAATTCCAAATTGGTGAAGTGTTGACTGTGTAGTAAGCTGGTCGATACAACTCATACGCAACGCATCGATTTGCTGTTTAAAATTATGATAGAACTCATGCAGATAGATTGGTTTCACATAGCCAGAATAACAACCAATAACTGTTAGCTTCCAGAACAATTCAGTGAATTCACCACAAATGTCAGTCTGCTACGTGAAGATAGTTCTCTTGCATATGCCTCAAGTCTTTTTTTACGCTTCCGAATTGCATCCTTGAACGCCTTATTTTATACAGTTCAGCCAACATTTACCTATTCTTGCCATAAAATGATTAAGTGTGCTCCAAGTTGACTGAAAATAAAATTGTTCAGCATACGCCATTTTGAAAGCATGTCTATAATTATCCACTATCATCCATTGTAACCACTATCAACATCCTAATGTCATTGGTGGTCAAAATAGTCACATTTTTATTTACTTTTGCCTTTCATTCATGTCATTTCTAGATATGAATTTTCTTATTCGTCCATAGTTCAATCAATAATAAAAAAATATTTATTGTAAATTTTATTATAGCAAATGAACGTGACGCCAAGAGTTTGTAAATTACATGCAATTTTACGTCGTGGTATAGTGTGAACTATCTATCTCGACCTTATTTAAACCTGAACATTTTTTATAGTCGTTATATGCATCAATGCATTAATTATAATCGTTTGATGAAAATATGGAAATATGATAAAATTCTTTTTTAAGGGGGGGTGACTCGATTTTTCTAAAAGTTCTTTTGGATGTGGAAAATGTGTTCAAATGCATGAATTATAGTCTTTTGGTAAAATAATGGAACTAAGATTAAATTCATTTTCAGGGAATCCCTATTTCTATAAAAGTTCTTTTTGTTGTGGAAAATGTGTTCAAATGCATGAATTATAGTCTTTTGGTGAAAGTATGGAAATATTATAAAATTCATTTTCAGGAAGGTGGACTCGATTATTTTGTCAAAGTTCTTTTGATGTGGAAAATGTGTTCAAATACATGAATTATAGTCTTTGGTGAAATTATGGAAATATTATAAAATTCATTTTCAGGGGTGGAATCCTCATTTTCTAAAAGTTGTTTTTAAGTGGAAAATGTGTTGGAATGCATTAATTATAGTGTTTTCGTGAAAGGTCAATTTCATTTTGGCTTGGTCAAAGTCAGTTTTTGTATCGTCACATTAATATACATAATTTTCGTCGATAATATGAAAAAACATTTTTAACTAAGCGCTTCCGACATCACTACGCACGGTCTCATTATAATATTGAAATCCTCATTACCCAAAGCTGACCACGACACACTTTACGAGAACGGAATCGTAACCTTCAATGCAACAAGCCCCTAGCCAGCATATACTTACTAGAGAAAGCATGGTTTTACGTATGTAAAATTGACGCTCAATATTGCAAAACATATTGAAAGGAAAGCCGAATAATAAATTATTATGGGAAAACTGAAAATGTTACCGATACATAGGTATTTTGAAAATCATTGTCCGTTGCCTGGCCGTTATTTTGAGCCCTGTTCTTTTGCTTAGTTAACTCAATTTTAACAAGGTATTGTTATCTTAATGCAGTTAAGAGGTAAGGTATGATTGTCACACATTTCTTATTAATTTGCACTCAGGCGAATGAGATGTTACTCGTTGGAAAAGAAACTGACTGCGATCGAAGCTTGTAACTACGGTTTGGTAACAGAAATTATTCCTCAAGCCGAAATTGAAACAGAAATTAACAACAGAATGAAATACATGGCTGCGTTGCCGCCGAAGGTAGCACAAATTTGGACTTTACCGTTATTGCTTCGTTTCATTTAACCATACAATGCTTCTCTCCATTGCAGTCGCTCTCATTGTCCAAGAAATTATGTTGCCCAGTTGAGCTGGAGAAACTTCACGATGTGAATAATAAAGAATGCGAAGTGCTTGCTCAAAATGGCTCTCGGAGGAATGCGCGCAAGCAGTGATGACTTTTACAACGCAAATCAAAATGTAGTTGAAACATTAAGTTGATTCTTGTTTATGAAATGTTCGATGCATTTTCTTTCTGTGTATGTTATTCAGTTTGATAAAAACCATTTCCACCAAAGTGTTAAGCGTACAAAAGCATCTGCGCAAACATCTACTTGATGTCACGTGACAACATGTTAATTAATGACACTTATTTTAAACAACTGCATCAATTTTCAACAAATGCGCAAGAAAATAAGGTTATCGCGACTAAGAAGTCCGTTACGCCAGCAGTAAACACTGAAGTCTCAATGACTTGAACGATACAGAACGAGTGTTCGAAATTTTCCAGCAAAAGTTTTTTTGCTATGTTTTGGAACTTGATTCAAAACGCAATTTTTTTCCTCCAACCAAAGATTTTAAAAATCGTGGTTAAATGAACGAATATGTTTTGTTATTCAACTCAAGTTACGAATGATTTACACCAACAACGCTACAAATTCCGCTGCGTAAAGGTTACAAACGGATCATTGGGGGACACAATATCCTATATGTACAACAAATATTTGCACGCGCTATAAGTCCGATCGCAAGTATACCTGGATGGTAAGCCATTCCTGTAAGCTCGTCCACCATCTTCTTACGATGCCATGTTGCTGATGTACTTTTGAAACAAATCGCGTTCCTCGTGATTTTTATCCTCAAGTTCTTGTATATTACCGTTGACCATCAACGTCTGTTTCTCGAAGGCACTACAATATTAAATATGCTGCTTTACTATTTGCTGACATGGGATTTTTCAAAGTTCGAAACTGTAAATGTTTTCATCATCTTCGACGTGAACGTCCATGAATAACAATAGAAATCTATTGCATTTTCAAAGGTCCCGTGTCCTCTCTAGTTGCTAAGCTCCGCCCACCTTTCCTCTCCTTTCCAATAGTGCCCAATCTCTCTCCCTCGTAAAAATAGACACACAAACCTGTCTAGAAACTAGTGAAGATCTCGCCAAAAGTGAATTGAGCTCCTCCTCGAAATGTTTGAAAGATAAAATTTCTGCGACAATTCCGCGTTCCTTTGCCATGTCGCAGTCGAGTTTCGTGTTGCATAGAATAACAGACATTGCCTGATTTAAAGGAAATTCACCGTAAGACAAAATGAATTTTTTAAAGCATCTCGGTTCTTTATAAAACAACAATTATGTTTCACGATACACTTTTTTAAGGGGGGTAGGGATAGGGAGTAAAGCATTTTGGGGAACTTAGATAAAGCTATTCGTAGTTTTAATTACTTTTCAATCTCACAGTTAATTTTAACACCTCAGAACATAACACATCCTCTCAGGTTCAAGAAAAGAAAACATTTTAATGTTTATATAAAGTGATCAATAGGCGTGGATACAACTCAAATACATAACATGGCAAAATATGACCTAGTGCCCAGGCCTCCGTTTAATATAAACAAGTCACGTGTACCTGTGAATGACCAAATAAATTAGGTACAGTTAGAGAGCAACATCCAACTGGAGGATGACCCAACTCCACAAACTTCGTTTGAAAAGTTGCCTTTAAAAAACACGACGAATATGTCAACTGAAATAAAAATTACGTAATGTTGTACTGAGGAGTCACTAGGAGTCACTAAGGAGTCACTAAGATCAGTTCTTACCAAACTGGAAACATTGGTCTATAAACAAGAAGAAGCGTTATGAATACGTTCCGCTTTCGCGCATGTATATTTACTTTTCATAATTGGAAAGGTCGTCGTTTAATTAGATTCGTGCTCAGTTACAATTGGTTTTTCTATGAAATTAGATTGTCCCCGCTATCTAATTTGAATTAGAATTTTAGCAAATTGTGAAGTTGTTTCAAAGTAGTTTGCCACCTACTTCGAACTGCTGAGCACAAAGTAATTTTGCTAACTCGCAATGACTGTTCATGCGTCTATTTCTATAATACTATAGTTCATGCGACTTAAACGATCTCATGACACCGTTGAAATAAATGAAATGGTAATCGAGTTCCATCGGTTCTAATCGCTAATAAAGCGCTCGCAAGAAAAATGTTTCGTTTGATCATAGTGTGTGTGTGTCATCGTGGGGTAACTTCATATGCTGAAAAGACAGTTAAATTTTCCATGCACCTAACTCCCAAAGACTATAGCTAATGTGTCTATTTCACAAAGACTTTAGTTCATGCACCTAAAGGCTATAAAATCTATATATATGTATATTGTTCGTGCATCTTAACAATATAGTTCATGTACCTAACTCCCAAAGACTATAGTTCACAAACTTAACTTTCAAAGAATATCTTTCACACACCCAACTTCAAAGACTAAACTCCCAAAATTCTTCTTCATGCACCTAAACTCGGAACGACTATAGTTCATACACCTAACTCCCAAAGACTATATTTCACGCACGTAACTCGCAAAGACTATAAGATCATGCGTCTATTTCCCAAAGAGTTTAGTTCATGCAACTAACACCAAAGAAAATAGTTAATGTATCTAATTACCAAAGACTATAGTTCATGCACCTTACTCCGAAGGACTATAGTTCATGAAAGAGCTCCCAAAGACTATAGTTCATGCACCTAACATCCAAAGACTATAGTTAAAGCACTTAAATTCCAAAACTTATATTTCACGCACCTAAATCTCAAAGATTGTTCATGCGTTTATTTCCCACTTATTGAACTCACTTGATTGGTGAATTGTATTTTCCCATGTTTTCAAAACTTTCTTAAAGGTCGTACATTCCAATTCTTGTTCTTAATTCCAGGATCACATACATATGAACTATTGACCAGACAAAATCATGATATCTAATTACAATGTGACATCACTCTTCACATCCATACCATTAGACATAGCCAAACAACACAACTAGACAAATAAAATCCTAGACTTACTCAACCTTTGCCTCTCCACTGAATTCTTCTTCTAAAACTCATACTATAGACAACTTTCAGCGAATCAATGGGGTCACCACTATACACCTTCCTCGCAAAAGCTGTCGTGCAAAACCTCGAAACACAATCAGTCACCAACAGCACAGATGAAACAGGCAGACTATGGAATAGATATAAAGACGATATCTTTGCCATAGTCAAGAAAGCCAAAACTGGACAAATGCTACACACCATAAAAATACTACAAAGAAGATAACCTTCACTAAAGACAAAAAACACAACAAGACTAAACAAACAAGTATACGGCATAAATACCCTTACAGACCAAATACTTGATTTCAACCTTAATCATTCCACACAACACAAAATAAGCAACATTCGAACACTTTTTAACAGAATTAACACTCACTGCAGCACAGAAGAAGCCAAAAAACAGAACGCAACTACTTGTTCTCATTTATAAAAACTAACTAGTTACCCTATAGAAACTTTATAGACGAAACTATAAGCAAAATCAGTCAGAACTTTACTACTAACGGACACCTCCCGAAAGCAGACACTGCTATTAGGTCCCTGCCAATACTCTTACTATTAACTTATTTACAGTCTCTCATAAGCAGACACCAAAACAATCTTCAAACAATTCTGTAGTGTTTATGGTGTTTCGAAAGTTCACTTTTAGGGTGGTCATGGGAGAAAAATTTACATGAGTTTAATATTTACTGAGGAAATTACCATACACCAGCTATGGTCAAATGGCAATTTTGCACAAATTAACAAATATTCGTGGCAGAGATTGAATTTTTATATTTTCGTTGTTTCAAGAAATTTACATTGTTTTTGCTGGCATACGATAGAACATATTTCGCATACCTTCCTCCTAAACCCACTTTCCGTCATATTTTGCCGTTTAGTGTGCATTTCATAGCCGAATCTTATAACTTAGATATTTCATACAGGGACAATCCTTCACCATTGATAAGTGTCGTCGCTTTTGTGCTCGATAAATCCCGCTTCGAAAAAAATATAGATATGACGATATATTTTCGGATATTTTTGGGGGGTTTTTGTAGTGTTGTTCGCAATGATTCATAAATAGATCAAATTGAACCTTAGCCGACAATTACCCCGCACGTGTGATTGGGTCAAGATTGTCTGTCTAATACATTGTATACAGAACCATTTAAAAACCGCTATAAAGCTATTAAAACCAACAAAACACAATTAAAAACTATGTATAATAACTATATATATCGTAACAACGAATATTTTCATATTTTTTCGATATTTTCGGTACATCGATATATCGATATACCGAAAAAACCAATATCGATAAACCGATATTTAAAAAACCCCCGATATTTATCGATAATTCGATATGTCGCAACAGCCTACCTCGCAAGAGCCTTTATCGTCGTAAACATGCTTGGACTCATTCATGTTTTCAGTGGTTGACGAGTCCTCATCCAAAACTCTCGAGCGTATGCTAGGTGCTTCAACTACGTTCAATTTCATCAAGCTATCTTCAACCTGGCGTCGTTGTTTCTCTTCTGCCATGCTTGATTTTGTTTCAATGTTGGAAGTTTCATTTTCAAGCAGTTCTTCTACCTCGATCTACGAATTATAATATCTGTCATAAATATTAAAGCAGTTTGTTTATGTAGAAAATATGCAGACACAAAGTTATGAAGAGAATTAAAAACATCTTTAACATTGTCACCGATATTACGAGGGGCATAACAAAGTGTTGATGAGTTTGACTAATTCTACGTTTATAAGAAACTTTTAAACAATTCTAACCCTAACCTTAACACTTACACTAACCATAATCTAACCCTGACCCTAATCCATACCCTAACCATTGAACCAATGTATGAACTGTAGTCAATTGTAGTCACATTATAAAGCCTACTTCCTATTGTTTTTGGAGTTCAATGTGCATTCTAATCTTCCGTTTCAAATCCGCATTCTCTTCTTTAATCTTGTAGCTCATATTCTTGCAAGCATTTCTCAAATGGATATTCAAAAATGGAGACTCCACAAGATATGCTAATTGCTAATTTTTTTTCACCAAACAAAAAATTTGTCACAGTCTGTTACGGGTCTTGCAGCTGACATATGAAATGTTTGTAAGTGTGGCAGGAAAATTACATTTATATAGCTACTCTTTGTTTTGCTATGTTAAGCATCACACAATAACAAGAAAACGAATGAGGAATTGGTCACACTTACCACTAAAAACAGTAAATTTCTAGAGCTCCAGTACGAATAGCAAATGACTGTCAAAACGAGGGACGATCTTGGCCCACTGCGATAATATTTTACCAAACGAAGGGGAATTCCACAAAACATGTCCATTTGGACATATTATACAAGTGCACATGTGTCAACTAACCCTGGTTTAACCAAGGTTTGCGTTAAATACGACGCTTTATATTTTTCATCGCTGTAGTATGAACTACTTTGTTGATAAATATATAGTAATTCTGCGAGTAAAATATCTTTACCTTCCTCTGCACAACAAAGTTTTTCTTGTATCAACGCACACAGCCTCCTACTAGCTCAAGAAACAAGCCAAAATATGAAAGAGAAGCGATCTCGTTTGAGTGAAAACTTGATGGTAAAAGTTGAAAAGTTGCTGATGGTTATCGCCATAAATTACCAATGGAAGAATTTACCACCACGATAAAATCAATATTACCACCACTGATAAAGTATTAGTGACCAATGCCGCCAGTTTGCCAGTGACCAGTGGCATGTACGCGTACCTATTTTTCTATAATTGCGACGCATCATGGGATTTACATTCAAATTTATTTTTGTGAGTAAATTCATTTTATCTTTACCATAAAATGTTGTTTTACTTCAAAATCTTCGCTTGTCAGACTTCGTGAGCTGACTAAATCTCGCAAGCGTTCGATCACGGCCATGACCGATTTTTCACCGAGTACTTTGTTGTCACGTGTTCTGACGTTGACCGTGTCTGAGACCGTCTCTTTTTCACCAACAACTGTTTAAAAAACAACATAAAACCATTTAACCAATCGCATTTAGTAATAAAATGAACATCTATTTTGCTTTTAAAATAGACAACACTTAAAAGACAATGAACAAAAACAAACAAACAAAAACACAAACAACAAACAATCCAACAACAGCAAACGATAATACCTTACATTTTACAACTCGCACATCAACTGACTACCAAGAACAACGAGTACTGACAAGTGAGCATCACAATGCACAACATTACAAACAGCACTGACTATAGACAACGACTTACGTTAGAAAGTAGGTTAACAAACTCAAAACAAAAATCATTGAACAGAATACAAATATCAGCACCTTATAAACGGCTTACAAGCGAACAATTAATAAGTATACCACACAAACTAAAACATCCACATATTTTCCTCTCTGTCATGACGTCTAGAGAACAAATACGGCGAACCTGACTAATGTTGTGGAAACGTCAGTAAACTCTGAACACCAACAGTGGTTCCAAACCATTTTAATTTCTATTTATTTGTACAGTAAATAAAAATAATTTAAAAGACTTATTCATACCAAGAATGAAGTTGTACTGTGAAAGTTGTGCATTGCGAACTTTCTTATTTAGTGTTGATCCGTGATCCAAGTCTGTATCAACACGATAACCAGCTGCATGGAGCTTCTTTTGAATCTAAACATGACCAAAATGTCAATAAAAAAAAAAAGGACAAAAAAATTCCAATTCATAAAATAGCAACAATTTGTCCATAGCTGAGTTTGCATTAGCCTGTGCAAGTTCGATCTAAGGCTTACCAAATTAAATTTACCGGTTCAGCATAATCATCATATTTACTACCAACAGGAATTACTACAACTTGATGGGGAGAAAGCCATAAAATCCTAGAAAATAACAGAAAATGCAGTGCATCAAAATTTTGAAATAAAGTAAAGTAGAGTAAAATTGATAAAAAATTTCCAAACAATTAAGAAACTTTGTATCATTTTAATTTAACATTTTAAGGACATTTCATTTGCTTTAAGCTCTGGCATGAGCCAAGAAAACACTCAACATTTTCCACCAAAGCTTTCAGCAAGAATAGCAATCATTTTTTCAACTGAACCTACAATAGCTCGATGAATAATAACAGGATGTAATTTTATATCTCCTTCACCACTGTCAATAGAGTAATAGAATATTGATAAATTACTAAATTGTTACAATTTGTAAAGATCTACAATTTCATGGAAACTTAAACTGTGCCGTAATCCTCTGACTATAATACACAGGCTTACATATGTTTGTGAGCCATTATCAATGATATTTACATGTGGGGGATGGATGCACAGGGATATATGCATGGACTATTAACTATTATATTGCAATTATCTGATTGCAATATTAAATGTAACTATATACTTATATGGGTGGGTTTGTTTATGGCAGTTTGAATGCAGGTGGGACTTTCAGTGTTCAGCAATGTAGCAGGCTGCATATAAGTATATAGTATATATAAGCATATAAATATATAACTCAGTGTTCAGCAATGTAGCAGGCTGCATATAAGTATATAGTATATATAAGCATATAAATATATAACAATAGGTTTCTATAGAAACAAATAATCATGTCACTGTTGGTTAAATAAATTAAGTATCAAGACCGTAGTGAGGTTATTCAACTAAAAGCTTACTGGCAAAACTTACCTAGCGTGAGGTTGAATCTCTCAGGAAGTTGGAAATCCGTTTCAATTGTTGCACATTGATGAGACCATCTCATAGCATCAAAAATTTTTATATTAATCTATAAATTGTGATAGCAATGAAATTATAAATTCACAATGGTATACATCTGTAAACATAGAAAGCTTCATCCCCCATCCCCAGGATTTTATATGCCTTTTTTGACCTGAATTATTCAAAGCTTCCATCAGTTTCTAATGAAGCATAAAACAAACTCATTTAGTTAAACAATTAAAAATATTATCAATCATTAAACATTTTCGATATTTATGACAAGACAGCTAAAAAACATTGTAAAGACTGCATTTATGTTCGCTGTGAACAAATTTCCTCCCTTTTTTGGGAGGTAAACAAACTAATCTGTATGTCAAATCAACAAATGAAAACATTCTATATTTTATTTCATTCTTGAATAACTGTCTATATCTTTGATATCCATAAAGAGGAATTGCACACGATGAAACAAATGTAACTTGATTAAATAGTTCAATGGTTTCAACCATTGAGTTGTAATGTTTGAAATGTTCAAGGTTAGAAGCCATCTTGATTTCAGCAAGCGGAGACTGAAACGAGTTAATATTTTAGTTGCAATATTTACAAATACTAAATAAAATCAATTACAAGAAAACAAAAACAATGATGAACCAAAATTGTTAAAGAACATATTTTAAGTAAAAACGACTCATGCAAGGTAACTCAAATGTTCAACTTATGATGGTGAAAATATAAAAAAAACATGGAGATAAAATAAAGCATGACAATCAATAGATCTTCACTTAGGTAATAATAGCTGCAGATCCAAATTTATAAACAGTGTGTGAAGCACTGACTAAAACATTTTGGCAATCAAATGCACTTGAAAGCCCTGGCAGGTTAGTTAAAGTCCCTCGGTGCTACAAGTCTTGTGACTTTTACTACAAAATCTCCCTCGGCTTTCAAGTACATTTAATCACTAAGTTACCTCACTACCGTGCATCGTTTTACTTATAAAAATATTGCACACGCTAGCTAAAATGTAGACTACCGTGAAATTGGCACCACATTGGGCACCACATTCAACACAACATTCATCACAACACTCATCACCACATTCAACTAAAATTTATCATTCAAAATGATAAATCATCAAATACAACAGTAAAAAATAATTCTTAACTGTTTATTAATATTTTACAGTCCTTAAACATCACAAAAAATGTATAAAAGTCAAGAAATTGAAGAAAACACTAAGATTTATATTACAGTGTACTTTCCATTTCTCTTAAATAGCCTATAATTTAAAAACTACACGGTAGAATTTTTTTAAACTTGGCCAGAATATAGATAATTATATTGTCTAAAATATATCCAAAATCTGGAGGTGGCACAAAAAAATAAGTTGTAGAAAATCATCGACAAAGTCGGATGACACGAATGCGCGTAATATAATCTTATATATTTAAGTTAAGAATTCCGGTTCTTTAACAAACAAAGCCTTATAAATAGAAAACTACACGGTAGAATTTTTTTAATCTTGGCCATATTGTAGATATTCTTATTGTCTATGACATATCCAAAATCTGGAGGTGGCACAAAAAAATAAAAGAAATAATATTCCTTGAGAATGTACTCTGGTATTAACCGTGAAGTTGGCACCACATTCGACAAACAGCTCTATAGCTAAAAAACTACACGGTAGAATTTTTTTAAACTTGGCCATATTGTAGATATTCTTATTGTCTATGACATATCCAAAATCTGGAGGTGGCACAAAAAAATAAATGATAGAAAATCATCGACAAAGTCGGATGACACGAATGCATGTAATATGATCTTATATAATTACGTTTAGAATTCCGGTTCTAAAACAAACAAAGCCTTATAAATAAAAAACTACACGGTAGAAATTTTTTTAAACTTGGCCATATTGTAGATAATTATATTGTCTAAAATATATCCAAAATCTGGAGGTGGCACAAAAATAAATGAGAAAATCATCGACAAAGTCGGATGACACGAATGCATGTAATATGATCTTATATAATTACGTTTAGAATTCCGGTTCTAAAACAAACAAAGCCTTATAAATAAAAACTACACGGTAGAAAATTTTAAACTTGGCCAGAATATAGATAATTATATTGTCTAAAATATATCCAAAATCTGGAGGTGGCACAAAAAATAAATGATAGAAAATCATCGACAAAGTCGGATGACACAAATGCGCGTAATATAATCTTATATAATTAAGTTAAGAATTCCGGTTCTTTAACAAACAAAGCCTTATAAATAAAAACTACACGGTAGAAATTTTTAAACTTGGCCATATTGTAGATATTCTTATTGTCTATAATATATCCAAAATCTGGAGGTGGCACAAAAAATAAAAGAAATAATATTCCTTGAGAATGTACTCTGGTATAAACCGTGAAGTTGGCACCACATTCGACAAACAGCTCTATAGCTAAAAAACTACACGGTAGAATTTTTTTAAACTTGGCCAGAATATAGATAATTATATTGTCTAAAATATATCCAAAATCTGGAGGTGGCACAAAAAAATAAATGATAGAAAATCATCGACAAAGTCGGATGACACGAATGCGCGTAATATAATCTTATATATTTAATTTAAGAATTCCGGTTCATTAACAAACAAAGCCTTATAAATAAAAAACTACACGGTAGAAATTTTTTAAACTTGGCCATATTGTAGATATTCTTATTGTCTATAATATATCCAAAATCTGGAGGTGGCACAAAAAAATAAAAGAAATAATATTCCTTGAGAATGTACTCTGGTATAAACCGTGAAGTTGGCACCACATTCGACAAACAGCTCTATAGCTAAAAAACTACACGGTAGAATTTTTTTAAACTTGGCCAGAATATAGATAATTATATTTCCTCCCTTTTTTGGGAGGTAAACAAACCAATCTGTATGTCAAATCAACAAATGAAAACATTCTATATTTTATTTCATTCTTGAATAACTGTCTATATCTTTGATATCCATAAAGAGGAATTGCACACGATGAAACAAATGTAACTTGATTAAATAGTTCAATGGTTTCAACCATTGAGTTGTAATGTTTGAAATGTTCAAGGTTAGAAGCCATCTTGATTTCAGCAAGCGGAGACTGAAACGAGTTAATATTTTAGTTGCAATATTTACAAATACTAAATAAAATCAATTACAAGAAAACAAAACAATGATGAACCAAAATTGTTAAAGAACATATTTTAAAAAAACGACTCATGCAAGGTAACTCAAATGTTCAACTTATGATGGTGAAAATATAAAAAACATGGAGATAAAATAAAGCATGACAATCAATAGATCTTCACTTAGGTAATAATAGCTGCAGATCCAAATTTATAAACAGTGTGTGAAGCACTGACTAAAACATTTTGGCAATCAAATGCACTTGAAAGCCCTGGCAGGTTAGTTAAAGTCCTCGGTGCTACAAGTCTTGTGACTTTTACTACAAAATCTCCTCGGCTTTCAAGTACATTTAATCACTAAGTTACCTCACTACCGTGCATCGTTTTACTTATAAAAATATTGCACACGCTAGCTAAAATGTAGACTACCGTGAAATTGGCACCACATTGGGCACCACATTCAACACAACATTCATCACAACACTCATCACCACATTCAACTAAAATTTATCATTCAAAATGATAAATCATCAAATACAACAGTAAAAAATAATTCTTAACTGTTTATTAATATTTTTTAATTGAACAAAAAAATAAATGATAGAAAATCATCGACAAAGTCGGATGACACGAATGCATGTAATATGATCTTATATAATTACGTTTAGAATTCCGGTTCTAAAACAAACAAAGCCTTATAAATAAAAAACTACACGGTAGAAATTTTTTTAAACTTGGCCATATTGTAGATAATTATATTGTCTAAAATATATCCAAAATCTGGAGGTGGCACAAAAAATAAATGATAGAAAATCATCGACAAAGTCGGATGACACGAATGCATGTAATATGATCTTATATAATTACGTTTAGAATTCCGGTTCTAAAACAAACAAAGCCTTATAAATAAAAAACTACACGGTAGAAAATTTTTAAACTTGGCCAGAATATAGATAATTATATTGTCTAAAATATATCCAAAATCTGGAGGTGGCACAAAAAATAAATGATAGAAAATCATCGACAAAGTCGGATGACACAAATGCGCGTAATATAATCTTATATAATTAAGTTAAGAATTCCGGTTCTTTAACAAACAAAGCCTTATAAATAAAAACTACACGGTAGAAATTTTTAAACTTGGCCATATTGTAGATATTCTTATTGTCTATAATAAATCCAAAATCTGGAGGTGGCACAAAAAATAAAAGAAATAATATTCCTTGAGAATGTACTCTGGTATAAACCGTGAAGTTGGCACCACATTCGACAAACAGCTCTATAGCTAAAAACTACACGGTAGAATTTTTTTAAACTTGGCCAGAATATAGATAATTATATTGTCTAAAATATATCCAAAATCTGGAGGTGGCACAAAAAATAAATGATAGAAAATCATCGACAAAGTCGGATGACACGAATGCGCGTAATATAATCTTATATATTTAATTTAAGAATTCCGGTTCTTTAACAAACAAAGCCTTATAAATAAAAAACTACACGGTAGAATTTTTTTAAACTTGGCCATATTGTAGATATTTTTATTGTCTATAACATATCCAAAATCTGGAGGTGGCACAAAAAATAAAAGAAATAATATTCCTTGAGAATGTACTCTGGTATAAACCGTGAAGTTGGCACCACATTCGACAAACAGCTCTATAGCTAAAAACTACACGGTAGAATTTTTTAAACTTGGCCAGAATATAGATAATTATATTGTCTAAAATATATCCAAAATCTGGAGGTGGCACAAAAATAAATGATAGAAAATCATCGACAAAGTCGGATGACACGAATGCGCGTAATATAATCTTATATATTTAATTTAAGAATTCCGGTTCTTTAACAAACAAAGCCTTATAAATAAAAACTACACGGTAGAAATTTTTAAACTTGGCCATATTGTAGATATTCTTATTGTCTATAATATATCCAAAATCTGGAGGTGGCACAAAAATAAAAGAAATAATATTCCTTGAGAATGTACTCTGGTATAAACCGTGAAGTTGGCACCACATTCGACAAACAGCTCTATAGCATAAAAACTACACGGTAGAATTTTTTAAACTTGGCCATAATGTAGATATTCTTATTGTCTATAACATATCCAAAATCTGGAGGTGGCACAAAAATAAATGATAGAAAATCATCGACAAAGTCGGATGACACGAATGCGCGTAATATAATCTTATATAATTAACTTCCTATATCCATGTAATTATTCAAACAAAGGCCTATAAATAAAAACTACACGGTAGAATTTTTTAAACTTGGCCAGAATATAGATAATTATATTGTCTAAAATATATCCAAAATCTGGAGGTGGCACAAAAATAAATGATAGAAAATCATCGACAAAGTCGGATGACACGAATGCATGTAATATAATCTTATATAATTAAGTTTAGAATTCCGGTTCTTTAACAAACAAAGCCTTATAAATAAAAACTACACGGTAGAATTTTTTAAACTTGGCCATAATGTAGATATTCTTATTGTCTATAACATATCCAAAATCTGGAGGTGGCACAAAAAAAAAAAATAATATTCCTTGAGAATGTACTCTGGTATTAACCGTGAAGTTGGCACCACATTCGACAAACAGCTCTATAGCTAAAAACTACACGGTAGAATTTTTAAACTTGGCCATAATGTAGATATTCTTATTGTCTATAACATATCCAAAATCTGGAGGTGGCACAAAAAAATAAATGATAGAAAATCATCGACAAAGTCGGATGACACGAATGCGCGTAATATAATCTTATATAATTAACTTCCTATATCAAGGTATCTTTGCAAACAAAGGCCTGTAAATAAACAACTACACGGTAGAATTTTTTTAAACTTGGCCATATTGTAGATATTTTTATTGTCTATAACATTATCCAAAATCTGGAGTGCACAAAAAAAAGTTGTAGAAAATCATCGGCAAAGTCGGATGACACGAATACGCGTAATATAATATTATATAATTAACTTCCTATATCAAGGTATCTTTGCAAACAAAGGCCTATAAATAAAAACACGGTAGAATTTTTTAAACTTGGCCATATTGTAGATATTTTTATTGTCTAAAACATATCCAAAATCTGGAGAGTGCACAAAAAAATAAGTTTTAGAAAATCATCGGCAATGTCGGATGACACGAATACGCGTAATATAATATTATATAATTAACTTCCTATATCAAGGTATCTTTGCAAACAAAGGCCTGTAAATAAAAAACTACACGGTAGAATTTTTTTAAACTTGGAATTCCGGTTCTAAAACAAACAAAGCCTTATAAATAAAAAACTACACGGTAGAATTTTTTTAAACTTGGAATTCCGGTTCTAAAACAAACAAAGCCTTATAAATAAAAAACTACACGGTAGATTGTTTTTAAATATATCCAAAATCAAGAGAGTGAACAAAAAATTATTAATACAATTCACTTTTTACTAAATTGTTTAAAAGTAGTAAACTCTGGTTGTTAGTACCAAATTAATTATGCAGTGACGTAACAGTGCTGGTTATTTTTTTTGAAAATTTGTTCTAGTTGCTCATCGCTTTAATTTTTTCAAAATTTAGTGAATCTAGTGAAGTAAATGACTTGTTTTTTGGAGTAGTTACGACCAAATATTACTTTAATCCAGGACCTTTACGTCACGGTATAATTAGACACGTGCATTATTTATATTGTATTTTTACAGACTTACTAGAAAATTACTTTACTTTATTGTCTTATAATTAGAAATCGGCTATTATTTTCCACAGTATTTTTCTTTCTATCGCATTTTTTTACGTTGTTGGCAGGATCAGAATATCGATTAATAATTTCTAATTAATAATTATATAAGATTATATTACGCGCATTCGTTCATCCGAATTTGTCGATGATTTTCTATCATTTATTTTTTTGTGCCACCTCCAGATTTTGGATATATTTTAGACAGTATAAATATCTATATTCTGGCCAAGTTTAAAAAAATTCTAAGGTGTAGTTTTTTATTTATAGGCCTTTGTTTGAAAAATTACATGGATATAGGAAGTTAATTATATAAGATTATATTACGCGCATTCGTGTCATCCGACTTTGTCGATGATTTTCTATCATTTATTTTTTTGTGCCACCTCCAGATTTTGGATATATTTTAGACAATATAATTATCTATAATATGGCCAAGTTTAAATAAATTCTACCGTGGAGTTTTTTATTTACAGGCCTTTGTTTGCAAAGATACCTTGATATAGGAAGTTAATTATATAATATTGTATTACGCGTATTCGTGTCATCCGACTTTGCCGATGATTTTCTATCATTTATTTTTGTGCCACCTCCAGATTTTGGATATATTTTAGACAATATAATTATCTATATTCTGGCCAAGTTTAAAAAATTCTACCGTGTAGTTTTTAGCTATAGAGCTGTTTGTCGAATGTGGTGCCAACTTCACGGTTTATACCGAGTACATTCTCAAGGAATATTATTTCTTTATTTTTGTGCCACCTCCAGATTTTGGATATATTATAGACAATAAGAATATCTACAATATGGCCAAGTTTAAAAAATTTCTACCGTGTAGTTTTTATTTATAAGGCTTTGTTTGTTAAAGAACCGGAATTTTAACTTAAATATATAAGATTATATTACGCGCATTCGTGTCATCCGACTTTATCGATGATTTTCTATCATTTATTTTTTTGTGCCACCTCCAGATTTTGGATATATTTTAGACAATGAAAATATCTACAATATGGCCAAGTTTAAAAAATTTCTACCGTGTAGTTTTTTATTTATAAGGCTTTGTTTGTTAAAGAACCGGAATTCTTAACTTAAATATATAAGATTATATTACGCGCATTCGTGTCATCCGACTTTGTCGATGATTTTCTATCATTTATTTTTTTGTGCCACCTCCAGATTTTGGATATATTTTAGACAATAAAATATCTACAATATGGCCAAGTTTAAAAATTTCTACCGTGTAGTTTTTATTTATAAGGCTTTGTTTGTTAAAGAACCGGAATTTTAACTTAAATATATAAGATTATATTACGCGCATTCGTGTCATCCGACTTTGTCGATGATTTTCTATCATTTATTTTTGTGCCACCTCCAGATTTTGGATATATTTTAGACAATAAAATATCTACAATATGGCCAAGTTTAAAAATTTCTACCGTGTAGTTTTTATTTATAAGGCTTTGTTTGTTAAAGAACCGGAATTTTAACTTAAATATATAAGATTATATTACGCGCATTCGTGTCATCCGACTTTGTCGATGATTTTCTATCATTTATTTTTGTGCCACCTCCAGATTTTGGATATATTTTAGACAATATAATTATCTATATTCTGGCCAAGTTTAAAAAATTCTACCGTGTAGTTTTTATTTATAGGCCTTTGTTTGAAAAATTACATGGATATAGGAAGTTAATTATATAAGATTATATTACGCGCATTCGTGTCATCCGACTTTGTCGATGATTTTCTATCATTTATTTTTGTGCCACCTCCAGATTTTGGATATATTTTAGACAATATAATTATCTATATTCTGGCCAAGTTTAAAAAATTCTACCGTGTAGTTTTTATTTATAGGCTTTGTTTGTTAAAGAACCGGAATTCTAAACGTAATTATATAAGATTATATTACGCGCATTCGTGTCATCCGACTTTGTCGATGATTTTCTATCATTTATTTTTTGTGCCACCTCCAGATTTTGGATATATTTTAGACAATATAATTATCTATATTCTGGCCAAGTTTAAAAAATTCTACCGTGTAGTTTTTATTTATAAGGCTTTGTTTGTTTAAGAACCGGAATTCTAACGTAATTATATAAGATTATATTACGCGCATTCGTGTCATCCGACTTTGTCGATGATTTTCTATCATTTATTTTTGTGCCACCTCCAGATTTTGGATATGTTATAGACAATAAGAATATCTACAATATGGCCAAGTTTAAAAAAATTCTACCGTGTAGTTTTTTAGCTATAGAGCTGTTTCTCGAATGTGGTGCCAACTTCACGGTTAATACCAGAGTACATTCTCAAGGAATATTATTGCTTTTATTTTTTTGTGCCACCTCCAGATTTTGGATATGTTATAGACAATAAGAATATCTACAATATGGCCAAGTTTAAAAAATTCTACCGTGTAGTTTTTATTTATAAGGCTTTGTTTGTTAAAGAACCGGAATTCTTAACTTAAATATATAAGATTATATTACGCGCATTCGTGTCATCCGACTTTGTCGATGATTTTCTATCATTTATTTTTTGTGCCACCTCCAGATTTTTGATATATTTTAGGCAATATAATTATCTATATTCTGGCCAAGTTTAAAAAACTTCTACCGTGTAGTTTTTATTTATAGGCCTTTGTTTGAAAAATTACATGGATATAGGAAGTTAATTATATAAGATTATATTACGCGCATTCGTGTCATCCGACTTTGTCGATGATTTTCTATCATTTATTTTTGTGCCACCTCCAGATTTTGGATATATTTTAGACAATATAATTATCTATATTCTGGCCAAGTTTAAAAATTCTACCGTGTAGTTTTTATTTATAGGCCTTTGTTTGAAAATTACATGGATATAGGAAGTTAATTATATAAGATTATATTACGCGCATTCGTGTCATCCGACTTTGTCGATGATTTTCTATCATTTATTTTTTGTGCCACCTCCAGATTTTGGATATATTTTAGACAATATAATTATCTATATTCTGGCCAAGTTTAAAAAAATTCTACCGTGTAGTTTTTTATTTATAGGCCTTTGTTTGAAAAATTACATGGATATAGGAAGTTAATTATATAAGATTATATTACGCGCATTCGTGTCATCCGACTTTGTCGATGATTTTCTATCATTTATTTTTTGTGCCACCTCCAGATTTTGGATATATTTTAGACAATATAATTATCTATATTCTGGCCAAGTTTAAAAAAATTCTACCGTTTTTAAATTATAGGCTATTTAAGAGAAATGGAAAGTACTGTAATATAAATCTTAGTGTTTTCTTCAATTTCTTGACTTTTATACATTTTTTGTGATGTTTAAGGACTGTAAAATAGTAATAAACAGTTAAGAATTATTTTTTACTGTTGTATTTGATGGAAAACGTGTTTTAAAGACGATTTTTTGATTTATCATTTTGAATGATAAATTTTAGTTGAATGTGGTGATGAATGTTGTGATGAATGTTGTGTTGAATGTGGTGCCCAATGTGGTGCCACTTTCACGGTAGTAAAATGTAGATCCCATTAACTACATACATGTATGGTCTTATATGAGCCAGTTTTAAATACTCAAAGAATATTTCGGCAATCAGAGAGTAAAATATTTTTACCTTACTCTGAACAAAACAGTTTTTCTTGTGAGTCTTTTTATCGCAGGGATACGTCCGTATAAAATTCTTATCACCAAAATGTTTCAAATTCCAAATTGGTGAAGTGTTGACTGTGTAGTAAGCTGGTCGATACAACTCATACGCAACGCATCGATTTGCTGTTTAAAATCATGATAGAACTCATGCAGATAGATTGGTTTCACATAGCCAGAATAACAACCGATAACTGTTAGCTTCCAGAACAATTCAGTGAATTCACCACAAATGTCAGTCTGCTACGTGAAGATAGTTCTCTTGCATATGCCTCAAGTCTTTTTTACGCTTCCGAATTGCATCCTTGAACGCCTTACTTTATACAGTTCAGCCAACATTTACCTATTCTTGCCATAAAATGATTAAGTGTGCTCCAAGTTGACTGAAAATAAAATTGTTCAGCATACGCCATTTTGAAAGCATGTCTATAATTATCCACTATCATCCATTGTAACCACTATCAACATCCTAATGTCATTGGTGGTCAAAAATAGTCACATTTTTTATTTACTTTTGCCTTTCATTCATGTCATTTCTAGATATGAATTTTCATATTCGTCCATAGTTCAATCAATAATAAAAAAATATTTATTGTAAATTTTATTATAGCAAATGAACGTGACGCCAAGAGTTTGTAAATTACATGCAATTTTTCGTCGTGGTATAGTGTGAACTATCTATCTCGACCTTATTTAAACCTGAACATTTTTTATAGTCGTTATATGCATCAATGCATTAATTATAATCGTTTGATGAAAATATGGAAATATGATAAAATTCTTTTTTAAGGGAGGGTGACTCGATTTTTCTAAAAGTTCTTTTGGATGTGGAAAATGTGTTCAAATGCATGAATTATAGTCTTTTGGTAAAATAATGGAACTAAGATTAAATTCATTTTCAGGGGGGGTGGAATCCCTATTTCTATAAAAGTTCTTTTTGTTGTGGAAAATGTGTTCAAATGCATGAATTATAGTCTTTTGGTGAAAGTATGGAAATATTATAAAATTCATTTTCAGGGAGGGTGGACTCGATTATTTTGTCAAAGTTCTTTTTGATGTGGAAAATGTGTTCAACCACATGAATTATAGTCTTTTGGTGAAATTATGGAAATATTATAAAATTCATTTTCAGGGGGGGTGGAATCCTCATTTTCTAAAAGTTGTTTTTAAGTGGAAAATGTGTTGGAATGCATTAATTATAGTGTTTTCGTGAAAGGTCAATTTCATTTTGGCTTGGTCAAAGTCAGTTTTGTATCGTCACATTAATATACATAATTTTCGTCGATAATATGAAAAACATTTTAACTAAGCGCTTCCGACATCACTACGCACGGTCTCATTATAATATTGAAATCCTCAATACCCAAAGCTGACCACGACACACTTTACGAGAACGGAATCGTAACCTTCAATGCAACAAGCCCCTAGCCAGCATATACTTACTAGAGAAAGCATGGTTTTACGTATGTAAAATTGACGCTCAATATTGCAAAACATATTGAAAGGAAAGCCGAATAATAAATTATTATGGGAAAACTGAAAATGTTACCGATACATAGGTATTTTGAAAATCATTGTCCGTTGCCTGGCCGTTATTTTGAGCCCTGTTCTTTTTGCTTAGTTAACTCAATTTTTAACAAGGTATTGTTATCTTAATGCAGTTAAGAGGTAAGGTATGATTGTCACACATTTCTTATTAATTTGCACTCAGGCGAATGAGATGTTACTCGTTGGAAAAGAAACTGACTGCGGTCGAAGCTTGTAACTACGGTTTGGTAACAGAAATTATTCCTCAAGCCGAAATTGAAAAAGAAATTAACAACAGAATGAAATACATGGCTGCGTTGCCGCCGAAGGTAGCACAAATCTGGACTTTACCGTTATTGCTTCGTTTCATTTAACCATACAATGCTTCTCTCCATTGCAGTCGCTCTCATTGTCCAAGAAACTATGTTGCTCAGTTGAGCTGGAGAAACTTCACGATGTGAATAATAAAGAATGCGAAGTGCTTGCTCAAAAATGGCTCTCGGAGGAATGCGCGCAAGCAGTGATGACTTTTTTACAACGCAAATCAAAAATGTAGTTGAAACATTAAGTTGATTCTTGTTTATGAAATGTTCGATGCATTTTCTTTCTGTGTATGTTATTCAGTTTGATAAAAACCATTTCCACCAAAGTGTTAAGCGTACAAAAGCATCTGCGCAAACATCTACTTGATGTCACGTGACAACATGTTAATTAATGACACTTATTTTTAAACAACTGCATCAATTTTCAACAAATGCGCAAGAAAATAAGGTTATCGCGACTAAGAAGTCCGTTACGCCAGCAGTAAACACTGAAGTCTCAATGACTTGAACGATACAGAACGAGTGTTCGAAATTTTCCAGCAAAGTTTTTGCTATGTTTTGGAACTTGATTCAAAACGCAATTTTTTTCCTCCAACCAAAGTAAAGATTTTAAAAATCGTGGTTAAATGAACGAATATGTTTTGTTATTCAACTCAAGTTACGAATGATTTACACCAACAACGCTACAAATTCCGCTGCGTAAAGGTTACAAACGGATCATTGGGGGACAAAATATCCTATATGTACAACAAATATTTGCACGCGCTATAAGTCCGATCGCAAGTATACCTGGATGGTAAGCCATTCCTGTAAGCTCGTCCACCATCTTCTTACGATGCCATGTTGCTGATGTACTTTTGAAACAAATCGCGTTCTTCGTGATTTTTATCCTCAAGTTCTTGTATATTACCGTTGACCATCAACGTCTGTTTCTCGAAGGCACTACAATATTAAATATGCTGCTTTACTATTTGCTGACATGGGATTTTTTCAAAGTTCGAAACTGTAAATGTTTTCATCATCTTCGACGTGAACGTCCATGAATAACAATAGAAATCTATTGCATTTTCAAAGGTCCCGTGTCCTCTCTCTAGTTGCTAAGCTCCGCCCACCCCTTTCCTCTCCTTTCCAATAGTGCCCAATCTCTCTCTCCCTCGTAAAAATAGACACACAAACCTGTCTAGAAACTAGTGAAGATCTCGCCAAAAGTGAATTGAGCTCCTCCTCGAAATGTTTGAAAGATAAAATTTCTGCGACAATTCCGCGTTCCTTTGCCATGTCGCAGTTGAGTTTCGTGTTGCATAGAATAACAGACATTGCCTGATTTAAAGGAAATTCACCGTAAGACAAAATGAATTTTTTTTAAAGCATCTCGGTTCTTTTATAAAAACAACAATTATGTTTCACGATACACTTTTTTTAAGGCGGGATAGGAGTAAAGCATTTTGGGAACTTAGATAAAGCTATTCGTAGTTTTAATTACTTTTCAATCTCACAGTTAATTTTAACACCTCAGAACATAACACATCCTCTCAGGTTCAAGAAAAGAAAACATTTTAATGTTTATATAAAGTGATCAATAGGCGTGGATACAACTCAAATACATAACATGGCAAAATATGACCTAGTGCCCAGGCCTCCGTTTAATATAAACAAGTCACGTGTACCTGTGAATGACCAAATAAATTAGGTACAGTTAGAGAGCAACATCCAACTGGAGGATGACCCAACTCCACAAACTTCGTTTGAAAGTTGCCTTTAAAAAACACGACGAATATGTCAACTGAAATAAAAATTACGTAATGTTGTACTGAGGAGTCACTAGGAGTCACTAAGGAGTCACTAAGATCAGTTCTTACCAAACTGGAAACATTGGTCTATAAACAAGAAGAAGCGTTATCAATATGTTCCGCTTTCGCGCATGTAAATTTACTTTTCATAATTGGAAAGGTCGTCGTTTAATTAGATTCGTGCTCAGTTACAATTGGTTTTTTCTATGAAATTAGATTGTCCCCCCGCTATCTAATTTGAATTAGAATTTTAGCAAATTGTGAAGTTGTTTCAAAGTAGTTTGCCACCTACTTCGAACTGCTGAGCACAAAGTAATTTTGCTAACTCGCAATGACTGTTCATGCGTCTATTTCTATAATACTATAGTTCATGCGACTTAAACGATCTCATGACACCGTTGAAATAAATGAAATGGTAATCGAGTTCCATCGGTTCTAATCGCTAATAAAGCGCTCGCAAGAAAAATGTTTCGTTTGATCATAGTGTGTGTGTGTGTCATCGTGGGGGTAACTTCATATGCTGAAAAGACAGTTAAATTTTCCATGCACCTAACTCCCAAAGACTATAGCTAATGTGTCTATTTCACAAAGACTTTAGTTCATGCACCTAAAGGCTATAAAATCTATATATATGTATATTGTTCGTGCATCTTAACAATATAGTTCATGTACCTAACTCCCAAAGACTATAGTTCACAAACTTAACTTTCAAAGAATATCTTTCACACACCCAACTTCAAAGACTAAACTCCCAAAAATTCTTCTTCATGCACCTAAACTCGGAACGACTATAGTTCATACACCTAACTCCCAAAGACTATATTTCACGCACGTAACTCGCAAAGACTATAAGATCATGCGTCTATTTCCCAAAGAGTTTAGTTCATGCAACTAACACCAAAGAAAATAGTTAATGTATCTAATTACCAAAGACTATAGTTCATGCACCTTACTCCGAAGGACTATAGTTCATGAAAGAGCTCCCAAAGACTATAGTTCATGCACCTAACATCCAAAGACTATAGTTAAAGCACTTAAATTCCAAAACTTATATTTCACGCACCTAAATCTCAAAGATTGTTCATGCGTTTATTTCCCACTTATTGAACTCACTTGATTGGTGAATTGTATTTTCCCATGTTTTCAAAAACTTTCTTAAAGGTCGTACATTCCAATTCTTGTTCTTAATTCCAGGATCACATACATATGAACTATTGACCAGACAAAATCATGATATCTAATTACAATGTGACATCACTCTTCACATCCATACCATTAGACATAGCCAAACAACACAACTAGACAAATAAAATCCTAGACTTACTCAACCTTTGCCTCTCCACTGAATTCTTCTTCTAAAACTCATACTATAGACAACTTTCAGCGAATCAATGGGGTCACCACTATACACCTTCCTCGCAAAAGCTGTCGTGCAAAACCTCGAAACACAATCAGTCACCAACAGCACAGATGAAACAGACAGACTATGGAATAGATATAAAGACGATATCTTTGCCATAGTCAAGAAAGCCAAAACTGGACAAATGCTACACACCATAAAAATACTACAAAGAAGATAACCTTCACTAAAGACAAAAAACACAACAAGACTAAACAAACAAGTATACGGCATAAATACCCTTACAGACCAAATACTTGATTTCAACCGTAATCATTCCACACAACACAAAATAAGCAACATTCGAACACTTTTCAACAGAATTAACACTCACTGCAGCACAGAAGAAGCCAAAAAACAGAACGCAACTACTTGTTCTCATTTATAAAAACTAGTTACCCTATAGAAACTTTATAGACGAAACTATAAGCAAAATCAGTCAGAACTTTACTACTAACGGACACCTCCCGAAAGCAGACACTGCTATTAGGTCCCTGCCAATACTCTTACTATTAACTTATTTACAACCTCTCATAAGCAGACACCAAAACAATCTTCAAACAATTCTGTAGTGTTTATGGTGTTTCGAAAGTTCACTTTTAGGGGTGGTCATGGGAGAAAAAATTTACATGAGTTTAATATTTACTGAGGAAATTACCATACACCAGCTATGGTCAAATGGCAATTTTGCACAAATTAACAAATATTCGTGGCAGAGATTGAATTTTTATATTTTCGTTGTTTCAAGAAATTTACATTGTTTTGCTGGCATACGATAGAACATATTTCGCATACCTTCCTCCTAAACCCACTTTCCGTCATATTTTGCCGTTTAGTGTGCATTTCATAGCCGAATCTTATAACTTAGATATTTCATACAGGGACAATCCTTCACCATTGATAAGTGTCGTCGCTTTTGTGCTCGATAAATCCCGCTTCGAAAAAATATAGATATGACGATATATTTTCGGATATTTTGGGGTTTTTGTAGTGTTGTTCGCAATGATTCATAAATAGATCAAATTGAACCTTAGCCGACAATTACCCCGCACGTGATTGGGTCAAGATTGTCTGTCAATACATTGTATACAGAACCATTTAAAACCGCTATAAAGCTATTAAAACCAACAAAACACAATTAAAAACTATGTATAATAACTATATATATCGTAACAACGAATATTTTCATATTTTTCGATATTTTCGGTACATCGATATATCGATATACCGAAAACCAATATCGATAAACCGATATTTAAAAACCCGATATTTATCGATAATTCGATATGTCGCAACAGCCTACCTCGCAAGAGCCTTTATCGTCGTAAACATGCTTGGACTCATTCATGTTTTCAGTGGTTGACGAGTCCTCATCCAAAACTCTCGAGCGTATGCTAGGTGCTTCAACTACGTTCAATTTCATCAAGCTATCTTCAACCTGGCGTCGTTGTTTCTCTTCTGCCATGCTTGATTTTGTTTCAATGTTGGAAGTTTCATTTTCAAGCAGTTCTTCTACCTCGATCTACGAATTATAATATCTGTCATAAATATTAAAGCAGTTTGTTTATGTAGAAAATATGCAGACACAAAGTTATGAAGAGAAATAAAACATCTTTAACATTGTCACGGATATTACGAGGGGCATAACAAAGTGTTGATGAGTTTGACTAATTCTACGTTTATAAGAAACTTTTAAACAATTCTAACCCTAACCTTAACACTTACACTAACCATAATCTAACCCTGACCCTAATCCATACCCTAACCATTGAACCAATGTATGAACTGTAGTCAATTGTAGTCACATTATAAAGCCTACTTCCTATTGTTTTTGGAGTTCAATGTGCATTCTAATCTTTCGTTTCAAATCCGCATTCTATTCTTGTAATCTTGTAGCCCATATTCTTGCAAGCATTTCTCAAATGGATATTCAAAATGGAGACTCCACAAGATATGCTAATTGCTAATTTTTTTTCACCAAACAAAAAATTTGTCACAGTCTGTTACGGGTCTTGCAGCTGACATATGAAATGTTTGTAAGTGTGGCAGGAAAATTACATTTATATAGCTACTCTTTGTTTTGCTATGTTAAGCATCACACAATAACAAGAAAACGAATGAGGAATTGGTCACATTTACCACTAAAAACAGTAAAATTCTAGAGCTCCAGTACGAATAGCAAATGACTGTCAAAACGAGGGACGATCTTGGCCCACTGCGATAATATTTTACCAAATGAAGGGAATTCCACAAAACATGTCCATTTGGACATATTATACAAGTGCACATGTGTCAACTAACCCTGGTTTAACCAAGGTTTGCGTTAAATACGACGCTTTATATTTTTCATCGCTGTAGTATGAACTACTTTGTTGATAAATATATAGTAATTCTGCGAGTAAAATATCTTTACCTTCCTCTGCACAACAAAGTTTTTCTTGTATCAACGCACACAGCCTCCTACTAGCTCAAGAAACAAGCCAAAATATGAAAGAGAAGCGATCTCGTTTGAGTGAAAACTTGATGGTAAAAGTTGAAAAGTTGCTGATGGTTATCGCCATAAATTACCAATGGAAGAATTTACCACCACGATAAAATCAATATTACCACCACTGATAAAGTATTAGTGACCAATGCCGCCAGTTTGCCAGTGACCAGTGGCATGTACGCGTACCTATTTTTCTATAATTGCGACGCATCATGGGATTTACATTCAAATTTATTTTTGTGAGTAAATTCATTTTATCTTTACCATAAAAATGTTGTTTTACTTCAAAAATCTTCGCTTGTCAGACTTCGTGAGCTGACTAAATCTCGCAAGCGTTCGATCACGGCCATGACCGATTTTTCACCGAGTACTTTGTTGTCACGTGTTCTGACGTTGACCGTGTCTGAGACCGTCTCTTTTTCACCAACAACTGTTTAAAAAACAACATAAAACCATTTAACCAATCGCATTTAGTAATAAAATGAACATCTATTTTGCTTTTAAAATAGACAACACTTAAAAGACAATGAACACAAAACAAACAAACAAAACACAAACAACAAACAATCCAACAACAGCAAACGATAATACCTTACATTTTACAACTCGCACATCAACTGACTACCAAGAACAACGAGTACTGACAAGTGAGCATCACAATGCACAACATTACAAACAGCACTGACTATAGACAACGACTTACGTTAGAAAGTAGGTTAACAAACTCAAAACAAAATCATTGAACAGAATACAAATATCAGCACCTTATAAACGGCTTACAAGCGAACAATTAATAAGTATACCACACAAACTAAAACATCCACATATTTTCCTCTCTGTCATGACGTCTAGAGAACAAATACGGCGAACCTGACTAATGTTGTGGAAACGTCAGTAAACTCTGAACACCAACAGTGGTTCCAAACCATTTTAATTTCTATTTATTTGTACAGTAAATAAAAATAATTTAAAAGACTTATTCATACCAAGAATGAAGTTGTACTGTGAAAGTTGTGCATTGCGAACTTTCTTATTTAGTGTTGATCCGTGATCCAAGTCTGTATCAACACGATAACCAGCTGCATGGAACTTCTTTTGAATCTAAACATGACCAAAATGTCAATAAAAAAAAAAAAAGGACAAAAAAATTCCAATTCATAAAATAGCAACAATTTGTCCATAGCTGAGTTTGCATTAGCCTGTGCAAGTTCGATCTAAGGCTTACCAAATTAAATTTACCGGTTCGGCATAATCATCATATTTACTACTGACAGGAATTACTACAACTTGATGGGGAGAAAGCCATAAAATCCTAGAAAATAACAGAAAATGCAGTGCGTCAAAATTTTGAAATAAAGTAAAGTAGAGTAAAAATGATAAAAAAATTTCCAAACAATTAAGAAACTTTGTATCATTTTAATTTAACATTTTAAGGACATTTCATTTGCTTTAAGCTCTGGCATGAGCCAAGAAAACACTCACCATTTTCCACCAAAGCTTTCAGCAAGAATAGCAATCATTTTTCAACTGAACCTACAATAGCTCGATGAATAATAACAGGATGTAATTTTATATCTCCTTCACCACTGTCAATAGAGTAATAGAATATTGATAAATTACTAAATTGTTACAATTTGTAAAGATCTACAATTTCATGGAAACTTAAACTGTGCCGTAATCCTCTGACTATAATACACAGGCTTACATATGTTTGTGAGCCATTATCAATGATATTTACATGGGGGGGGGATGGATGCACAGGGATACATGCATGGACTATTAACTATTATATTGCAATTATCTGTTAACATTGCAATATTAAATGTAACTATATACTTATATGCGCGGGTGGGTTTGTTTGCAGGCGAGTTTGAATGCAGGTGGGACTTTCAGTGTTCAGCAATGTAGCAGGCTGCATATAAGTATATAGTATATATAAGCATATAAATATATAACAATAGGTTTCTATAGAAACAAATAATCATGTCACTGTTGGTTAAATAAATTAAGTATCAAGACCGTAGTGAGGTTATTCAACGAAAAGCTTACTGGCAAAACTTACCTAGCGTGAGGTTGAATCTCTCAGGAAGTTGGAAATCCAGTTCAATTGTTGCACATTGATGAGACCATCTCATAGCATCAAAAATTTTATATTAATCTATAAATTGTGATAGCAATGAAATTATAAATTCACAATGGTATACATCTGTAAACATAGAAAGCTTCATCCCCATCCCCAGGATTTATCTGCCGTTTTGACCAAAATTATTCAAAGCTTCCATCAGTTTCTAATGAAGCATAAAACAAACTCATTTAGTTAAACAATTAAAAATATTATCAATCATTAAACATTTTCGATATTTATGACAAGACAGCTAAAAAACATTGTAAAGACTGCATTTATGTTCGCTGTGAACAAATTTCCTCCCTATTTTGGGAGGTAAACAAACCAATCTGTATGTCAAATCAACAAATGAAAACATTCTATATTTTATTTCATTCTTGAATAACTGTCTATATCTTTGATATCCATAAAGAGGAATTGCACACGATGAAACAAATGTAACTTGATTAAATAGTTCAATGGTTTCAACCATTGAGTTGTAATGTTTGAAATGTTCAAGGTTAGAAGCCATCTTGATTTCAGCAAGCGGAGACTGAAACGAGTTAATATTTTAGTTGCAATATTAACAAATACTAAATAAAATCAATTACAAGAAAACAAAAACAATGATGAACCAAAATTGTTAAAGAACATATTTTAAGTAAAACGACTCATGCAAGGTAACTCAAATGTTCAACTTATGATGGTGAAAATAAAAAAACATGGAGATAAAATAAAGCATGACAATCAATAGATCTTCACTTAGGTAATAATAGCTGCAGATCCAAATTTATAAACAGTGTGTGAAGCACTGACTAAAACATTTTGGCAATCAAATGCACTTGAAAGCCCTGGCAGGTTAGCTAAAGTCCCTCGGTGCTACAAGTCTTGTGACTTTTACTACAAAATCTCCCTCGGCTTTCAAGTACATTTAATCACTAAGTTACCTCACTACCGTGCATCGTTTTACTTATAAAATATTGCACACGCTAGCTAAAATGTAGATCCCATTAACTACATACATGTATGGTCTTATATGAGCCAGTTTTAAATACTCAAAGAATATTTAGGCAATCAGAGAGTAAAATATTTTACCTTACTCTGAACAAAACAGTTTTTCTTGTGAGTCTTTTATCGCAGGGATACGTCGGTATAAAATTCTTATCACCAAAATGTTTCAAATTCCAAATTGGTGAAGTGTTGACTGTGTAGTAAGCTGGTCGATACAACTCATACGCAACGCATCGATTTGCTGTTTAAAATCATGATAGAACTCATGCAGATAGATTGGTTTCACATAGCCAGAATAACAACCAATAACTGTTAGCTTCCAGAACAATTCAGTGAATTCACCACAAATGTCAGTCTGCTACGTGAAGATAGTTCTCTTGCATATGCCTCAAGTCTTTTTTTACGCTTCCAATTGCATCCTTGAACGCCTTATTTTATACAGTTCAGCCAACATTTACCTATTCTTGCCATAAAATGATTAAGTGTGCTCCAAGTTGACTGAAAATAAAATTGTTCAGCATACGCCATTTTGAAAGCATGTCTATAAATATCCACTATCATCCATTGTAACCACTATCAACATCCTAATGTCATTGGTCAAAAATAGTCACATTTTTTATTTACTTTTGCCTTTCATTCATGTCATTTCTAGATATGAGTTTTCTTATTCGTCCATAGTTCAATCAATAATAAAAAAATATTTATTGTAAATTTTAATATAGCAAATGAACGTGACGCCAAGAGTTTGTAAATTACATGCAATTTTTCGTCGTGGTATAGTGAATTATCTATCTCGACCATTGAGTTCTATAATAACTGGAGGGGAAACGTCAACAAAATTAGTATAAATTATTAGCGCGCGGCCGCGTGGTCAAAAACATGGCGGATTTTGGTGGTCAAAGTCAGCGGAGAGACGCGGGCTCATAAAATAAAATTTTTGTCGCCCACCCTGATTTGACCACCACAATTGCGAGTATAGAAAATATCAAAACTATTTATTTTCCTAACATAACCACTTTTTTAAAATTTTATTTATTAAAGTGCCAACGTTTGTGGTTTGCGGATGCTGAAATAGCGACAGAAAAGGGAACATTTCTTGACTCCGGTAAGTAGCACAGTATTAGTTTTACTATTTTGTTTTTAACACGATACTTGAAGAGTGTTTCTACTACTAAGTTTTAATTTAAAATTATTTTGGTCCAGTCTTGTTTGTTCTTCACTTAATCGCTCGCCAGACGTGGCGAAGCTGTAAATTTTTATCGAGTTTTGCATCCATCTTGTATCATGATCAAGGCATCAAGCTAAACTCTCCTAATTTGAATTGAGTTTACCTCCCAAAAATGGGGCATAATTTGTTCATGTTTTTTTTTGAAAAGATGAAGGGAAAGTTTACAACAGAGTTGTTTTGAAATTGAATCCAGTGCCATGCAAAATTAATGAGAACTATGGTATATGTTGTATAATAAAAATAACTATTAAACTGTTTGCCTGCTCAATTTGACTGACTGTATAGTGTAGACAATTATAATGGGATTGGAAAGTTGGATTTATGCAAACAATTTTAAAGTACTACTTAGCTTTTCTGTAAATGAAGTATTTATTGTTATAGTAAACAGGTTAATACTTCAAAACCAAGATAAAAGTAGTGTGTTGAACAATGTGCTAAGATTTGTTTCTAACTTAAAATTTTTGTTCAACAGTAGCTTATGATTATATCATTAATATGCATGAAAAATTAAACATATTATTGTCTCATCTCACCAAATCCATACTTGGTATGATTCCAGGTGATCCACAAATTCACATCGGATGCATTGGTTACAAAGAAGTTGAATGTAGAAGAAGCAAAAATAGATGGCAAAGAAATTCTTTGTGTCTTATGAAGAATTAGTAGAAATCAATAGAAAGACTTCTTTGAACAAATTGTAAACAAATTTAAATTTGCTCATGGTCAAGCAACCTAGTCAAAGAAGCAAAGTCTGTCTTCAACATGTGACCTTTCCAATTATTTAGTTTCTTTGTACAAAATACTATTTTCAAGAAACTTGATTTGTAAGTCTTTCATTAATATTTTTTTACCAAGAGATAAAAGAAACTAATTCAAAGGCTTGATGTAAAATACAAAGATTTAATAAGTTGTTTATCATTTAATTCCCAAATGTTAGTTTGTACATATAAATAATTAGTATTGGTAGCTGTAAGTTATTTAAGCAAAACAGAAGAGTAGTAGTGAAGGAAGGGTTAGCATTTTGAAAAATTATATCTTGTTCATGACATATATTACTCAATTCCAAAACTGTAAGTAATGCACAATAATATCTATAGAACTTGATAAATTTCTTCACCTACACTGTGAAATAACTATTTTGCCTTCATGCAGCAATAGACAGTGTTTTTGTCAGAGAAACCAATGCACTTTAGTTTCCAAGTTTATAATTTCAATGGAAAATTAATGTAGTTCTGTTCAGTAATAGATCCAAGATTCTGCCAAGCTGTTTACAAAATACAAATTACCAAGCAACAGTGTCATGGTGTTTTTGAATTTTTTTCTTTTTTGTAGCTCTTCTGGTTCAACATACTTTCTTTATGAGTTTTCAGTAGATTTATCAGGTAATGACAATACACTTATGATACTTATCCATGGTAAACTTTCAGTTGACTTATGTCGTAGGACTGAAGCAAACATTTTCTCGCTTCCTTAGGAGCATTTTTACACAGATTTATCTATTTGAAGCAAGAAAAATAGGTGCACAAAACTGTCTACAAACAGTCAAACACACAAAAGCATGAAATAATGTATAAGTTTTACGAGATTGACAGGTCTAGTAAAGAATGCCGTTTGATTTTCACTTTTAAAAGGCTAAAATGTCATAAAATAACTTAAATGTTACATCCAAAATATGCGTTTCTCTACCGCTGATCTTCTTTACTTTGATGTGTGTCTGTACTGTGTTTTTCACGCAATGCTGAAGCATTATTTTCACATGATATGCTGTCGGTATCGTAATTATTTTTTTTCTCACTTGTTTTCGTTCATACAAACAGTATTAGAAATCAGGAGGGAGTGAATATTGGAAAAAATGTTTAAAGTGGAAGTTTTGACCACCAAAATCCGCCATTACCGCCATGTTTTTGACCACGGGGTCCAGGCCCCTTTGCCCCTCCAGGTTTTATAGAGCTCAATGATCTCGACCTTATTTAAACCCAGTGAACTCTACAACAACTGGAAGGCTAACTTGGACGCCATCTTTGAAGCCTGCATGAGCGCCGCCATTGAAGGTACGGAGGCGAAATACATCACTTCGAAATTGCCGAATTTTTGCAAAAACAGTGGTCTTCAAGCCAGCTTAATGTCTAAAATCTTAAACAATGTTTGAGATTGTTTTTATACTTTATTGTACGAACATTTTACTTGCTAAAACTTACATATTACTTGAAGTCGTTTGAGAAGTTCCTTTCTCTTAAATTTATTCTTAAGTTTATCATACATTACATTACAGATGTAAATTTTTTTGGGTCTAAGGACATGAGAGTAGAAAACATTGAGGTGTAAAATAATCTCTAAACATGAAAGAAGATGCCGCTACTATACTGGGGAAATGCCAGTAAATTTGATGATCAATTTTCACATGTTTTATACTTGTTGCGAGGTATGTCATTTTGTACGTTTTATGTAAATTTTCGTGAATTAAAAATACTGTGAAAAGTCCCAAATGGATTGCCAGCTGATGAAAATCATTTTACACCTTAATGATTTCTTCCTCTAAATTGTTTTCATCAGTTACCATGTTGGGGCAAAATTCCATACAGTGAAAAGAATTTCTGCTAATTTTATGCTTTGCTGAGCTTCGACACTCTCATGTACTCTCCCAACATGGCTTATATGACGTCAAAAGAAAACACACTATAGCTACGGTTGAATGAAAACAGCCCCAAACATCATTAAATATTTGTTAAAATTGCGTATATATTATTACGAAACAGCGATTTTGTGCACGTTATGATGACAAATTTCCATATTGCATTGAAAAGCGTATTTCGAAAACATTTATCAAACGCTGACACTTGCTGGCATGGTGACCATGTTTAATTTAAATACATATGCATATTTTAAGCTGACAGTCGTTTCAAAACTACCGATGGATGTTATTTATTCATCACGGCATAAATGCTTTTCAAACAACATTATTATTCTAAAATCATTACTTAATAGAAATTTGTACAACATTATTCCAAAATAGGTGGCAGGAGCCTACTTTGAAATACTTTACCACAAAATTCGTTTTCTAAGTCAGAGAGCGAGGGAACTCTCTGACTTAGTAAGAATACGCCGAATTCAACAGAGTATATATGCTCTCTCAAAATCCAAGATTTCTTAAAAATCTAAAAGATAGCCAAAGAACAAATTAGCGACACAATAAAAACAAACACATAAACCTGAAAAAAGACTGAAGTCACTAAGCTACAAGTCAGTGAAACAAATAAAAAAATTTTTATACCTCATCTTGTTTTCATCTTGTTCTCCATCAGCATGCTTCCCGTCTCTCCGTCAGCATCCTCTTCGTCGCTCCATCAGCATCCTCTTCGTCGCTCCATCAGCATCCTCTTCGTCGCTCCATCAGCATCCTCTTCGTTGCTTCATCAGCATCCACCTCGTAACGCCATCAGCATCCTCCTCGTAGCACCATCAGCATCCTCCTCGTAGCACCATCAGCATCCTCCTCGTAGCGCCATCAGCATCCTCCTCGTAGCGCCATCAGCATCCTCCTCGTAGCCATCAGCATCCTCCTCGCAGGACCATCAGCATCCTCCTCGCAGGACCATCAGCATCCTCTTCGTAGCACCATCAGCATCCTCCTCGTAGCTCCGTCAGCATCTTCCTCGTCTCTCCGTCAGCATCCTCTTCTTTTCATCAGCCTCCTCCTCATCTAAACGAAAATCTAAAACAAGTTAAGATTAGGACAGGAAAAATAATAACGTACTCCTCTATCTTCTTCTTGATCTTCATCTCTTGTACCTAAAAAGACTGAAGAAGAAGTTATTTGTTTGATGGAAACAAACAATTGTAAGCACCCACCACTGCCAGAGTTCGCGTTCTTTCACTGTCCGTACGCTCGACATGTCTATAAAAATGCAACAACAATATCATGGCAAGTGATTATGGAGATCGTGCTTTCGCATTGTAATAGTTTTATCATGCTAAAACATTGATATCCATGACTGTACATGATTGAACATGTATGTTAAGTGAACAACTCTTTGAAGATTATAACACTCGTGGAAAGCTTATCGTTTGAACCTTGCATTGTGCTGTAACACCCCTCAATGTTACAACACATGCAGTGTTCTGTAACATTGTCAAACGATTTATTACATGCGATATAATTCAAAAATACCTAGATAAAAACAAGATAATTAACGAATGTCTCATGCAATATATTCTCTACTCAAATCTTGTCGATTTCATCCAAAAGGTTGTTTGATTATTACGGTAAGGCACTATGGTTTATAAAAGACTATCGAGTTTAAAGATTTTGCAACATTCTGCCCGCATGTTGCAATATCAAATGACTTATCTCAATTATATATTAATATACAAATATTCTATGATATATAATCGAGATAATTCACTTGAATTCCTTCTGCATCCTCCTCGTCTTTCATCTGCATCCTCGTCGTCTCTTCATCATCCATCTCATCCTCTCATCTCCATCCATCCTCTCTCCATCTCCTCCTCTCTCCATCTGCATCCTTCTCTCCATCTCCATCCTCTCTCTTCTGCATATCTCTCTCATCTGCATCCTCTCTTCATCTTCCTTCATCTTTATCCTTCTCTCCTTCTTCATCTGCATCCTCCTCCTTTCTTTTGATCCTCCATAAAGTAACATTTTATCCTTCTGATCCTCCTTGTCTTTATCCTCCTTGTCCATTCATTTTCATCCTCGTCCCTTCATCTGCATCCTCCTTTTCTCTTTATCTGCATCCTCGTCTCTTCATCTGCATCCTCCTTTTCTCTTCATCTGCATCCTCGTCTCTTCATCTGCATCCTTCTTGTCTCTCCGTCAGCATCCTCCTCTACTTTCATCAGCCTCCTCCTCATCTAAACGAAAATCTAAAACAAGTTAAGATAAGGACAGGAAAAATAATAACGTACTCCTCTATCTTCTTCCTGATCTTCATCTCTTGTACCTAAAAAGACTGAAGAAGGAGTTATTTGTTTAATGGAAACAAACAATTGTTTAGCACATACCACTGCCAGAGTTCGCGTTCTTTCACTGTCCGTACGCTCGACACTGTACATGACTGAACATGTATGTTAAGTGAACAACTCTTTGAAGATTATAAGACTCGCGGAAAGCTTATCGTTTGAACCGTGCATTGTGCTGTAACACCCCTCAATGTTATAACACATGCAGTGTTCTGTAACATTGTCAAACGATTTATTACATGCGATATAATTCAAAAATACCTAGATAAAAACAAGATAATTAACGAATGTCTCATGCAATATATTCTCTGCTCGATTTCATTGAAAAGGTTGTTTAATTATTACGGTAAGGTACGAAGGTTTATAAAACATCGCATTTGAAGATTCAGCAACATTTTGCCCCCATGTTGCAATATCTTGTATACTCTATAATATATATTTGAGGTAATTCATTTGAACGTTTCTCAAGTGAACTACCCACTTTTATCTCACCTACTATAACATCACTTGATGCTACAGTAGTTCCTCTCAGGAGCAGGGACGGATTAACCAAAGGAAGCTGTCTAGAAGCCTCCACAAACAAGGGCCTTCACATTATTCAAAGGAAGAATAAACATAGTTGCTTTAAAGACGAAGGAAAAGCATTTAGTTTATTTGTTGGATCAATTTCAGCTGATGAAGAACAGACCACGTATGACAACGAATCACAGTAAACTCAGCCATTTTGCTCTGATGAGCATTGAGGACAATATTCTAACAGAAATAAACTTGGAAGAGCTTATCAAAGACTGCCAGAATAAAATCGCAATAACTACTTTATCTCAAGTAGCAGCATTCACTCGTCGTATGCAACCGCTTTACACGCTATATTCGAAGTTTATACTTTTATCAAATGCTTTACGAAATTTGAAAGTAAATTTTACTGTTGAAAATGAGCAGCACATTGCGTTTAGAGTAAGGGAAAGGGATCTTTACTACGTATTTTGCTGCTCAGAGCCTCCACACATCTTAATCCGGCCCTGCTCGGGAGACATAAAATATTATATCCTTTTGTCACAAAGACAAAGGATTGAACTTGCTATTTCTAACAATGGCCAGTTGTTAGAAATAGGCAAAATGCAAAATCATCACACTTATGTGAATGATAACGATGAATGCAAAAATGAAAATATTTTCTGGACATGTATTGAAGAGGTCCAATAATTGATGTCAAGAATAGTGGGAAACTTTTGGCAGTTTCGTTCGTGTTCTCACTTCAATATGTAACTGAAACTTGACGGCATTTTTGCTCCAAGATCGAAACATAGAAATACTAAGAAACCAAAGAAATCGATCATTCCTTCGAACAAATAGGACTCATAACGATGCTTTGAATATGCTGTAACGAGAATTCACATCACAATTGGGTTATACATTTTAATTCATCGATCTCAAACTTACATCTTTATGTCATCGACGATTTTTCTGTATTTAACCTGCCGCTTTCAAACATGGCTAAAATATCTCAACCGTGTCATGTCTTCAGTTGCTCGTCCTTTCCAACAAGTAGTCGCATTTCTTGAAGGCTGTCTTCGACTTTCAACAGACTTTCACCTTTCCCAGACGAACAGCTCGGTCAAATAGGGTTATCGAAGTGAAAGACCCTACTTTTCTTCTGATAACTTTCATATATCACATGAATTAATTATTAATTCATTCGTCAATTTTGTTCAAACCATGATAAAAAGGGATTAAATTCATTGATTGCATGAAAATATATGCAGGGCAAAGACAAAAGGAATTAAGCCTGGTTATAAGTTAACTAACGACATTGGTTAGTAAAAGAAAGCAAAGCCTTTTCCCCAGAGGTTTGGAGAAAACAAAAGAATATTTCTTTTGTTTCCTCAATGAAGAGTTTGCGAAATCAATGATTGTAAGGTTATGACGGCAGACAGAGCATGTCGTGTTGTGGTAAATTTTATCTAGTATGAACAAAAAATTATCTCACCCAAAACCGCAATTCAATGCACCATAGCTAGGAGAGTTATCATTTTTCTCCCACCTGACCACCTTTATTCAACTTGTTACGTCAACAAATAAATTAGAAGGCATATCAAAAGCTTGTAATTTATTCACGTGGGAATCACCCACATGTTATAGAAAAGCTTTGTCGTGCTCAATACTTATTATGAACATTGGAGCCCTGCTTATTGCAATAATATGACTTGCCATTGTAAAATGTAATGTAATAATTTAACGAGAGAATTTTATTGACAGAACTAAATGGTAGCAAGTGATTCATTTTAGCAATCCTAATAGGATGGGACAAAGGGAAAGAATGAGAGGTAAGTTCGTTTTCAAATAATTAATGAAAATAGGTTTTACGTTAATTGGTTTATGTTTGGCGTAAGGTGAAGCCGGTGATCCAACAATTAACACGTGATTACCCTTTAACCATAATCTCCACATGCTTTTATGAAATCCTCGAGCATCTAAGTCCCAGATTCGTAAACATCTCGCTATATTATTCCATGTTGTCCAGTCGTTAGCATGTTTCATTTCAATATAAAATATATATGTTTTATCAGATGTTTCTGGAACAAAGTCTTTCTCGTTCTTGCAAGGATTTTTACTGTGATCCAACGGCTCTGCCAACCTGTAAAAAACAGTAGATAGACATCTCTAACAATCAAATGACATAAATATACGCACTATGATGATAATTAGATCACTGAATCACTAAGTAGAAATCTCCTTCATTGTCCTGTGAAAAGAAAAATATTGTTGTCAATATTTTATAAAATCCTGCAAGACATACCCTACAAGCCGTTCAATCTCCTTCTCATAATTTTCTTTTTTCAACAATCCAACATTAAACTTAACGTTAGGTTCAGTATTCAACGTATGTTTTTTGAAATAGGATTCTTGAAAAAATACATTCATATTCAGGCCTTTGGCGCCAAAATGGTAGGTTCTTGAGATATCCGGAATGATACATTCACGTCCCTTTTTGTTGCTGTCCATCCTCATCCACATATCCCAATCCCAAAAGAGATCAGGGGTTGGCCATTTTGGCTCAAGTTCTTCTTTATAAAGTCGTCGTTTGAGCAACCTGTTAATGCAAAGAGAAATAATAGATAGAATGAAGTTTATACTATCTATACATTTATAGTGCTGCGTGATGTCATTGTGGCGTGATGTCATTGCAGCGTGAGGTCATTGTAGCGTGATGTCATTGCAGCGTGATGTGCTTGTAGTGTGATGTCATTGTAGCATGACGTCACTGTTGCGTGATGTCATAGCGTAAACAAAATCATTTGTAGTAATAAAATTCTCACCAGCCTAAACCAGGCATTGTTTCTACACGATATAACATTGCAGGATCATTACACGTGTGATCATAACCCTAAAAATAGAAATACTTGTTTTGCAATTAAATCATTAATCACATAAATTAGTTTTTCAATGGATGTACCATTTCTAAGGTAAATTTCCTAAATTTCACTTTGTGATGT